ATTACCAGCAATTCAGCAGTACCAACCTCTGTCACTTACACGCACTAACGTTGCAGATGAAACGTCACTGCAGGGCACTATATCCTTGCAGTACGAACTAGCTGCGTTGCGTGCGCACTTGTGAACGCCTCCCGTATGACCTCCTTCCGCTTTTCCATCACGTTCAACACTCTCTGGGGGTGATATTATTATTGTCCTAGTTCAGAAACTTTGTACGTACAATGGGCAAGAAATCAAAGGACAGATGAATTCGAACGTGGGGTTTTGCGCAGCGGGCAGTACCAAAGAGACGCTCTTCTCCCTGTCGTTGCCCACCGACGCATACAAAAAGAAGAAGGGGATTGTTGTAATCCACCCGGAGTAATGGGACATTATGCGGTTTAGAAGCGACAGTTCGAAGGACCTGTACGCCCTGAAACGCCTCGAAGCCACGAAAAGAAAAAGAGGGGTACGGCATCGATCGAGCCAACACTTACAAAAAAAAAGAGCTCAAAAGTAAATATGAGCCCGCAAAAAGAAGAGCATTATTATTGTTTTGGAGGCGCAGCCCACCCATTTATGAGTGTTGCGACGGTGCGGAGTCAGCGCTGCTGTGCCACCGAGTATCAAAAATAAAGACAGTGAGGATGAAAGCTGAACGCCTGACCGGTTGAAAAAAAAAACGCTTTACATAACACTGGGACTGTTAAAAGAGAAAGCCCCTGCAAACTTCGGAAACTACCCGGATTTCTACTTTCAATCGGCATAGTCCATGCAGCTGCGCTTTCAAAACATACCGCTGGCGTAAAAGGCGCAGTTTTAATTACGAGGTATGCAGGCAGCAAACAAGAAAAGGAGAGCGATTCGAGAGCGGAAAGCTATCGAAAGAGAAAGGTACAAAAATGAATAAAAAGGAACAAAACGGAAAGAAACAGATGACACCGCAAGGGGTAATTGATCACAGAGCATGCACAGGTCCTGATTACCGGCGACGTCGAGGTTGGTGAGCATCGGGCAGCCCCCCAAACCTGCTGCTGACCGTATTCCTCCATGGGTGGCTACCTGAAGCGGAAGATGTCGCGTACGTTGTCGACGGTGGCGTCCGGCGGCAGGCCGCACCAATCCACCCACCACCACGAGGGTGCAAGCCGTTGACGAGTTGAGATTTTCGTCGCCGCAGTGACCGTGTACACCAGATGGTTGTCTGTCACCACCACACCACAGCAATTCTGTTCAACGCCAAGGTTGCCCATCAACGCATCCGCATCCAGTCTCATCTGCGGAGACACGGCACGCAGTGTTGTGAAAGTGCATTCAATGGACTGCTCGCCCATGAAACTCATCACATGCGCCACAACGTCACCTCACAGACGCGATAGCGATGTACGAACACTGGCATCTTCAGCGCTGTCAGAAAGAGCTGCATTAGCAGTCGCCACATGCTGCGTGTAGTTCTCGTGTAGTTGTGCCATCACCTATGTGGGTGTGTTTGGCTTGGGCGTCTGTTTGTGGATGAGTGGAAAGGTGTGAAAGATGATGGTGTCTTCCACCACCAGCAACGAAAGAAAAGAGGAGACAGGAAAAACAACAATAGACGGAGAGAGGCGAAGAGTAAATCAAAAGTGAAAGCGCACGAGAGAAAAGAAAGGCACTGCAACGAGAAACACAAAAACAACAGAGGTTTCTCGATCGCAAGGAGTGGATAGAGGGGCGGCATGCAGCTGACCCTTTATGCAACATATTCACCGTTGTAAACTCCCCATCACGACGTCATAAGGTTTCCTCGCACTGCATCGTTGTGCAACGAAAGGAAAGAGAGTCAGGGTTTGTTTCGTTTTTGACAGTCTAGATAGGAGACTCGCCCGCTCTTTTTCATGCGTGTTGCATCTGCCGAAACACGGAAACCACCACAACAAAACCCAACTCGTCGGCACCTCCATGTCTCGGCGCTGCTCTGAAGAATCATCGTGACTAGAAACTCGACCGGTTTAGCGGCGGAACTAATCTCGACGAGGTGCCCTGGGCCTATGCGCGAGTGGATCTTCGGATGGACGAGAACGGACGGCGGCCCCCCACTCGCACCTATTACATTGAGTCTCGTCATACCAGAACGTTGAGTGCGGACGTGGAAAAAAAGAAGCTCGAATAGTAGAGATTGCACATAGCCGAAAGCTGGACACACTTGAATTCGTGGACCCGCAATGGGACGGGTGTGCTGCTGCGTATCGGTGTTGATCTCTGTGGGAGAAACGACGGCTGCAGCGGCGGTGCTGCGAGCTGCGCGCGGCGATCGGTTGGTGGCAAACAAGACACGCGAGTTTCTCGACTACGCGAACTCGCCTGACGGCGCTAGGAGTGCCGAGCGGCAGCGGGCTGTGGCGGAGCACGCGTCGCTGAGAGAAGCTCAGTTGGCTCGTAGGAAGGAAGGTGCACAGAGAACAGCGATGAGATACACCGGGCGGCGATGCAAGGGGTGACCGAGTAAGAAGCGTGCTGGGTTCTGCCGGGTTTGAGACCGTCCAGTCGCGCACGAGACGGCGTTTGAAGTGTTCTCGGTGCATGCAACACTCGCAGCAGACGGGGCACAGAACTGGATCGAAAGCTCTCCGGGTGACGTAAGCGCATGGCGGCGTTTCAAGAAAAGGTTTCGGCAGCGGAGGAAGCAGGTTCGCCTACTGCACGCAGTGACGGACACACCACATGCATTCAACGTTACCGTCGTTTTGAATAGGTTTGTGAAGAAAGTCCAACGAGCAGGATTTGTAGCCCGCGGACACAGGTTTCTGTTGGTCGGCCCACACGTATACGACTCCGCAGGTCTCTCTAGCGGGTGACCCACCCGGACCTGTCCGTCGCGCCAACAAACCCGCAACAGGATTCGATGGGTTGCAGGCGCTTGAATCCCTCACATAGTGGGTACTAAACCCTGACACGACGGCGCGAAGGACGTCATCGTCAGAGAGAGGATGTTAAATACAGGAAAAAGAGAAGCGGGCTAGTATATATGCGTGATGTCCACAGTAGAAAGAGTACACGAGATCGGAGGGCGGGCCTTTGGGGGGTTTATTAACGGGTCGGCACAGCGACACGGTGAAGAAAAAGGAAGAGAAGCGCGCAGAAGAAAAGAACAGCTATCGGTAAGCGAAGACGTGCATCGGCAGATTTGCCTCGGCGCAAAAGTATACTGTTGCATTGAAATGACCGGCTCGTAGGTCTGATGTTGAGATGGGCAAAAGCACTCAAAAAACAAAAACCCCGCATGGCATCATCTGCGCACGCATTAACAAACTTGGTAGAGGGTTGATCTATTGAGGCAGAATCCAAAGTGAGTCCTTGAGTCAAGCCACAATGGCACCAGTAGAACTGTTTGATGCTTCCGCCCATCCTGTTAGAGCAGAGATATTTTGTGGAAGTGGGAGGCGCGGAAACGAAGCTCCACCAGACCCTTCAACTTCCTGCGGTAAGTTCACACTTCAAGAGGCTTATCATGTAAGTGGTATACTGCCGCAGCAGTGGCATTTAGTTACTTATTTAAGTGGATTCAGAAAAAAAGAAAACAGACACTGCTAAATCGCGGTGTTTTCAGCAATGGATCTTTGCTTTTGCGATAGTTCTACAAGTACACACACAATAAAATGAGAGAAGGTGGGTTGCAGTGGGTGGGTGCGCAGTGCCCCATAATAATAAGAAAGAAGAAGAGCCTGCTTAATAGAGCTGGCTTTGTCGTCATAACATTTTGATGGTTGAACCACCTTTTAGCTGGTGAAACAATTACTTGTAAACCCATGGAGAGAAAATCGAAAAAAAAAAGGCTATGTCGAGAAGTGGCGCCCCAACCACCCAGTGGAGTAGCACTCTTCGTCCGCGCTGTAACACCGAGGCAGGGCAACACCCGATGAAGCGTCAGCTCTGTCCGTTGGACGCTGCCAGGGGACAGAAAAGAGTACCCGACGAGTGCTTTCCGTCAAGCAGAAACTCGTGTGCCTCCGCGAGATGAAAACCGCTGGAGAGATACATCATCTTACCGTGATCCAGCAAAAACTGTGCGGCCTGCAGCTTCGTCACGATGCCGCCGGTGGCAAACTGATTATTCGGGGTCGCCTCCTCCTGCAGCTCCGCCGGGGAGAGCTGATTTACCACGAGTCGGATCTGTGCGTCCTTGCAGTTCCGTGGGTTGGCGGTGTAGTAACCGTCGATATCACTCAGAATCACCAGCAAGTCCGCGTCGAAGTGATAAGCAACATGAGCCGACATGCGATCGTTGTCGCCAAACACGAGCTCCCGCAGCGCTGTCGCATCGTTTTCGTTGATGATGGGCACCACCTTATTGGCGAGGAGGACCTCGATGGTGTTGCGCGCGTTGATGGTGCGCTTCCGCGAGTCGAAGTCGTAGGCGCCTAGCAGCAGCTGCGAGCACAGGATGTTGAACTTTTGGAATTCGGTGAAGTACATATGCATGAGCAGCGGCTGACCGAGCGAGGCCAGCGCCTGCTTGTTCGGCACAAGAGACTTGTCGAGAGGCTTTTCCGTGTAGCCCGCTGCGACAGCGCCGGAGGTGACAATGATGACCTGGTACTTTTCGTGGAGATCGGCTACAAACTTGCACAGCTCCGCGATACGTGAGGAAGCAATCTTCTGGTCCTCCACAATGATGGAAGAGCCCACCTTCACCACGATGCGCCGGTACGTGTGCGTGCTGTCAGCCATGAGGAAACTGCGGTCCAAAGAAGTGTGCTGTGCACAGCGGCACCAGTGAAAAGAAAATAGAAGTCGAGAAAGAAAGCTGTGGTGGGAAGGGAGCTAAATACATCTTCAGAGGAAGGGAATTACTGGTGACAATACGCACTGGAGAAGAAGTAAAGAAGCCAAGGCGCTGGTACATAACGGAAGCAGAGCGTAAGCCACGTATGGGGGACCGTGACGAAAAAAAAAAAGGGAAACGTGAGCTGGGAGAGCGCTTCACCAAATTGGCTTTGCCACAGCTTTTACTGCTGCTTTTGTTGGCTTGCTGTTTCCTCCTCGACAAAGAGGGAGAAAAAGTCACAGTCGTGCACCGCGTGGGTGCGACGGGGCGAATATGAGAGATGAAGACGAAGCGATCGGGGAAGGAAAAAAGAAAGCCCCAAATAAGTGTGTGTAGAAACACAATAATAAGGGAAAAAGGGGGAAAAAACCTCCGCTACGAAGACGGCGAAACGCCCTCGCCAGAGCCGGCATCCAACAAGAACGTGACTTTGCCTTTGCAGTCCCGCAAGAATCGCGACACCGGCGAGCGCTCTGGCGCATGTTCGTCCAACACGCCGTGCACCACCCAATTCTTGTCCTTTCCACCAGCGAGCACCACCACATGCTTGGCGTTTACAATGACACTCTTCGAGAGGGTGATGCGCCACACCTTGGGGTTCATCGTTGGGCTCGGGAAGCTGACGGAGACGAGATGGTCGTCGTCCTGGGCGGCGATAGAGCCGGGAAAGATGGATGCGGTGTGCCCATCGGAGCCGAAGCCGAGCAGGACAACGTCCACCATGAGGACCGGCCTCACCACACCGGTCTCCTCACACGTCTGCGACAGCGAGAGGCGGTGCAGCAGCTTCTCCTCGTAGTCCGCCGCGACCTTCCACGCCCCGTTCGCACCGGCCTTCTCGTCGGCCGACGTCTCCAGCGCGGCGGACGGGTTCACCGCAACGACGTCCTCGGCCGGCACGTCACGCAGCAGCGCCTTGGTGGCCATCGCGAAGTTGCTCTGCTCGTCGTCGGAGGGCAGAAGACGCTCATCGCCCATTATGAACAGCACAGAGTGCCCCTTGAGCAGGCCGAGGTCGTGTGTGTGCATCTCTTCATAGAGCTTCTTTGGTGTGGAGCCGCCTGACAACGCGAGAACGATGGGCCTTCCCGGGTTAGCCCGCTTTTGAACCTCACCGAGGATAATCTGACGAGCCGCAGCGCTCATTTCGTCGATGCTCCCGCACACCTTCACCGTTGGCTTGAAGCCGCTCATTGTTGTGTACGTATTGAAGGCGATGAGTGAAGGTAGTCTACCTCGGAAGACGTCTAGATGATGTTGTGATGGTCCTATAAGCGCGCGAATGAGCGGGCAGTGAATTCGGTCGCACCTTATAGTGGGCGGGCGGGGACGCAACGCCAAACGCGATAAAACCAGCGACGGAGAGAGAGTGGGTGAGGGGTAGGTAGAGACACGTTTTCATGCATTTGCCTTTGGGGGGCGCTTAGTTCCCTTCGCAACGCAATAGTTGCACGCGAGCTTCGTAAAAACTTGCAAAAGCTTCCGCAAGGCTCAAGTCCTACATGTGGCTTTCCCGGCAGCACTCTTACCATGTAGTGTCGCAACGGGTGTTTTTCTGTGTTACAGTCGTCGAGATCACTTTTCTTTTTCGTCTTCTTCTTCAGTGTAGCAGCGCCCACAGCCAGCCAACAATTCCGCCTACGTGCATGACGGCACTCACCACTTTTATCCGTCTCGTAACAGAAGGGCTGCGCAGGACGGCGAAATCGGGGGGCCCGATGAAGTTGCAAATGGCATGCACCGCAGCAATCGCGCCAATGCTGCCCTCGCAGACGCACAGATAGTAGTATCCGCTAAGCGCTCCAAAGGCACCGGTGAAGAGGTACACAGACACTAACTTGCGCGCTGCAGCGCGCCAGCAGATGCACTGCAAATCAGCGTCGCTGCTCTCCGTGGCGTCGGCACACCGATCAATGTACTCGTCGCAGGCCCACGACACGATGTGGTGCGAGTGAGAGAGGGAAAAGAGAAGGGTGGCGACGCCGATCTGCATCCACTGACTGCGTTTGCTCAAAAGTGTGAAGAGAACTCCGCGGAAAAACAGCTCTTCTCCGATAGGGCACAAAACGTAGCTTCGCCAGCGGCGCAACCAGTTCTCTTCAATGGGGAACTTGCGTAGAATTATCTTATCGCCAACGGGACCGGCGAACAGCACAAGGGTAGAAACAGTAGCCCTGCTTAGCGGAAGAAGCCACACGCCCCCTGAATATGCAGGTACTTCTAATGAAGAGTGAGACTGAAAAGCTAAGAAACCGGCGCTCAAGACGCAGTTCTGTAGAAAGAATAAGGTGCGACGGCGGATCGTGTCGTCGCTGTCTCGATCAATGTAAATGGTGTTGTCCTCCGTGGCCCTCCGGAGTGAGCGAACTCCCCAATACACAAACCGGCGCTCGCTCGGCCACAGGTAGAACGACGCGATAAACGTGACGGAAGCACCGGCGCAGCGCAGGCAATCCATGTGCCAGAGAAACTGTTTGTTTTGGCTATTTGCATGAAACAGAAGATCAACACGATCAAACAAGAAGGAGGGAGCAACAGAGAAGCCTTCGACAAAGTACACTGAATGGAATTCCTTCAACACAAAAGCTCGAAACCGTTGGGAGCCATTAAAGCGGCCTGTCAGACGTATAAAAGAGACGCGCCCAATGAAGGTCATCGTGTCCGGCGGACAACCAGAAAGCTGCAGTTTCCACCGAGCAATCGGGCTTCATGCACACACCATAAATTCATAGTGGATTGTGATTAGCCTGCATTGGTCTTTTTCTCTGTCGTTTCATTTGGCCCCCAATAATAGTCGGAATAATTAAAACAGGAAAGGATAAGAATTGTTACCAGAATAACCTGAAAAGAAAAGGCGTTGAAGAGCGAGTCGAACAACATCACAGAAGCATTACGTTGTTTCATAGACACAGCACAGCAACTGAATGCGTCTTTGCATCTACTTCAAAGCATCAAAGAAAAAAGAGGGTTTTGCGAGACATACAGATACAGCACCATTTAGGGCTTATGTCACTAAGCATCTTCTTACCTTATACTGAATGGGGAGAAACGGGCGGCAATGAGGCAAATACTCTTACCGTATTTGGAGGGGTTGGTTTGCCCCTCCCTGCGCTGCACAAAACCGATCCGCCAACGGTTCAGAGATTTGATCAAAAGCGCAAAAGAACGGGAAAACGAATAGAATTTTTAAAAAGGGAAATAAATAAAAAAGGGAAAAGAATAGAAACTGGAGGGCACATAATCAGAGAAGGAAACAGCTTTCTGGAGGTATCGCTGGGTGGGGTGCAGTGAACACTCCGTGGTAGTGGGCTCCACGCATCGCCTCGTATACGACGACGAAGACGCATGGGGCGACCACAAAGAACAAAAAAAAAGATAAAGATGGTGTTAGAGTGTGTGAATGAAAAGAGAGGTTTTTCATTCCCACCAGAAAAAACTCTCTACAAGGAAGAAAAAAAAGGGTTTAGAGCGAAAGCCTGATCACCATTCATTACGGTATCGAAAATTTTGACCCAATGACTTCTTTGATCTGGTGTGGTACGTTTTTTGACGAATTCATTCCAGCACGCAAGCAATGTGAAGTACTTTTCCCTTTTGCCGTTTTTTGTTTTTAAATTTTTGCCGGTGATCGCTTGCTTTTCAAATGAGGGAGAGGTAGTAGCGCCCGCGAGATGAGATGCTGGTCATTTCCACGTTCTTGGAGGTCACGTTGGTCATCTTCTCGTCGATGGACTTGCCCAGGGCGTTGTCGAGAATGCCGTTGAGGTCACCGAAGCCGGTGAAGTGCGAGTTGGTCACCTCGATGCCGCTCGTTGCAGGTATCGAGCAGATGGTGTTGAAGAATCGACACTGGAGATCATTCACGACGACGTCGTAGACGAGCGAGGCGCCGGCAGGGACGTACACGCTCAGCGCAGCGCGAGCCTCCTTCTTGAGGATCGGATTCAAAAGGTTCTTCGGCGAGAGCATCGTCACGGTGCCTCCCAGGTACTCGATGGAGGTGGTGCCCTCCGTCACGTTGTCGTAGATGGAAATGTTCAGCAGCTCCTTTATCATGCTGGTGATGGAAGCAGCAATGTCGATGGCGGTCGATGTGAAATTATCCGACGTGTCAACGTCGAAGAGCACCGGCAGCACGAGGCCCGTGGAAACCTGCATCGCGTTCTTCGCAATGAACTTCTTGTACGACGGGACACTCAGAGCCTGCGAGAGATCGCTGAGGAGGGTGAACTTCCTGAAGTACAAGACGCTCGAGATGTCAGTGGCGCCGTTCGCAACGACAGGCAAACTCTGCTGCTCCCGCGTCTTCAGCGTGGACTCCAGCAACGACTGCACCTCGTTGCACACGTCGATGGAGACGTCGGCAATCTGCAGGTTTGTAAGCACTCCACGAATCACCACATTGGCCTTCGCGTCGCAGTACTGGCGAGTTAAACCCTGCGAGTCGCAGGTGTCAACGGCGTTTTTTGAGTACGCGGCGCCACCAGTCACCGTCAACTGCACGTTCGCCGGGGTCCAGAAGAAGAACGTGTACACCTGGACGGTGAACTCTGCCGAAAGGGGGTTGTCGAACGTGACGAAGAGCGCATCCGATGTGGAGGACAGGTTGGCCGACGGGAAATCCACCACCTTCGGCACCAAGTTGCGGATCGTCAAGTCCACGTTGCCCAGCTGCAGATTGGTGCCTTAAGGATAGAGCGTGACGTTGGAAAAGGTGAAGGAGATGATGGTGGTCAAGATCCCCAGCAGGTAGAAGCACTTCTGCAGCATCGTGGGAGCTGTAGATGGGAATGGAAGAAAAACGAAATGTGTTTCCTGCTCGTGTGAAATAGATATTTTTGATAAATGCAGCTGGCGTATAGAGAACAAGTTGGGATGTTAACTTATCTTAGGTGACGGATGAAAGAAGTAGATATCGGCGCCGATGATTGCAATAAATCGTAGTCAAAAGGAAAAGGGGGAAAAAAAAACAGAAAGAGTCAGAGGAGGCCTCACGGTGTATGAATTGGAAATCAGCACGCGTGATAGAGCAACGCTTCCCATGCAAATGTGTAGGTGGTGGCTAATTTCAAGGCATGCAGCCATGCAGCCCCTGATCACATCAACGTGGAGACGAAACACCTGAGTATAACAGTTATAACGGTGACGTTGGACACGAAGACGATGAGTGGCGCACAACACATCATGCCACTTTTACTCGCCGTGCGCCTTTAATGGAAAAGTCATGAACGTGGGTTGGGTGACCGTGTGAACGAGGTCTTTTTGATTTTTCACTTGTCCTGCGCCTTTTACATCCGCCCGGAAAGGTGGAAGTCGAAACGCCCATAATAGTGGACGGCAGTAAACAAGAAGGTGCACACCCACCCTGCAAAGCAGAAATGGGTGTTGCTGCCGATGCTGGAAAGAGCTCAGTTTTCCTTTGCGCGAAGAAAAGTAAAAAAAGACAAAGCAAATGAAGAGGACGAAAACGAGTATTTGCAGCACTGCGAGTAAGAGCTGGTTAGATCTACGCCGCACGTGGCACGAATGAGACTCCCCAGTTGCTTCTTGACGGTTCCACCACAGAAGCAAGTACAAGAAGAGGCAAGAGATGAACAGCCGCTGTGATGAGAGCAATCATTCGTTTCTTTCCCCTTGAAGACATTCGTAATGCGGGAACAAAATAAACTTCTCCTCTACAACATGCAGAGAAGAAAAAGAATAGGAGACAGTTATATCGATTTCTTACCGGGAAGGAGTTTAATCACCCTTGCCTGAAAGAATGAGCGTTGGCGTAGCCAAAAAAGAAACGGCAATGAAAAGGGACAAAGGCGGTGATTTTCCATTCATGTACCTCAGCCTGCCATATGAAGAAAGAAAACACCTCAGAAAGCACGAAAAGGAGAACGATAGTAAGCGAACGCTCTCAATGGTCAGGGGAAAAAGTAAGAAACAACGAACACAAAACAAAAGGAAGCCCTATATGGGTATGATGGTTGTGCGCATTGATTGCGTGTTTGTGTGGTGTGTGCATTCTGTGAGCAGACGCCGTGGATTTCAGGCTTCACTTGTGCGGTTCAACGTATGTCTCTTCGGGCCGATGCAACAAGTTCCCCTTGTAAGGGCGGAAAGCTCCTGAAAAGGAAAGCACCTGACAGAATCATGCCCATCTGCCGTCTTGTCGTGCGCCAAACAAAAAACATTGGAGCACATGCACAAGCACCCTTGAAAGGGAACAGAGAGGAGTCGTGCTGAGCTACTTCGCCGTTGCCCATCATCTGCAGAAGTGGCAAATTTGTCACGTCGCTTCTTACAAAACGGGAAGGTAGATGCGGTCACCGAAGGTGCTGCCGGCGATCTTGAAGGCGGCGCTCGTCAAATTCGTCAGCAGCTCGTCGACCATGGCACCAGCGACGTTATCGAGAATCGAACTGAGGTCGCCGAGGCCAACAAGGCGCGAGTTGATCACCTGCACGCCGCCTTCCGCAGGAAGAGAGCAGACGGTGTTGAAGTACTTGCAGCGGAAATCGTTCACAATCACATCGTACACGAGGCCGCTCGAGCGAGGCACGTACGTCTCCATGGAAACGAGGGTGCCCTCGATGATGGCTTGGTGGATGATGTTGCGAAGTGCGGGCACGCGGATCTCACCGTTGGCGCCGTAGGGAATGACGGTGGTGTTGTCTGTGTCGGGGTCCACCGTGATGTCCAGCATCTTCCTCGCGAACTGCGTAAACACAATCATGGCGTCGAAAACCCCTACGTCGCTCGCCTGCTCTGAGTTGAAGCTGAGGCTTTGGCCGATGGGTGCGGCAATCGCCAAGCGCAGGACGTTGGGGGCCACAAAGTCTGCCGAGACGGGCATGCCGGTGGAGTTGGCAAAGAGGTTCAGCAGCTTCAGCTTCATCAGGTAGGTGGACTGCTCCAGGCTTGTCGTGCCCTGCTGTGGGGCCGGGTACTCCTGGTACGGCTTGGGAGTGAGCATCCCGGTCACGACGATGTCCGCGTAGTCGCACACGTCCTGGTTGTCAATCGTGAAGCTGCCGATAAACGGTAAGTACGCGACTGCGTTGAGCGTGATGTTGCAGTTGGTCATGGAGAAGGTGCCGGCACCGCACGTGTTCGACACCTCTTTCGCGACCTGGACGGAGCCGCTCACGTTGGCTTCGACGAACACGTCCGTCAGCTCAAAGTCGCCGTTCACGACGAGGTCGGTCGTCAGGTTCGCCTTTACCGGGTCGTTGAACGTCACAGTGAGCCCGCTGGAGGTTGAGTTGACGGTGGTTACGCCGAACTGCAGCGCATGCGGCCTCACGTTCGAGACCACCGCGCTCTGCCAGCCCAAAACGAAGTACATGCCGTCGGGCCAAATGTTGATATCGGACGCGGTCAAGGTGATCACCGTTGTGATGAAGGTAAGCAGATAAAAGCACTCTGCGATCATCTTTTAGAAGTGAAAGTGGAAGAGGGGGGGAGTGAAAAGAAAGAATAAGAAGAGAACAGAGTTGAATAAACCCTTAGAACAAAAAGGTTTTCCGAGATGAGCGAAAGAAAAAAAAGGGAGATTTTTAGATAAACCAAAGACACGCGGTGATGTAAAGCACGGTTACCGATCTGGCTGCTTGTCGTGATGGACAGCGGGGAAGTCTAAACCGATATCAAAAGGAGCGGCAGCCGAGATACAGTGGAGATACAGGAATGAAGAGAGCAAACGAAGAGCCAAGGAAGTGGTGTGTGTTGCGAGAGAGGGCAGAGTGATAAACACGAGAGTAAAAATTAGCGAAAAGAGTTAGGCAGAATCATTGAAGTTGCAACACGAAGCAGACAGTTAAAAACAGTTATTTTATATTTGCAGCCGCCGGCATCATGTATAGGGAATCAGAAAAACACATTTTTCTCTCTTCAAGTCAAAACTGAATGCGTTGATGAAGAGTAGCAGCACACTTGCAAGGCACATCTGCGCGCATTTAAACCAAGTTGTAACTCCTGCGATCGAGTCTCATTTTCATTTGTTTTTAAACGTGTTTGACGCTTTTTCCTTCTTTGTTATCTGCACTCAAACACTGAAGGAGCAGTAAGATCTTTTTCGGAAAGGGACAGAAAGAAAATAAAACAGACGAAGCCGAGGGCACACTAGGAAAACGCCGAAAAGGCAAGCAGAGCACGGAAGAACAACCACAGCTGTCCAGCAAAAACACAAATTGAGGTCCTTCGTTAACGTGCTCCTGTACAGCTAAATATATACTCAAAAAAAAAATATTTTCACATTGGAAGAGAACGACATCAAAGCAGTTGACACGATAGAGTCAAGAACCGAATAATCTCACATAACAAAAACGAATAAAACGGAAAAGAAACATTGAAAGAAAAGACCAAAAAAAAACTTCCCGAGACCTAAAAACAAAAACAAAGAGAATTATTGGTGGAAAAGAAAAAGAATGGGTGAAACAACAAACAGACAAACAAAGGCGAGCGTATCGGGGAGCCGGTGAAGAAGAAAGCCACACTGTATACATTTGATGGTGAAACGCGCGGCGAGAAAATAAAAGACGCGAGCGGAGAGACAACAACCACTAAAGCTGATCCAATGAAGCGCTAGTGTGTGATCACCGTTGCTCTCACAAAGCTATTAAGCAGCAGTGAGAAAGAAGAGAGCAATGCTTTTAAAAAGGGGACAGTGTGCTACGGAAAGGCCAGCTAATAAGCGATAGCATCATATTTTTCTTTCGCCAATAAGATCACCTTCCTTTTCGTCAATGTGTGTAAAGTCACTGTAACGTTCAATGTCGGATCCGCGAAAAGAAAACAAGAAGGACAACACCAAGATGCGCTACCTCGTAGCACAGAAGCGTTCATCGCCATATATTTAATAGGTAGAATGAAAAATGAACCTTCCAAAAAAAAAAGGCGCTGCTGACGGAAAAACTACAAAAAAAGGTAATACACAAGAATCAAAGAAAGTTCAAAAAAAGTAACAAAACAAAAGAAGAAGAAGACCCGGTAAATACAATCGGCCGAACATTGCACAGCTCCACTTCTTTTTAAAGGCAAAACAAAAGAAACACTTTCGGTTCAACAACAACGAATTTACGAAAGCGAAAGCTCCCAACGCGACTTGTACTCGCCACCTACTTCCATTAGCTCTTCGTGTGAGCCCTGCTCTATAATCTTGCCGCTGTCTAGCAGCACGATCTGATCACTGTAACGGATTGTGGTAAGGCGGTGGGCAATACTAACCGTTGTCACTGCAAAGCGTTTCTGGAAAGCGTCCAGATTGCGCTGCACCGCCGCCTCCGTGGCGTTGTCTAACGCACTGGTAGCCTCGTCGAGCAGCAGCAGCTTCGGACAGCGGATGACGCCACGCGCGATGGCGACGCGCTGCTTCTGCCCACCACTCAGCTGCTGCCCGCGATAGCCGACTTCGGTGTCGTAGCCCTTTTCCATGTTCATGATATCGTCGTGGATGCACGCCAGCTTGGCCGCCTCGATCACCTCCTCCTCGGTGGCACTGGGCAGGGCGTAGGTGATGTTGTCGCGGATCGTTCCGCTGAAGAGGGCGGGCTCCTGCAACACAAGGCTCATCTGCGAGCGCCACGTGACGAGATCCAGCGAGCTCAGCTCGACGCCGTTAATCAGCACCGTGCCGGCCGCAATGGGATAAAAACGAGCGAGGATTTGAATGATGGTCGACTTGCCGCAGCCGGTCTGCCCCATCAGCCCATTGGACGTGCCGTTCTTGAAAGACATGGACACGTCATTCAGCACCTGTACCTGGTCTCGGGCAGGGTAACGGAAGGCGACGTCCTGGAACACGATGCCGACGCTCTCCTTGAAGTTCGTCTTGCCGTACTCATAGCTGTCCACCGCCGGCACACGGTCAATGATGGAAAAGACGTGGTTTGCTGAGCGGCGCGCATCGCGCAGCTTTGTGGCGAAGCTTCCTGCCTCCACACCTGCAAACGTCGATCCCATCGTGATGGCCATCGCTGCGACAAGGACATTGCTGAAGTGCGTCTCGCCCTTCTCGATGAGGGTGCCGCCGTACCAGAAGGCCAGCGCAGTGGAGCCCATGAGAGCCAGTTCAGTGAGGCCAACGAGCGCGCTGATGAGCACGGAGCGGCGCTCCGACACCTGCTCCTCGCGGTTGATGTGACGCTTGTACATCGTCTCCATCTTGTTCTGCATGTTGAAGGAGTTGACGGTGCGAATGGAGCCGAGTGCCTCGCTCACTACCGTGTCCATGCCGCTCTTGCGCGACTTGTTTGCGTCGTCGAACAATATCTGCTGGCCAACGATGCTGCCCACAAAAATTGGCATCGTTGCCAGCGACACGAGCCCCACCTTCCACTGCATCACAAGGCCAATCACGATGCCACCGCCGAAGGAAAAGAAAGACTTGAGGCGAGAGCCCAGTGTCGGGCCGTAGAGCTGGTGCACCGCCTCGCAGTCACCGGAAAGCACGGTGGACAGGGCGCCAGGGTCGCGGCGGGGCATGTCGAAGAAGGTCTGATCCTGCCGGAGGACTTGCTGAAAGAGCATCGTGCGCAGATCGTAGGTGAGGTACTCCCCCACGTACCCGTAAAACCCTGTCAGGACGGAGCCGAGAAAGTACACGAGGCCGAGCACAATCAGGACAATGATGTACAGCGTCATCTTGCTCCGCATCTCCTTGGCGTCCTGCGTGACACGGTATACGCCGAGGACGTTGATGAGCTGCGTGATGATGAGACCGACACATGGGAAAACGAGCGCCGTGATAATCGACCCTACGAAGCCGAGGATGATGCCCCACATGTGGCCCTTGGTCATCTTCATTACGCGCCACATGGTCCCGCCCCTTGCGTGCTTCTCCTCCCAGTCCGTGCGGTGCTCAAAAGGGACATCCTCGACGTTGGGGGCACGACTCCAGTCCTCCACCTCGTCGCTGCGGATGCCGCTGCTGACGGAGTCCCACGAGGAAGTTTGCGAGCGCGAGTCGTCTTCTGACTTATCGTCTTTCTCCGCGGCGTCCGCGAAGAGGTAGAAGCTCGTGTCGTGCACGACGGTGCGCAAGTTCCCCAGCGACGCGTCTTGCAGCATCACCATCGAGGCAAAGCGGCCGTTGAGCTGCAGGAGCTCGTCGTAGGTGCCGTGCTCGGCGATGGCGCTGCCACCACCTTTGCATTCGTCGAGGAAGTAAATACAGTCCATGTGGCGAATCGTGGCAACGCGGTGTGCGATGGTCACCACCGTCATCTTGCTGTTCAGCGTGAGGTCGTCGAGGGCGCGCTGCACCTCAATCTCCGACTTGCGATCGAGCGCGCTGGTGGCCTCGTCGAGCAGAAGAATATCAGCGCCGCGCACGATGGCGCGGGCAATCGCGAGCCGCTGCTTCTGTCCGCCGCTGAGCTGACTGCCAACGCTGCCCACCTTCGTGTCGTAGCCGTCGGGGAGAGACTGGATGGTGTCGTGAATGCGGGCCTTGCGACACGCCGTGACGACCTCGTCGAGGGTCGCGCTGCGCCGGCCCATGCGCACGTTCTCGAGCACCGTGCCAGAGAAGATGTTCGGCTCCTGCGAGACGATACCGATGCGCCGCCGCCACGACTTGAGGTTAAAGTCGCGGATGTCGACGCCGTCCACCAAGACGCCGCCCTCCTGTGGGTCGTAGAAGCGCTGCAGCAGCGCGATGATGGTCGACTTGCCGCAGCCGGTGGAGCCAGAGAAGGCGACCTTCTGCCCCTTCGCGATGGTGACGTTGAGGCCGCCAAAAATCTTCTGCTCCGGGCGTGTGGGGTACGCAAACGTGACGTCGCGGAGTTCGATGCTGTCGCGGAAGAACGCCTCAGCACCCGGCGCGCCCCCGTCGATCTCCGGCACGCGGTCGATCGTGCAGAAAATCGGGTAGGCGGCGGTGCGTGCCTCCACGAACGAAAGAAGAGCTGGGAAGACTTGGCCGAGGCCCATGGCGCCGTACAGCACCGTCAGAAAGGCGGCGGAGACAGAGCCGACATCAGCGCGATTCTCATTTACCAGAAACAGGGCAAGCAGGAACGCAAACCCCAAGACGCAAAGCATGATACCCACCGTGGCGCCGCCCGCCATCACGACGAGAAACTCCTTCGTGATGCCCGCCTCACGAGATGCGACGACGGTGTTCGCAAAGCGGTTCGCCTCGTGCAGTTCACGGTTGAAGCTCTGCACCGTCTTAATGTTGTGCATCACCTCCTGCGCGACGGCACCAGCGGCGGCGTACTGCCGGCGTGTGATGGTGATGTGCTTCGACGTCCGCGTGGATAAGAAGAACACCACAACGCCAATTATCGGGAGAGAGCCAAGGATGAGCAGTGTGAGCTCCCAGCTGGCGATGAAGGCGAAGACGATGCCGATGATGCCCATGCCTAAGTTCTCGATCCAGCCAGCGAAACGGTCGTTAATGCCGTTGAGAATGACGCGCGTATCGCCGGTCAGGCGGGAGATGAGCTCGCCGGGTTTGTGGTCGTCGTGCCAGGCGATGTCCTGATTCAGAAGGGAAATAAAGTACGCGGCCTTGAGGCGGCCCATAAGGCGCGTCGCGCATACTTGGTAGGTGGCCGTCTTGACAAACACGAGCGTCATGGACAGCACGCCGACGCACGTCATGAGCATGGCAAAGCTCCGCGTCACTTTAGGTCCCTGCACGTCGTCGTAAGCGTTGTTGGTCATGCGGCCGAAAAAGTACATAAAGAGCGGGGTGGCACCGCCGGAGCAGAAGGCTGCGATGGAGCCGATGACGGTAGCAAACCACTCGAAGCGGGTCCGGTAGCGGAAGAGGGTCATGATCGGGACCTGCTTGTTCAGTTTTTCTATCACCGCCTTCGTCGTCTCCTTCGCCGCCGCTTTGGCGGCCTGCTTCGTCCTCCTTGCGGTTTGCACGGCGGAGGTCTTTGCCATCTTTAGCGACCCCTGATTCACAAGAAAAGAAGAGAGAGGGAAAGGCTGATCGTGGCCGCTGCGATCGGCACGTTAACAGGAGAGCAGGAAGGAATGAATTGCTGATATCAGCCGAATGCACATCAAGAAAAAAAAGGCAGAAAACAACAACTCAAGAATGAAACTTTACGGCTTCCGTTGGCTGCAGAAAAACCGATAAAAGAGCAGACAAGAACATCATCCGATTGAAAGATGAAGGTGAAATGGAGCACATCGAGAGAAACGATTCGTCAAGAAAAAAGAGTCCATAACATAACGATGTCTCACGTCAATGACGCGCTGCCATCCTTGTCGACTTAATAAGCTCCCGCACAGCAGGAAATGATACGCACAACCCCATTTCCGACACGGGAATGAACGTGTCTGGCATCCCCGGTAACAGAATGAAGCGTCCCTGAGACGGCCTCCTTGCGTTTATCTTTTTTGCCCAACTACTGTCTTGAGCCTCTCATCAAATTTGCCGGGTGTTCCTCACAATCCCGCCGTTTCATTGCCATGACATATCAGAGATCGCTTTGTGTGTGTGTGTGTGTGTGTGTGTCGTTTAGAAGCTATTACGGCTTTGAGTGTCTAACATTCCATGCTCCGCAGCCTTTCCCTGGCGGTTCGATGAATCAGCAATGTGTGCGGCCCGTTAGCAATTAGTTATCAGCGGCCTGGCCCACGCACACACGCACACCCCGAAGGTTACATCGACGCTGCTTCGAACAACGAGGCCGGGCATCGTGATATTCAAACGAAAAAAGAATCTAATGTGTTCTGTCTAAAAGTTCAAAAATAATAATAATAAGTCTGTCTAGTGCATCTAAAAGGAGAGCTGCAAAGAGGAAGAGCAAGAGAGAAAAACTTCCCGTCAGGCGTGGCCGCAGTACCAGCAGCGAGAAAGACCTCACCGGCGCTGTGGCCAAACAAAGGCAGCGCACACGCACCGTGAAGCGACGCAACACACTAAAAACCTTCGCTGCGTCTATGCAATCTTCAGGGGGTTGATCATGTCCACCATCTTCTCCCAGTTCCAGCCATCCGTCATGGAGCGCGCTTCGGCGTTGGTGCGCAGCACAATGTCCGCCTCCTCTGGACTGTCGACGATGATGGCGCCGCCTTCCTTCAAAAGCAGACTGGCGGTGTTGTAGTGCTTGCAGGCAGTAAAGGCCTCCGTCAGCGCCACCTTCTTCTTCAACAGCGGCGGCTCTTCGTGCTGGAAGCCGTAGTCTTCCTCCCGCAACCACCGCCCTTCCTTCAGCGAGTCCACCACGTACGACTCCGGCAGCACCCAGCATCCCCGGACGAGCGCCGTCAAGAGCTTGATGGTGAGTTGCCCGTTCGAGATGAGGTGCGTCAGATTCGATGGAACCGGCATGTTCGATCTGCACTCCGCAATCGCCACGTTGGGCAGCTGCTTCACCGCCAGGAGCACGTCGTTGCCGTCGAAGCCGCTGATGGCGAACACGCGCGCGTCCTCCGTGCGGGCGCGCTTCAGCGAGTTGTCAGAGGCGCTGCGCGCCGAGTGGGCCGAGGACGCGCTGCGGTACTTGCCCAGCCGCGAGAGGGAGGTGGTGCTGTTGGCGTGGAGGGTCTGCATCGGCGACCGTGCCACCGCTTGCGAGATGACGCGGCGAGACTGCTCCTCTATCTTCGCCTCGAGGGTGGAGCAGCGATTCACCGCAGCGGTCAGCTCCACTTCCAGCGCACTCGCCTTGGACTTCTCCGACTCAAACCGCTTGCGGTAGTCGTGAGCGGCCTCCTCGAAGTGCCGCCGCTCCGTCGCCTCCGCGGTCAGGGCAGCGCGCTGCTCCATCAGTGTCTCCACCTGCGCCCGAAGGTCGCGCGTGGTGGCGAGGGCGTCGTCGGAGGATTTGATTTGCTCCTTGCGCAGGGCCGACAGCTCACTCTTAGACTGCATCAGCGCCGTCTCGAGGGTGCGGATGCGGTCCTTCGCCTCCCGCACGTCCTTCGAGAACTCCTCCTCAAGGTCGTCTTTCTGCTGCAGGAGACGGTCCACCCGCTCGCCGGCCTCCATGGCCGCTTCGGCGTTCAGCTGGGCGTCGCTCGCCAGCTGCGCGTTCTCCTGCTCCGCCGCCACGCAGCGGTCTTTGGTCTCTGCCAGCTCCTTCTCCATCTGAGTGAGCTGCTTTTCACGCTGCGCGAGGACACCCGCCACGGTGGACAGCTCACTCGACACCTGCGCTAGCTGTCGCCGCAGCGAGTGAGCCTCCTCTTCCACAGACGTCTTACTCCCCTTCGCCTCCCGCACCGCCGTCTCCATCAGCAGCTGCTTCTCGCACAGCGCGAGACGGTGCTCCTCGGCAAGGCGGCGTACTTCTTTGGTGCGATCCGCCGCGAGTTGCTTCAGGTCCTCCTGCAGCTCACTCAACGAGTGCCGCGCCGCCGCCAGCTCCTCTGCGGCGGCCCTGTGCTTGTTCTTCCACAGCTGCACGTCGCCCTGCAGCTCGGAGATAACTGCGTCCTTGGACCGCACCAGCTGCTGCACGTGCTCTTCATTAACCGCTTTCTGCGCCTCGAGGTCCCTCGCACGCGACTCCTCCCGCTGCGCGACAAACTCCCGGTGCTGCTGCTCCAACGCCTGGCACTGCTTCTGGAGCGCCTCGATCTTTCTTTTACCCTCGTTGGACTCGGCGTGTGCCTTGTCGAGTGCGGCGAGCGTCGCTGACAGTTTGGCATCGGAGGCCTCCTTGCTCCTCTGCGTCTGCGTCACCTCGGCGACGAGGCGATCCAGCTCCTCTGTCGCATTCCCCAGCTCGTCACGCATGGACTGGATGCGCGTCTGGAACTCGTTCTCCTGTTGCGCCGTCACGTCGTCCAGCCGTCTGGTGTGCTCGTCACGCAGCTCCTCGATGGTCTGCTTTAAAAAGGCCACCTCCTCGCTGCGGTTAGTGCCCTCGGCTGACACCTTCGCCTCGAGCGACAGGCGAGCCTTGTGCTCCTTTTCGGCCCGCTGCACGTAGTCCTCGAGCTCGTGCTTTAGGCTCTGGTTACTCTCACGCAAGAGGTTCATCTCTTCCTGCGTGCGCGTCAGCTCGAAGCGGGCAAAGTCCAAGTCTTTCTGGATGTCCGACAGCTTCAGCAGCTCCCGCTTCGCTTGGCTGTACCGCGCGCGGAGTTCGTCGTACTCATGGGCTGAGATGAAGGCCGAGTTCGAGACGGACGCGCGACTTGGATAGCGCATCGACGCGCGCTGCGCTGAGTTCGTGCGCAGGAAGTTGCTGGTGTCGAGCACCATCTTTGTCAGATCCATCTCGCCTGTTTTCTTCTCAACTGACTGCGACGGCGGTGGCATTACGGTCCCATCCTTAGGCAGCTGGGAATCGTCCGCCACGACGGCGGGCGTCGAGGTCGTCTCCGCCGGTTTGCCCACCTCGTCCTCCTCTGGGAGGGGATCAGGTATGGTGATGCTCTTCTGGAGCCACATGCTGTCCGTCTCGCTCATCTTTCCTTCTGCTGTGATTCGTGCTTTTGCCGTAAATGTCTTCTGTATGCTGCGAAAGCACGCCGTGCGGACCACGCCTCCCAAGCCTGTGCGCAAACGCGGAAAGCCGAAGGAAGACTCTAAAGCGCGCGGAGCAACCGCCTGTGGAGGCCGGGAGGACGGTGTGAAGGGGAAGGAAAAGTCGATCTAGTCAGTAGAATTCGTTTGTGCACGAGCCGCAGCCGGTCGGAAAACGAAGCCTTTATGCAGGGGTGACGGCAGAAGAGTGCGTTGGTGCAGAGACGCACATGCGAAACTGAACTCTCTGTGCCGTGACGTTGCGAATTCAGCGATGCCCGAGACGTTAACGCAGCATGGAGTGTGGGAAAGAGAAAGGTGGGATACGATGAAGAAAAGTAGTAGAAGAAACAACACGTGACGGTCAAAGTCGGGGGGGGGGGGGTTGGAAAGGCGGCCAAAGCAGAAACGCCAACGTTAGCGCTGAGCGTATTGTTCCCGGCGGCACGTGGACGCAGCCGCAACTTCTGCGTGAGGCGGCGGAAAAAATCGGCAAGTACTTTTTTGTGACTACAATAAACACAGTGGCGTGCAGCGGCTCCCAAGGCGGCAAACAGTAGATCAACAAGAAAAAAGCAGACCCACAAGCGAGCGAGGTGTGCGCAACGCGCTCGACGTGACGCTCAGGGATGCCTTGAAAGAAGACGTAGGCAACTAAATCAGAAAACAAAAGGTGTCTCGCTACAACGGCCAACAGACGTACAGTCCACACGCTAACAGAGGGGGTGGACATAACCCTCCTTCGCGCGACAATACGGGCGCAACCTGCGCATCCACCGTCCTCCGTCCCAGAGAGCCGGTTGACAAACGGTAACGGGAAAAACAAAAACACGGCTCTTCTTACTAATGCAAGACGAAATATAACCAACAAAAACAATTTAAAGAAGGAGGTATGCAAGGCAACAACATGCAGGCCATCATACGTCACCCTCAGGAAAGGATACAGCGGCAACGCCACTCAATAAAAACAAAAGAAAGAAGCCGCACCTCAAACGCAAGAGATGGACCACAACAACCAAATAAACCCAATGGCGGCCACCTGCACAAAACCAGAAGCGTGAAGCCGTTCCCATCTTGACTTGTCGGTAGCGTCACTGTTGCCACGTACCACGATGAAGCATCGTTTTCCTCCGTCAGGTTTCGGCGCGTCGTCCCTATGCCCCTCTCCTCTCCTCTCCTTTCTTTTCCTCTCAACCACCCCTGTTGCCTAGCCTCCTACCGTGAGCCAAAGTCTAGAGAACATGGGGAAAATACTGTCGAACGAGGGAGAGAAACTGCGGCTGCTGTTCAGGGGTAACGGGCTGCAGCGCTGAAGAAGGAAAGAGGGCGTGAAGGCCAGTGTGAAGCTCCTCGGCGGACGAATACGGCTCCAGCGAGCTCGGTACGCAGAACGTCACGCCGTACTTGGAGACCGCCGCCGGGTTCGCCTTCACTTCCCGCAAAATGCGCTCCAACGTCGCGCAGTCGGAGCACCGCGCAGCACTCAGGTACACATTACGCGTGTCCTTCGGCTCTGCCGGCGGCGACTGCTCCTTGAGAAACGGCGGTAGAATTCGCTCACTCTTATCGTAGTCCACGTAGACGGCGGACGTAGGTTTGGAATAAGGCGCGAAGAGGTCGTGCGAGAAGTGCGAGGGGCTGAAGGTCGGCGTCACGTCGGGGATGATGGACCCGACGTTGATCTTGCGCACGCTGTTGGTGCGATGCACCTGCGCAGGAGACGGCGCCTGCGCGCTGGAGAAGTCGTCCAAAAGGGTGAGAAAGGCCTTCGCATTGGCCGCGGTCACGTCCACCTGCATGCCGTCACCGATGAGCTCGATCACCTGCGGTCCGTCCGGCACGCTGAAGGTGAGGCCCAACTTTGCAATCTCCGTCCCTTGCACCACCCCGCTGCGGAGCAGACGCACCTTTTGGTTGAAGTCCCTCACTTCGTAGGGTCGGCCGATCTGCCGCAGCGCCTGCCGCCGTCGCACGTCGGCGTCTGCGCCGTTGGCCGCCTCGCTCGCCATCACCGCGGCAGGGGGGTAGACGTTCACCACGCCCGTCTCCGCCACGCGGGCCATCGGACTGAAGAAACCGCCGCTGAAGTGGCTCGGGGAGTAGAGGTCCGACTCCCGTGCCGGGTCGTAGCCGGAGGCCTGCGCCACCGCCGCTGGCAAGGCAGCCGGAATAGAAGCGACAGCCGGGCCCGTCGGCACAGAGAACGGCGAAGGCCCGCCGCCGCCCACAACTGCGGTGTTTGCGCTCAGATTGACGGGATTCGGAGAGGCGCTCGCCGACGACGCTCGAGCCTGCCACGCACGCGTCTCGCGGTACTGCGCGAGTTGGGCTCGATAGCGCGGGAAGTCGTCGTACTCCACCGTGATGGCGCGGCCGTTGGGGATGAGCTCTTCAATGGCGCCGTTCGGGGCGGGGGCCACCCACCTCAAATTCGCCTCTTCAAAGGACTCCCGCGGTGCGGTGGCGAGTTGATCAACAAAGTGGAAAAAGCGAACGTTGGACGCCGGCGATAAGACGACGGACGCGCCGCTCTGGGCGGAAGACTCAGTCGATGCGTTGTTCGGGTTTTGTGGGGAGGGTGCGTTGGCAGCGGAGGAGAGCGGTGTATCGTTGTTTGGCGGCGAAGAAGACTGGCCGCCACTTGCGTTTCGTGGTGGCACGGCCGGTGTCGCGCTCATCTCCTCGTCGAGGTACTGCAGAGTAGAGCGGGCGACGTTGAGGCCGAAAGCCTCTGCGATAGAGGCAACAGAGATGCTCAGCTTGCCAATCAGTCTGGACACCTCCTCCCGCTCAAAGGGTGAAATACCAGACGCGTTTGCGAAGGCCAACGCTGACAACTCACCCATGGCAGCCATCATGCGCATTAGCGACACCTCCACAGTCGCTCCGGCCGTGCCACGGCTGTCGCGCTTTATGGCTTCGTAGTACTTCTCCGACAGCTGCTCGAGCAGCTGTGCCTCCGTGTCAGCGGTGCCGTTCTCCCCCGACATGCTTGCAGCTCTACAGCTCGGTATTACTTCGTTGGCGTGCTTTTCTTTTGAGGAAAGCGCGACACCCACGGAATGATCAGCGCACCAAGGAGACCGGGTTCGCCTCTTTTCTTCTCAGCGACGATGACCAATATATATATGAATATACCTATTTTCATGCAACGATGATAGTCCGGGGATGTTCAGTCACAGCACGAAAGAACGTTAATCCCTTTAAAACCTGCAATTCGTAGCTTGCAGCCTTTTGCGCCGACAGCAAAATGAAAAGAGCCGGAATGTGTGGAAAGTCAGGACGATAAATCGTGTGTCTTTTGCTGTGGATTCTCGTTTGCTATGCGCATGAACTCGAGAGAGCGGAAAGCCAAAGCGCTCCTCTGAAGTACTTTCAATCAATAAGAAAAAATATATTGAAACACTGCTAGCAAAATAGTAGAAAGACAAGCAGAAGGAACAGCAGTGGTGCGGACAGTGGGGGAGAGAAACGATGTTGGGAATCGGGTTGGTGCACGGGGCGGTATCGTGGGCACCACAGATCGTGAGAAGGTCGATTGAATCTTGTGGCTGCTGCTCTTCGGGTCGAATGAGAAAAGCTTCCACATTCCGTGGCGCGTATTTGGGATGCGTATCGTGGTCCCGGTGCAGCATCTTACAGTGCCACTCTGGCCACAAAAGGCAGTGGTAGGATGATCATTTGCGGCAATTGGAAACCCTCGTCAAGAACGAATCAGCAGCTCCACCGTGCCCAATAACCTACAACTCTAAGCAGAAAAACCGTCAAAACAAAAGGACTACAAACCGGCAGCGTTGGATATCACGAGCGGTGGGTTTCATATACGCGCGTGTGTGCGCAACCGTGAAGACGCGAAACGCTGCACCTCCAACCGCAATGGTGTTCCTCGCACTCTCTTCGCTGCCACCATCAGATGTCACGTCGTCTGTTCGAAGCAGCCGGCTTCGCCACGCGCTCGCTTCGTTTCACAACGCGGTCCTCCTCGACGTAGCGGAATCCGCGCAGGTTGCCTTCAACGTGCTTTCCTGATGTACTCACGCATGTGTAGGGCCCCGGCGCCCCTTGTGCGCTTGGCAGGGAACTGTGGCTGAACGTGCTCGACGACTTGCCGCTTGACTCCATTATTCCTAAGCAACGATTAGAGGGTGAACAGAAGTACAGTAATAGAGCAGAGAGGCAGGTGCAGGGGAGTGCCCAAAGTGTCTCTGGCGCCTAATATGTGTAAGAGGGCCACGCACACTGGAGTATGACGCCGCCGTCTTGGAAGTATCGGCCCACAACTCGAGAATCATCGCAGCAAGAAGTGCAGAGGGGAAGTAGGAAAAGAAAATAATAGACTGTTCGCTGCAACATCAAAACGAATGGTAAATTTCATTCGTTTCTGCAAGTGGCTTGACGGTGTCTGTAAAAAGAAACCGATGCGAGATGGCGCAAAGAGGTGAACTGTATGCGTAGACAATCCGGTGTCCTATCAGTTCTCTACAGCCTTTTTCTTTGACATGCACTTGTGAACCGTCAAGCACGCGGTGCTGTCGCGACACCCGTCTGTCCTCTCTCTTTGTTTCTGTCTTTTCCTTTAATCATTGGCTTAAGTGTGAGTGGCTAGTAAGACGCAACTCGTTACAACCGCTAGTGACCGATGAAAGAACAAAAAGGGTTCGCTGGAAGGAGGCAAATCGAGACAGAAAGGTGAGGCGCCTTTTATCTTCTTCTTAACGGTGAGTTCGCCCATACACCGCAGACAACCCTTCGCGCGCCAAGCCGCATCAACGCAGAAGATGCAGCAATAAACAAAAAATGGAGAAGCCCGAGTGCACGAGCACCTCTTTCATCGCTGCATCTACTCGCGTCATTCAACAACCGCAGACACGCAGAGGAGCCGCTATGACGGGATGTCACCCTTCTGGCGCACCTCGATGGGGTAGCTCTGGATAGACGGGTAGTCGTACAGGCGCTTGTTGTCGTCCAGCCGCACCTTTCCACTCCACAAATCCACCGAGTTGGCATCGATGCCCTTCTCCAGCGCCAGCTCCTGTTTGACCTCCCGTACGTACTTCATGGGGTCGATCATCTTGCGGTGTGCGTTCGGGTACGGATCGTAGGCGAGGCCATTGCCGGGGTTGTTGTTCGGCGGGGGCTGTTGGTACTGTTGCTGCGTGGATCGCTGCGGCATGCGCGGCTGCGACGTGTTCTCCGTGAGCGGCGCCGTGTACCCGGCCGCGGCGGAGGAAGAAGAACAGCGCGACGCCGCAGTGGACGCGTTCGCGCTGGTCGGGATTTTACCGCTGAGCACATCGCGGTAACGCTGCCGCAGCGAGCGGGCATCCATGCAGTCGGAAAAGTTCACACCCTTTTCGTAGAGCTCCTTGGTGATGTCCGTCACCTTCATCGTCTCAACTGGGTCCTCCTGTGCGGGGGGTTCGACGTCCACTTCGATCGTCTCCACTTCGATTTCTTCCTCCTTCACGGTGTTACTGGCAGAAGTGGGGTTGACGCGGTCCGAGACCCGCTCGCCCTCCACCCGCTCCACTGCTGGCGTGGCCGGCTCAACCGGGTCCGGCGTGGGGGCCTCCTCGCCGAGCGCCTTCGCAAGCGGCGGCGGCTCCACCTCGAAGTCTTCCGGCGCGGTGCGCTTCGTCTCGGGCGGCGGCGTGGTGAAGCGCGCGCCGTCGGGCCGCTCCGTCCCCCACAGCAGCTTCAGCAGGGCATCGACCTCCGCTTGCATGGAGCGGGTCTCGTTTTGCAAATTGGCAAGGCGCGTGTTGTACGCCTTCAGCGATGCAGAAAGAGTAGCAGTCTTCCCTTTGAACTGCTTGTCCTCGATGGCTGCCTTCCTGCTCGCCTCCTGGAACTTGTAGGCGACGCCCTTCATGGTGTCTGCCATGTCCGCGAGATCTAAGTTCTGCCCCTTGCATTCCTCCTTCAGCGAGCTCAGCGGCTTCGTCAGGGAGTCGCGAACATCGGCGTTGACGGTGAACTGACGGCACGGCACCGTCAGAGCCGCAGCCTTCACGACGGCACGGCGCAACATTCTCTTCTCTTTCTTCGCACGCGAATTGGTCTTCTCTGCGTTATTTGTGTTTCTTAGAGGCTGTTCCAAACTTGGCGGCGGGGAGGAGAAAAATGGAGGAGCAGCAAGAGAAAAAGAGCAGCGAAAAGACTTACGAGAGGGAAGGAGAGGTCGTTGCAACAACACGAAGGGGAACGGCAGCAGAGAGGAGGTGCAACAGGGCGTTAAGGTGTGTAAAATACCGGGTGCTCATCAGTCAATTTTTGACCCCTTTGTCCTCGTCTGCAGAATAGCAAAGGCGTGCAGCATAAGGACAATGTGAAGGTAGAACTGGCAAAGAACTCGTCATGAGCGCCTTCCGCTTTCAGCGAGCGTGTTGCTGCCTGCATGTCATTCTGTGAGGCAGAATTGTTCTGCCTCTTTTCATTTTACAAAGTTACCCCCCGGCATCCCTGCGCAGATCAAGCAAGAAAAAAAATGTTAATGGCCGCTTAATTTTTCGCTCAAGGGAGAATAGTTTTCTTTAAACGAAAAACGCGGCACGGCGTCGACGGAAACACCTGCAAGCAAAGCCCATGTTATTCGAAAAATATACCTGGAAACGAAAAACAGAGTTGGTGATACGATCCATCGGCGGAGCGGAGACACGCACACACTCTTTTTCCCATGTACGCGTGTCTCTACTTTGGTAGAAATACACCAACGCGCGGTCGCGTCATCGCCTCTCCTGCCGCAAGCGCATACACTGTCACCGACGACAAGAGACGCGTGTGGTGCCACGCAGCAGCGTTCATCATCGTCACACGCAAGGAGCCGCAGCTGTGTATGTATGTATGTGCACGTGTATGAGAGTGTGCGTGTGCTGGCTACGACTTACGCAACCGCCACACAGGTCGCGCCGGTGCGGCTCGAGGCCAGGAAACAGTGCTTCTCCTCTGCGGAGAAGAGCACTTTGATAGTCAGCGAGCACGTTGGGCACTGCGCAACATCTTTGCCTGCAATAAAATCTTCCAGAAGAAGTTCGAAGAGGTCGCCGCACGGACACGGGAAACGCAGCACGCCGTCCTCCAACGTCATCTCAGACAGCTGCACCTCTTCGTAGTGGAATTCCTCCATGTGTTATATTTGTTAATTGTAAAGAAACAATCTGCGGACTGAATCGTCAAGAAGAAGAGAGGGAGTTTGAAACTGAAGGACGAGGCAACGAAATAGAGGCGGATAATGGAAGCGTTGAAAAGAGTAAAAGAAGGTAAAAGCAGAGATCAGCACCTTGAAAAGCAGCTTCCAGGTACGTTTGATCACCGCGAAAGCAATGCGTCAAGGAATCGAAGGCAGAAGAAAGGAGAAGAGGCAAAGGAGAGGGGTGAAAGCAGCAAGGGAAGGGGAGAACATGAAGAAAACAGCGTTACTTCATTCATATCTTGAGTTCTGAAAAGCGCACTGCGTCTTCTAGAATCTCCTTCTTTGAAAGCGCAGGGTTTTTTTTGAGGTCTTTTTCCCCCTTTGAGTAAAAAAAAAATGAAAAGAAAAGAACTTGTTATGAAGCAACTAGCAGTCGGCAATAGGGAAATGAGAAATGTGTCGTGCACCGCAATTCGTGGGCGTCAAGTGCTCTCTGTGTGTATGTGTGCGTGCGTGTGCCGAAGATGGCCGCCGTGAACACGGTGCTGCCTGAAAACCACCTGGCTATTTGGCGCCGTCCTCCGTGTGGCCAACACTCATCACTGGTTCTATGTGAAGTTGTTTAAGAAGGCGTTCATGCGGGAAAACAGCGCCTGTCGCTCGTCCGGCCACGCACGCATGAGACGCGCCACCTGCTCCTCCCCACCGCCCATGTTCCGCACGGTGAAGAGAATTGTGAGCAGGACAACAAACGACGACGGCGCGTGCAGCATGTCCTCGTGGGCCAGCAGCAGCAGAGACGCCTGCTGGCACATCTGCGAGAGATACGGGATGTGCGGCACAAAGACATCCAAAAAGTCCAGCGGGGACACCTCGTGGGCGTCGTAGTCGAGTTCGCCCAGCACCGCACCCGTCACGTTCGTCGGGGAGGCGATCTGCACGGTGGAAGAAATATTCCCAGCGAGGGTGAGACACTCGCGCAGCACCACGTCCATCGTCGTGTTGCCGCAGCCTTCGTGCAGGCGGCCCAGCGTCTCTTTGCGGCACGTGCACAGGAAGCGTTGGAAGAGCCGCACTGCTGCGGTGTTCACCTTCGCCGGGAGCTGCGCGTAAAGGGCGGAGCTGTAAAAGCTGAGAATGAAGCGCGTGTATGGGCTCGTCGTCTCACCGGTGTACATGGCAGACAACGGACTCTCCTCAAGGAGGGTGACCATTTCTGCAAGAGGGGGCGGCGCGTCGGAGGCGCGGACGGAGTAGTCGTCGGCTTGTTTTTCAGAGAGGAGAAGCTCCGAGAGCACGTCGCGCTCTCTTGAAGAAAGTTGGCGAGACGACTCCACCACCCGCTCTTGTTGCGCCTCGTCTGTGATGCCCTCTTCATTCCCCACCAGCACCGCTACAGCGAGGAGAAAAGATATCTCCTTTTCAAGTGTGGACATCCCTGTAGTGGTTGTGGTGGTTGTGTTGGGGTAGTTACTCAATTAGTTACAAGGAGAAGGTAGCGAAGGCGTTACGCATCACAGATTTCGAATGAACCGACGAAAACAGAAACCTAAAGGAGGGTGTGGCAGTCTTCCGCCGAATTGAATGGACGATAGTAAATGCGATTATCGGAGTAGCTGTATTAGAGAAAATAAAAAGGGAAGCGCTCGCTTTGCTGTGTTGATGTGCAGTACCTCAACGACTGCAGTGGCATTCGTGTAAGCGCACCGAGGAGAACGCAGCGATGAGAAAGCCTCGGCGGGGATATAAAAAGCTAAAAAGATCGTTAATGGATATACGCTTGTCCCCGGGGGGCCTCTCCTGCCCCAAGTAACAGCGCTGGTGAAGGAGGCACAGGTTTTTTGTTGAACACGTGTTCAAGGAGGGCTTTCGCGCTTACGAAGGGCGAGTAACTGAATGAGAGTTTCTTCCGGCAGAGGTTTCCAGCAGCCGGAAATGCGTACCACAGAGAAGAAAACAAACTTCAAGAGCTTTCTACGTGGCCCCGCGATAGCAACAGAACTGTTAAGGAGTCAAGAGGAAGAGGAGTCGAGAACGAAGCGATAAAAGCATCGGCGGCGGCGCACAACGTCAGTCAGTTTGGCCAGACGTCATCTCCGTAGTTTAGACGCCACCGTCATGGTATCGCTAACGACAGCGGCGACACAGCTGATAAAAGAGAAAAGGACTACATAAGAGCGCTGAGACAACACGCAGATTGGCCCTGTGAGCCGAAAGCTCTCCAGAGAACACAACAGCGTATCGGCGTCTATTTGGGGGGGAAAACGGTGATGTTCACTTTTATCTTTTTCTATTTTGGCTAGCGAATCGCTGCAGCAAACCATACGTATACGAATAGCTTCGTGTATCTGTGAAATGGCCAGTCCTCTACCACCTCCTCCCCCGCCTCCCCCGCCTCCGCCTTTCCTAGCCGGAACAGATTGCGTCGAAATACAATGCCTGTCTTCCGGTCCGCCCAGCACTCATGGACGGAGAAGGAAAAGGCCCAAAACAGCAGCAACTTCGTTCTTGTGGCTTCTCAACGGAAGGCCGTCTCCATCTTGATCTTCGGATCGACAGCGAGCTGTTGGGAGCTGTATGTCCAGTTCGATAACCACCTTTGCGTCATGTTAACGGCCACTGAAGGAACCAGACGCAGCAGCGTGTTGCGCACGGCTGTGTTCGACATGGCGGTGAACTTGCGTGCACGGCGAGACTGACGGATGTAGCGCTCCACCCGATCACGGCGCACCGTCTCAAACTGTCGAAACGCGTACTCGAACCCGCTGTCACGCTGCAGCGGCACGTCCAAGAGCGACACGGCGAGCAAAGCCGCATCCTCAACGCACAACGACGCGTCTTGGTCGAGAAACGAGGGCATCGCACCGTGGGCAGCCTCGCCCATCAACACCGCACGTCGGTTGTACCACCGCGGCATCACCGGCACCTCCAACACCTCCGTCGGCACCGCCAACTTCGCCTGTGACAACAACGTCGCTACGTCCGCACCAAAGCTGGCGTACTCGCGACCGAGAAGACGCTGAAACACCTGCAGCACCTCTATCGCATCCATGTCCGCGCGCACGTCCACCAGCTCCTGCGGGAGACGGTGCAGGGTGGCGGAAAAGGCGAGGGTGTTTTCGCCGAAGCGGTGCAGCGGGACCACCCGCAGCGTTCGGCCGGCCCCCCAGCATTCTACAGGCTGCGCGAGGTGCGGTGGGCAGTGAGGGCACTCCGTGAAGCCGTCGATCTGCATCGAGTTCAGCGAGCGGCTGCTCGTGCCGACGTGCTCGTTTGGGTAGAGCAGGCCGCGAATGGTGCTGTGCATTCCGTCTGCTCCCACAACCACGTCGCCCCACTCCGTCGCCCCGTCCTCCATTACGGCGTGCACGCCGCCTTTAATGCCGTCGTGGGGGAGTAGATCCACCACCCGGCAAGAGAACTTTATTTCGGGAATGTGCCGTCGCAGGGCGTCTCGCAGGTACGACGCCGGCATCGTGCAGCGCAGCGGGACGTGGCCCATCTCCTGCCTCTGTGCCTCCATGAGTCGCTGCGAAACAATGGAGTCGCTGTTGGCGGGCGGGGCCGTGCTGAGAGGGATTACGTCCTCTGCGCTCAGGGCGTGCAAGTGCAGGTCTCTATTCGGAATGCGCAGCAGCCATTCGCCCTTTTCGTTTTGAATGCCGAAGCACTCTTCGGGCCGCATCCCGCTGTTGGTGAAGATGTACTCCATCCCAAACGCCTTGAAGCAGCTGAGGGCATTGGCAAACAGTGTGTACGGGATGGTGTAGTTCGCTTGAAGGAACGGAGCCTGCTCGAGCACCACGCAATCCACGTTGAGCCGCCGCAGGAAGACGGCGAGAGAGAGCCCGGAGAGCCCGGCACCTACGATGACGACACGCATTCAGTAGAGTTCAGAAGCAGAGAAAGGGAAATACTGTGGTGGAAGAGGGAATCAAGTGTTTTGCGTCGCACTGTTGAGAGTATCACAAAGGAGCACAGAGTGGACAGATATATCCTGTGGTTGTTTTCCTGATGAAATCCACTTTTGCGTACTCGACAGAGCCGCGATACACGGAAGACGTGCTCTGATTCTTTCAGCCTTCACTTTTCCTCTGTTTGTTCGCTTGCGCTCCTTCTCCCATTGACACTGACGGGGCACAAGACGCACAAAAAGGTTGCGGTGTATGAGGCGCATCACGCATGTGCAAAACATCGTTTTCAAGGAAATGGAGAAGGAAAAAAAAAAACGGAGAGAAGTTGGTGAAAGAAGGATAGAATGCGAATGCCTTTGCGATGGCGTAAAATAAGAAATCGTGTTCGCAGAAAGATTGTTGCCTTTCATCCATCTCATCTTCTTCTTCTTTGCGAGGAAAACCCACATCAAAAGAGAAGGAGCGCAAAACTGTCAACCACGGCCCATCGTTTTCTGACTGAGTTGGCAACTATCTTCTTCCGCGTCTTCCAATGGTTACAACTATGGATTCCAGGCTTCATGGCGACATAAGGATGACCCCGCAACATAGGACCGAAGCTCATTCAACGTTGCTTCTCAAAAACAGGACACCATCGTTTCTTACCGAATTCTCAGCTCTTCACTGTTCTTATTGTTGTTGTGTTAGCTGTCCTCTTCCCATAAGGCATTTTCCGTGAAGAAGCCGGTGTAGACGTTTGCATTGGTTTTGTCGTTCGAAGGATTCTGTGGCAGTTCGGCCTTCGTCATCGCAGATTCAGCGGAAATGTTCACCGCGCCGCTGTCGTCTCGATGGGAGCTTGCCGCCTCGTCGCTCTGCAGATTGCTGTAGTTCACAAACTCCTCCTCTTGCTCCTCAGCGCCTTCTTCGGTGTTAACCTGCGATGCATCAGCCGACACGCTACCAACCTCTCCCACCTCTTCCGCACCGCCGTGAGAGCAGCTCGCATGCCCCTCCTCCGAACTCTCTTCACTTGCTTCGCCCACTCCTTCGCTGTCCTCCTCGCTCACCGCATTCGATGCGGAGTCCGTCACAGCAGACACGCGGTCGTGCTCTGCACGCAACGCATGCGCCGCCTCTGCTTCGACACCATCGTTCAAAGCGGAGGGAGAAGGCTCCATCGACTGCGCACCTTCTCCACTGCTCTCCTCGCCCTCCCTGCCATCCTGTTCTGCGGCAACATTATCGTCGTCTCCGCCCTCCAGCGCCTCCTCGTCATCGGAGGTTGGCGCGGGAGGGAGCGCATCGCCCTCCTCCTCTAACGGGGTTTTTGGTGCCGTCGGCAAAAGGGCGGCCCTGTTGACCGCTTCCACCGCCTCCTGGTCGTCGTGCGTGTGCAAGGTGGCCACATGATCCACAACATCAGCGGTGTCCTCCGTGGCGGCGTGTCGAACAACGTACTCGGCTAGCGCCTTCGCCACATCACCGCACGGTTTACCGTTGATGGAGGCGTAAGTGTGGTTGGCATGCAGCACCTCACCGCTGCGGGGATGTCGCAGACTGAGCACGTCTGGTGTGGAGTTCAACAGGACCCAACCGAACTGCCGGGCCAGCGCAGCGAGCGTCTCCCGCTGCTGCTGCTTCAGGGCGTCGATCGCACCCTTATCCACGTAGTGCTCGGCGTCTAAGGCGCGTTGCACCTGAGAAGTGGCGTGCGCGTAGCACGCCTGAAGGTCGCTGATCTGTTTGCCCTGCTCTCTCAGCCGCGTACGCGCTGCATCGAGGTCAGCCTGCAGTCGCAACCGCTCCTCCTCGAGGTGCTTCATGAACACCTCCGCCGCTTTCCCGAGTGGCCGCGGCGTCCACTGCGCAGTGACAGCATCTGTACTCTGCACCTGCGTGTTCGGGACCCTTTGACTTGCAGCCTGCACCGACGAAAGAGAAGCCGACGCCGCTTCCGCAGCGTGCAGCTGGCGCTCGAAGGTTTGCAAAGCTTCCATGCGTCGCTGCAACGCCTCCAGCGGTGCTAGGTTTCCTCGACAGCATTCTATAAAGTTCGTGTTCATGAAGTCCAGCTGTGCGTCGCACTCCGTCAGCACGTCCGTCAGCAGCCGCTGCTCCCACTGCAGCTCACGAGCAACACTCTGTGACTGCTCTTGCTGCTCGTGCGTGTTTTGCCTGCGCAGAGTGTGCAGTTCCGCATAAAGCGGCAGAAGGCTGCTTTTGTGCTCGCGAGCGCAGATGATCTCCGCTTCCCGGAGCAGGGACGAACTGCCGTCGCCATGAGACGCAGCGTTGCCACCGCCGTCGCTGCCACGCTGAGCGACGTGTTCCTTCTGTGGAAAGGACGAGAATGTTTCGTTGGGTGACAGCGAAGACGGAGCCGCTGCCGACGGCTCCAAGGGGAAAGACGCCAAACGAGCACGACAGGTGTCGCCGCCGCCGCCCTCACCTCGCCCCGTCGCCGCCATCGGCGTCGACTGAAGAAGCCGCCGGCACTGCTCGAGTGCAGTGCCGAGCTCATCCGCCCAGGCAGGCGGAGACGACGGATCGAAGACGGTGCTGCTGCTGCTGCGTGCGCCTTCCTCCTTAGCGCACTTCGCCGCCGCGGTGCCGCTCTCCTTCCCCTCGCTTTGGGAGGGGGGAGCAGCAGGCATGTCGTGACGCGGGCGCTTCGGCACACGCGAGCCCTCTCGCCACGCAGCGACAAATTGGGAAATGGCGCCGCGGCTGTTCGTCAACGCAGCCGTTGGCACAGCGACGCGGATGCCGAGTGCGCTGTCCAGATCGATCAGGTGCCGGTGCAGCGTCTCTGCGACTTCATCGGAAGCGCTGCCGTCCGTTTGTGTGTCAACCTCCATCCGAAGCTTAGGAAAGGATCGCAGTTGCTCTTGGAGACGCTGACAGGTCGCGTCATACGTGGTGCCGCGTTGTTGCCGGCCTCTGGATGCCGCGGCTGCGCCGCGCACGTGCTGCTCCGCATCAGCTTCCTCAGCGTCGCCATCAGCGCTGAACTGATCCGAGCTGCGGCTAGAGTTTAGCTGGGCTGGCTCCTGGAGTGAACCTACGTCGCTCGCCGAGGCCGAGTCGATGATCACGACGTCGTCGTCAGAAGAATGCATGATGATGTTTCAGTTTTGTATAAAATGCGGACAAGCAACGTTGGCAGCCACATAAACAGGAACACGAAGAAAAGGACGGAGGGTCCTCTTTTTATCTTCAATTCGGCCCTTTAACTTTGTTTTTGCACTTTTTCTTTTGTTAGCTCGTTGTTGACTGCGCCACACAGTCCAATAGAAATGATCGCCACTCCGAGTGTAACAAAGAGCAAAGAGGAGCGGAGAAACACTAAGATGCCATTGATCATGTTTGTGCAACGCAGATGGATGGGATCGCCTTGTGGATGTTGTGCGTGGATAACGTCTCTTGACTTTGCGGATAAAAGGAAGCGTGCTGGAGCGGCGACAACGCAAATGGGGTCTTCGTTGAGTCGCTTCCCTCATCCCTCTTCTCTTTCTATCTTCTTTTACTATCCCGCTCTCCTTCTGCGTTCGATCGCGAGACAGAGAATACGGTGCACACAGAGCAACATCAAAAGGCGGCGATTTATCTCGAGAATATGAACGAGAGCGAAGTAGATGATTTCGCCCTCAATAAACAAACGTAAAGCACTTTGCGAACGCACAACCAAAGAGAAGAATTGGTGCGCGTTGCCGCCGGTTATTGTCGAAAGAGGACGTGTCCTCGGTAGCAACGCGTTATGAGAGAGCAACACATACAGAAAATGAAGCCTCGGCGAGGAAAAGCGAATCTGCCGGTGTTGATTCCTCGCGCAGGCCAACATCACCGTCACCGCGTTCAGCCTCTCTTCCTTTGATTGGCGGTCTTACCGTTTTTGTACACAAGAAGTTGTGCCTACTCCCGTCGCTTCGACAGCCACGCAACACCGATGATGTCGCGCGCCGCGACGTACCACACAACCAGCGCTGCCACCGTGAGCGGCAGCATCGGCCACCGCAGCGTCGCGTGGGCGGTGTAGACGTCATCCATGCCGTCGCCGAGCACAAACGTAATGAACTGGTGCAGTTGCAGCAGTCCCGCCACGCAGGCGACCACGAAGACATCCGCCGCACACCACGATGCCAAGAAGGCACCGCGCTTGGGCATCAGCGCGAAGATGCACGGCGCCAGCAAAATAGTAAAGAAGGACACCATGAAGATGAATGGCACCATGGCATCGGCGGGTGTGAGCCGGCCCCACTTGTTGAGGAGGCTGAGCTGCCACAGCGAGAGGGTCTTCTGCGGTGGGGTCAAGATGCGAGCAAGTCCGCCAATGGTGTACTGCAGACAGCCAAACTTCCAGGCAGGCAGACTGCACAGGTGGACCACTACAAAAGGCACCACCGACACCCGGCGGGTGCACCATCGCCACGCCGACACAACAGGAGCAAATGGACACGAGGAAGGGCGAGGAGGAGGAGGAGCCGAACTCGACGCGGACGGTGCTGTAGCATCTTGGGCTGTCGTGGACGCTTGTGGCGCTTCAGCAGCGGCCTCAACAGGCGGCGGAGGGGCCCGGGACGTGCTGTCGTGTGTGGCTACCTGTTCATACCCGGCGTCATCCCCCACCTCCTCCGGCACTCGGTGCGAGGTACCGCGGCGGTACAGCGTAGTCGCGTAGTTGCCCAAAGCGATGGAGGCGACGGTGGCGAACATGAAGAAGTAGAAGCCGGGGTGGATGATGACGTGGGCCACATTTTGAATCTCCATGCCGGAGACCATCACCATCAACGCGAAGGTGTCAATGAAGGAAAACTTGCCCATCACGTCGATCAGCGCGAGTCGCTTGCTCAAGGGCCGCTGCGCCCACACGGTGAAGTAGACCAGACTGAGCAGCTTCACGTATGGATAGACGCCGCTGAACACCAACACGAAGACGGACAGTGGAATAAGTCCGGCCCTCCACAGATCGGTCACGGTGTTCCACATGGAGAAGGAGTAGGTGTTCATCTCCTTGCCGAGCAGCACGCTCGCGCCTGTCATCGTGTTCGACGCGGCAAACAGAAGAAGGCAGGCGGTGGCGAAGAAAATCATATTGATGTCTTCCAACACAAGACGGGCCGCTGCGACCGGCTCTCCCGTGGCGCTGCACCGCACCGGTTGCGTGGCGTGAAGCTGCGTGTTGCGCCGCACCATCCACGTCCCGCCGCTGACGGCGCACAAAAAAATGAGCGCCAGTGGCCACAACTTCGGAAAGCGCCGCAGGACCGCCGTCTTGCCAAAGCTGACGTGCACCGTAGCGTTCGGGTCACTCAAGTTGCGCTGCTGCGACACCGCCATTGCGCGAAGGACGGCGTCAATTTTTGTGTTCACAATCGGGGCAAGTCGCGGTATCAGCGAGTGACTCATCAGCAGACCGACGCTGTCGTGGGTGAAGAAGAGCACCTGTCGCACAGCCACGCCGGGATCGAGGTACACCTCACACGAGTTGGCATCGCAGCTCTCCATCGTCGCGTCGACCACGATGGTGCCGTTGTAGTAGTAAAAGTAGTTGTCCTTTTCCGGCACGTAGTAGTCCAGGGAGGCGTTGGTCACTTCTCCTGGGAGGTCGAAAACCGAAAAAGGCTGCGGGGCGGTCCCACTCAGCACATCGTCGACAATTTCCTGTAGCCAATCCACCGCAGTCTCGTTTGGGGGCGCCGCCACCAGCGATCGCACAATGTGCAACTGCTGTGGGGGCACATAAAAATCCAGGTGCACACGCTCCTCGCGCACAACTCTCGGCGTTGGACCCGTGGGAGCCACGTCTGCGTGGAAAACACTTGAGAAGATGTTGGCGGCAGCCCTGACGAGATGCGAGTCTCGGAGCGGAAAGACGCGCTTGGTGGAAGTGGAGTTCCGTTGTGGTTCAAGGTCGGTCGAGGTGTTCGTCAAACTCTGCTGCATCTGTGGCACAAGCACGTTGCAGACGTAGGATTGCAGATTCTCGTTGATGTAAGAGCGCATTCTCTGCAACAGCAAGTCAACAAGCCGACTCGGAGGGTCGGAATAGAGACGTGTGACGGATGCGTCCACAGTGCACGAGCTCACCGCGTACATGCGATCAAAGCACAGACCGTAGTTGGTGCTGTCTGGCCCTAGTGGCTCGCGCGTCAGGGTAAAATCGCTCGGATTCACGGCGATGTCCGCGTGCACCAGACCGGCATAGTTGTAGACAGTAAAATTTGAGTAGCAGTGCAGCGACCCACCGGTGGTTGAGGTGGTCAACGAGCGATTCGTGGCCCAGTCTGCTCCGCTGGAACCAAACACGATATCGGTGCAAGTCAAGTTGAAGGCATGCGCTCCGAGAAAAGATTCGTTAAAGCCCGGGAGAGGGACGGAGGTGAGGTTCAGCGAACTGAAAAGAAGAGCAAACGATAGGCACAACAACTGCATTGCGTGTATGTGTGAGGGGGGGGGATTGTGTGGTCTCTTTCGTAGTGCAATGGGGATGGTGGTGGTTCTCCCTTTCCAGCGCGAAACGGAGAAGAGCGGAGAGCAATAACAAAAACAATAATCAGGACTCCGTGTCGTGACAACGCGGGCGCCGCCAACGTTCCGTAGTGAATAGTTGAAGCACCCGCACAAAAGCAGCAACCACACAATTGAGCCGGGAAAAGGAACGGAATTCAGCAATGAAAAACTCTGCAACAAAGCAAGAAAGAAGGCCGAGAGCAGTGACGGCGCAAGTTGGCTACTATTTGATGACGATGACGATAAAAGGCAGGAAAACAAAAACAATCTGTCTGCTGGTAACGTGAACGCACACAGCAATACCAAAAAGTTGGTACGCTACTTTAAGAGTAGATATATGTGCGTGTCTCTGCTCGAGCGCAAACTCTAAAAAGACCACACAAAAAAGGTGTCGAGAAACGACGATGACTAATAATAATAACAATTAAAATAATAGAGGAAGCAACAAGCGAAAAAAAGCAGCGTGTGCTGTATCTGCTTTTGCTGGCGAAATAGGGAAAGGGGAACACAGAGGAATGCAAAGGAACACGCTGTCTGATGCGTACTGGAACCTTCTAAAAAAAAAAAGGGGGAAATGCGCAGGAGAGATGAAGCGAGGAGACGTGAATTAACGACCGAAACACCATCCACTGGCTTTACTACAGCAAGCACAACTAGCAGCCCTTCTTCGGCATTTTAGTCTTGCTCCGCATGTTTCTTACGTTCAATGATGGAGTGGAAATCGCTGCGACAAGACATCGATTCATTGCAAGAGAATAGAATGTGTTCTTCCTCCTCTACAAAGAATGCCAAACTGCGCAAACTCCGGTGCTACCTAAAGTGTGTGCGTACAGCCAAGGAATGTGGCTCTCTAGAACAGCACGCAAGTAGTTTCACGATAGAGTATCTGGAGTGTGAATCATGTCCATTTTTGTTCTTTAAACTTCGTTTGTTCTCCGTTGTGGCGGCACATAACACTTACTCGATCAGTTATTCGAATAGCTTTCGTTTACGGTTTAGTGTAAAAAAGTGAGATGGAACGCAAAGTCCCAGCAGCCAAACTCTTTTCTCTTTGCCGAGCAAAAAACTCAGCTACAACATCCACCACATCAAATGCGCTGTGCGAAGCATCAAGGTGTGTGGTACGGTGGCGCACACGCTGCTCATACGCCACACAACCAGACGAGAGAGGGGGGAATAAAACCGCCAACTTAAATCACAAGTGAACACCACAGCCGTTGCTAGTGTTTGCCGCTGCGTTTCTTCTGCTTCCTTGACTGCTCCGCACGTTGGCGGCGCTGCTTCAGCACGGAGCCTTCGTGGGATGCACGACGCAACACCCGCGCTGCGGCATCGCGTATCTTCACGCCGTCCTCCTCCTGCACCGCTGATTTGCTCCGAAGACGGTTGGCGTATGCCACCGCTGCCTTCACATTTGCTTTCTTATTTTGCTTCTGGCGGAGTAACAGGATGCGCTTCGAGACGCTTTCCTCGAGTACCACCGCATTCGATTCCTTCCGCTCGAGCAGCTGCGTGGCCTCCGACTGCAGCCGGTCTTCTTCGTCGTTGACAAGTTTCGCTAGTCGACGGCCTTCCTCGAGAGAGACGGTGCGGCCGGCTGGAAGGGCCAGGCGGGGCTGCAGCGCCTCCTGACGGTGCACCTGCTTGGCAGCGATACGCGACATAGCTCCGCCACTACACCAACAGATATTGCCCTAATAAAAGAAAGAGAGAATGTGTACGAAAACGAAACCGCACAATGACAGGGAAAAAGGTTCGTAGATGCTCAAGATCTGGGAGATGCGAAAGTGAAGGGACAGTGTGGACTAGACAAACGTTTTTCGGCCGGTCTTTTCCTCTGTCCGTCTACGGTGGTGCGAGATAAGCCGTGTCGGTACACAGGCAACGAAAGGGAGAAGAGACGAGGTGGGAGTGGAAGAAGGAAGATGGACACGCGATGGTACGTGTTGTGCGTGCGTGTGTGGAAAGGGACTTCACCGCCTCCCACGTGCACCGTGAATCACCGAGCCAAGCGTTGAGCATTTGGCCGCTTTCGCCACTCGCACAGAACCGTTTAAAAAAAAGAGCTGCCAAGATGCACATCGCCGAGCACACATCACGAGGAGTGACGGCGAAACACACACACACACAGCCGCTTGCCACGTACCGCAGCATGGACACCCCAACACGCGCGGTGCTACAGGTGCCTCACGCACACACGCCTCAGCTCTAGGCGACTCCGTCACAAAGGGCTATGGGGGTCTTCTTCGTCTTTGTACCGTGTGGATTGTTGTTCCTATTTGGGGGGGAGGGGGGCTTGAGTGTCACAAGAGACAACGAACTGTACAAAACAGAGAGGAATGTGAAAGACGGAAGAAATATATCTGATGCTTAAAGACCGCACCGCGAGAGGATGGCGAATGTGTGGAATTAAAAAGGAAAAACAAAAAAAACGCGCCGAAGTTCTTGTGAAGGAGCACTCGTCGATGTGTGAGCCGCGAAGCAAGCGCAGATGATCTGTAAAAGGCGTATTCAGAAGGAAGCGGAGAAGAAGAAACACAAGCCGTTACCTCTTCTCACTCGAACAGCGATGTGCAGTGATGGAACACAAAGCCCGTCACCGCCGTTGCCGCTGCAGAGTTCGCACCATAGCCAAACTCGCGGAATATACCACGCAGCCTTCGCGCCAGCTGCTCCGGGTCGTTGCCGTGGTACGCAAGAGCCACGCGGAGAAGAACAAGAAGTTCTTCGTCGTCCCCGAGAAGGGCCGCAAGTCGGCCAGCCGGAGTCATGGGTGACTCCTCTAGAAATAGCGCACGTAGCTGCTCGCGTGTCGTTCTCTTCCGACCACCCGCCGCTGCATCACCTGACGGCGACTCCGCGCGATCCGGAGACGCCTGTGCAGACGGTGGAGATGCCCGGGCAGCCGGCGGCGGTGGCGGCGGCGGTGGCTGGGCCAACTTCTCCACGTAGACCGGAATCGCGTTGCTCCGCACAAAGGCGGAGATCGGCGAGACAACGCGCACGAGAACATCGTAAGCGCTCACGCGCTCGCTCTCCTTCTTCGCGAGGCAGCGCCCAATCACGTCCGTCACCGCCGCACCGTAGACCTTTTCTGCGTTCGCCCGCATGTACGGCATGGGGTCGAAATGCAAGACGCGCTTGAAGTTCTCCTGCTGGGAGCATCGGCGGCGCCAGAACGGCGAGTGGCAGGTCAGAAGCTCATAAAACATGGCCCCTGCGGAGAAGATATCCGTCTTCCCGGTGTACGTCTCGCCGGCCACAATTTCAGGGGAGATGTACGACGGGGTCCCCACCCGTGATGCCACCGACTCGCAGGTGACCTCCAACGCGCGCACGAGGCCGAAGTCGCCCACCACGGCGTCCCCGACCGCGTCGGCGCCGCACTCGGTGAGAAAAACGTTGCCGGGCTTGATGTCGCGGTGAATGAGGCGCCGCGAGTGGCTGTAGTTGAGCGCGGAGAAGACCTGCGCCATCAGTCGCACCGCCGTATCCGCCGGCAGCAGCCGACCGCTCCCTGCGCACCTGCGTATTAGTGTCGCCACGTCGCCGCCCTCGCAGTACTGCAGCGCAATGCAGAAGCGGTTCTGATACGGCCCGCGCGACTGCTCAATCCACGACCCGATGTAGCGCACGATGTTGGGGTGGGTCAGCGACTTCAGCACCCGCACCTCCCGTTGCGCCAGGTCCAGCTCCGTCTGCCCGCACAGCCCTACCCGCATCACCTTCACCACGCACTGCGGCGGAAAGGTGAAACCGTGCCGGGGGTTCGCATCCGCCCGCATCCGCGTCACAAGCAGCGCGTCGCCGAAGCCGCCACTGCCGACCATTCGCTGCACCTGCAGCTCACGGCCCAGGATCTTGAGACAGTCCGTTTTTGAAGTCATGAGTTCAGGGAGGGGGGGGGGAGGACACAGAAAACGAAAAAGAAGAAAGAGTGCGCTGTGCGGGGGAACACAGAGACGGAAATGCTTCGCCGTTGATCCGTTGGGCGGTGAAAGCCTTTCTTAGAAGGTCGTTGTAAATGGAGAAGAGAACGGACAGGTGAAACTAAACGACACAGAGAAGTACATGCGATCCGCTTCCTGTTGGGTCTTCACGGACTGTGGCGGCGACACTCCGCCACACGAAACGGCCATTTGTATCTTGATGGAGAGACTCCAACGCCGGTAGGCCGAGCAACGTGGAGGATCAGGCGGATCGTCTCATTTCCCTCCCCCGTTGCTCCGCAGCTGCGGCCCGTTCTTTCAGCGTACTCTCTTGAATCTTTTGATGGCTGCTGCAACGCGTGTACTTCGCTTCATCGCAGCGCTGCGTCGGAACAGGCGGTTGCCGCGATCCACAAACCTTAAAGAGTAACGCACCGCACAGGGATTAGTGCGACAAGACTTGACAATTTCCTACGCAGCGGGACGGCAAAGAAAGGTGGAATACGCAACACGGAGAGGCCGAGTAGGCTGCAGTGTAGTTTTCTCTAGGCTTTTTTATATTTTCCTTTTTTAATGCTTCTCACGTGAGTTTGTGTCTTTGCAAAACGGACTCAACCATCCGGTTCACAGGTGCACAGATAGGCAAAGTCTATCTGGATTATTCAACTATGTTGGCTTTGCACGCACACTCATAAGCGCGTTCTGTCACCTGTCAACCGTACAGTCGAGCTAGGTTTTATTTGTTAGTTTCGTTAAGCACCAAAAGGCACACGACTTCGTAATTTCTCTCCATCCTTATTAAAGGTATTCGATACGTTGTGCTTGACACTTTCAGCTCCAGTTTGATGAAGAGAACATGAGATGCACCAATCGCCGAAGAGGGATGGGCCAAAGGCACTTCACAGTCAAAATAAACTCGGCCCAGCAGATCATCTATCTTCTACTATTTTCTATCACAGCCGTCGTTCCTGTTGGATGCTTGGCGGCTTCTCTCACGTATCCGGAAACCCACAATAGTAAGCGCTTTTACTCACATCAATTGGAGACTTATCCTGAATAAAGGAACCGAGAAAAACGCTTTAATAAGCTCAATTCAGAGGCAACCACCGGCGCAACACCACCGGAAGAAACCTCCGTATTCCTACTGCCCCAGGGAGCAGTGTTTGGGTTGGAAAAAATAGCATCAGCAGCTTTCTCGTTTACTGATGCTTTCCCCTCGAGTGTCCGGAAGCGCCAACGGTGCAGTCGAAGTGAACGAAGAACAACGTCGAAGATGAACGCCGCCGAAGTGACGCAAAACCTATAAACAAAACGCAAAAACAAAGCAAGAGAAAGCCGCTTCACCAAATTAAAGTATCGAAACAGCAAAAATGAGAAATCACGAGAAACGATCGAGCGAGGGAGGTACAGTTTGAAACGAGCGCAGTAGACTTCAGGGCTTTTCTTTACTCACGTTACCGAGCGATAAAAGGAAAAGAAAAAGTACTGCAGGGGGAGGAGTTGGCACACAGAATGGAAAAAAACGGGGCACCTAATTGGGGAAAATAAGCGTTCAGTGGCAGATGGGCACCAAAGGGCTGCCCGCTCCTTCAGTGCACCACGCCGCCATTTATTGACAGGCATATATGAATTTAGCGTACGCGAAGACAACGCTTAACTTCAAACAAATAATAATAATAAAGGGAAGAGAGTGATGGGTTACATACAAGTTCAGATCCAGCAGGTCAACGATGAGAGGAGGTAGCTGAAACGAGTGTGTTGGATGGGTGACGACGAGAGGCGGCACACACACTCAGCGAGGTAAAACACTGTACCAAGATGTACTTTTACCTCCGACAGTAGCGCGCGAAAACGTAAAAAAATATATAGTGAAACCAAAAACCAACTCTTACTTTCTTGTTCACTTTGCAGGTGAGTTGTGCGTCGTCTCAGCTTCATTGTTCGTTTCAAATGGGAGAGAAACGATCTATGATGTGCCTTCCACCTTGCCTTGCGTTTTTCCGTTGCTATCTATTGAGTTCTGCAACTCCGTAAAGTGCACCGAAGCTTCTTCGTTGGTCAACTTAAAGCGTTACGGCAGGCAACCAAAGAAAGGGAAGCGCAAAGCAAATTAAAAAACAACTCGAGAAAGGAGACACATTTGCGAATGGATCTATGCGGTTCCACAGAGCTTCAGAGACCCCACAGAAAAAAAAAGACGGCAACGGCAGGAAAGAAGCGTTTGCTGGTATAGGCGCACCCGTACCGTGTGACGCGCACGACAACGCCCCAATGCACGGAAGCCGAGACACAAGCACGCGAGCACGCGCGCAATGAGCAAAGAGCGAAGAGAAAGAAAAGAGGCGAATCAAAAAGAGAACTCACACAAGGGCAGGTTTTAAACAAATCTCTCACAACATCGCTTTGAGGGCGGTAGTGGTGGACAGAGCCACACCGCACTGGAAGAAGCAAAGAAAGAAGATTGAAAAAACAGTAAGTAGAAGAGGAGCGACGAAGAAAAGCTGTGCAGTGTGAAGCTCAAGTAGCTACAGGTGGGTAGCGTGGAAAACAAAACATAACTTTATTCTACTTCCTGAACCACTTGTTGAGTCGCGAAAACAAATACAAAAATATTGTCGGATGAACACGCTGACGGCACTAAGAAGATGAACGTCGCGCGAGCGTAAACGCACACATACACACACGAATCAGAAGAAGAAACACTTTCCTGTTGCTTCATTATATCGGATTAAGCATCATCATTGTGTTGGCGTGCAGCAGCATCGGTGGCTCCGCAGCAACCGTGGCAACGGGTGAGCTGGCCAGCGATCCGGGCGTGACGAAGCCTTCGCAGTTCTCCGCGTTGCAGTTGCACACAAAGCCAGGCATGATAGAGTCCATGAACTGGCGGTAGTCCATTGTCAGCTCCTCGCCCTTTGGAATGTTGCGCAGGGCCACCACGTTAAGGGAGTGGTGCGGCGCAAACGCCATGTTGGGTGAGCAGGAGTGGTTGAAGGCGCGCCAGTGAGCCGGGCTGCGGTCCCACAGGGCGTAGTAGTGACCACCGCGACCAATCGGCCAGGCGTTGTGCCGGAAGTCGTCGAAGTCGGCCTTGGAAAAATGCTCCTCGACGTAGGGCTTCGTGCACAGGCGGACGGGGCGGCACTCGTCGGAGAACACGATAGTCCCGATGCTGATGTCCTCGCTGGCGCGCAGGTGGTAGCCGCGGACCGGGTCGAAGCGCCGGACGTAGAGAGGGCGTTCTCTCTTCCAGCGCTCTATCGCCTCGTGTATCTGCAACTTCGCAAACTCGCGCTGGTGGAAACCTTTGTTCAGCCGCAAGATCCAATCCGCCGACCCCTCCTGCCCGTACGGGTACATAATCCCGCAGTTGGGGTTGATCTCAAGAAAGATCACCTTGTTACCGTGATCGCGGTCAATGCGGACGTCGATACGGCCGTAGCCAATGCCGCCCATCATGCGCTTGAAGGCGGAGCGCGCCATGCTCACCATGTCCGCCATGGCCGGATCGCTCTCCGGCACCTGCGCCCACTCCATGCCCTCGTACGACGCCCATTTCAGCTGGAAGTGCTTGAAGTCCTCGCCTTCTGGAAAGGCGACCTGCACCGGCGGGAACACCCGAACCCCCTCCGGCTCGCTCGCGTCGTTGCAGACCAAGACGGTCGCCTCGTCACCGCAGATGAACTCCTCCACCAGGGCAAACTGGTACTCCTGCATGAAGCGAGTGGCGCGTCCCTCCAACTCCTTCATGGTGAATACCTTGCAGCTCTTATCCATGCCGACGCTGCTGTAGCCGGAGATGTGCTTGATGATGCACGGAAACTGCAGATCGGCACACATGACAGGGATGTCGTTCCCGGACTCGAGCACCACGTACTTGGCGGTGTCGATTGCGTAGTAATGCGCCACCAGCTTCATATCGGGCTTGGACATTTCGTAGTACTTGGAGATGGCCCCCGTGTAGGGCACCTTGAACTCCTCCAGCGCCTCCACCACCTCCACACCGGCGCGGTCCTCGTCCCTGGCACCGTCACACTGGTTGTAGAAGACGTCGAACTTGCCGGACATGACGAGCTGTCGGACTTGGCGGTAGGCCGTCGCTTTTTTAATCAGCTCCAGGTGGAAGGTGTAGTGCGGGTCGTCGTGGTCGAAGAAGTTCTGCGGCGTCTGCACCAGCTCCCCTTCGAACTCCTTCAGCTCACTGTCGGAGCCCTCGTAGGAGCAGGCGAGGACGCAGACACGAATGAGCTTGGGGGATAAGTCTGACATCTTGCGGTTGGTATGGCGTGTGATTGTTTCTTTCGAAGTGTAGAATAGCAAGAAGAATTATGTGCCCTGCTGTGAGAGCTGCATAGGCGGAAGAGTTCCGTTGGGAAAAAGAGCCAACGTGCCAGATTGCGAGAGAGGAAAGGAGAAAGATGAAGGAGGCGGCTGGCAGCAGCTGCTTCGACGTGGAGGCCGTGAGGAACAAAGAAAAGCCTCTTGCACCAACAAAACATGAAGAGACCGCACGAGTAAACGGCAGTTCTAAATGCCACGGGAAGACCGTCTTCCACGTGCAATTCCAACGATGCGAGGAACGGCAAAAAAAAAGCCCTATCTTGGTCTGTGAGACGCAGAGTGCGCGACGTAGACGCTGAGACTTAGCTGTCAGTGTCTTCTCTGTGTGAGGACACATAAACTCAAAGATACAGCCGCACAACTAGGAGACGATCTAGCAAGGGGTTTTTCTTGACGTGTAAATGCAGAAGGAGCATCAACAGCTGTTAAGCATGTCTACCGCAGAAATGGCAGCGTCAAGCAGATGCTGCCTGGCCACGCCAGCAAAACGTTGACCGCAGCAGCAACAAAGTCGCTCTATCAGATCTTATTGACCACCTCGCATCCGTGACTACTGGAACACATTCGGGCACAAAGCGCGCTCTTACTTGTCTTTCTTTCCCTCCGTCGGTGATGCCTCCTCCGCGTTGCTGCCGCTGTCCGTTACAGAGCTGTCCGCTGTCGCTGCCAACACCTCCTCGATGGGCTGCCGCGTTGGGCGGTTGATCCGGCGCATGGGCAACAACACGCAGAAGACGAGATAGTACACGAGGAGCACGAAGACGAAGGTGGGAATCACGTACTCGCGCAAGCACACGCTCCAGTACGGTTCGCCCTCGTACACGTGGAGGGAGCGGGTGCTCGACATGGCAGAGAGGAAGAAATGTCGAATTTAATCACCTTTGTGTGTGTATTTGTGTTTCAGCGGAACCATGCTCCTCACGACGAGAAGTATCGCATTTGAAGGACGCAAACCGTCGCGGATCGCTTCAGCAAGCCGTACCCACCTTCACAGCAGCAGACAAAACAGAAAGGAAAGAGGGGGAAGAACCACAGGCGAGTGAGAGGACGAGAGAGGAGGAGGAACCGAACGATTCCAGCGGAGGCGGGGTTGACCACCTCCTCTCAGCGCAAAATGAGAAAGAAAAGCATAACAAGATTGCTTTACCATGGAGAGGGGTATTCGCCAGAGGCTGCCAAGGACGTTGTGCTCTCCATCCTCTGCGAGGGCCGCTTCGCAGGCGGCGACACGGTGAACGAGGCGAACGCCGGTAAACCTCTGAGACAACGGCGAAGCACACCAACGACAACACGAAGACGTTTTCCGCTCTTCGTGTAATCCCATACGCTGAAACTGACAAAAGATGCCCGTATGGCGGTGCTCGAGGACGAGTATCCGGTAGATGATCTCATTTTTGTTTCTGCAATAATCGCGTCATTTGCCACCGCATATTCGCTTCGCTGCACATGTGCGGCGGGCACTCTCTCCTCCCTCCACGCAATCCAGCGAAGAACGGAAAAAAAAAATAGACGGCGTGAAGAGCCGAAAGTTGGTGATAAACGATGCTAAGAAAACGGTACAGCTTCGCCAACACGGGTGTGAATGGACGGATATATTTTCTTTTCCTTTCTTACGTCGCTGTGCCCACTGCATCCACCGCAATGTCGCAGCTTTGACATCCAACACCCCATCCCAGCATACTCCACACCTCAAGGCTGGCTCTCTTTCCGGTTCGTGATGCACACACATGCACACACCACATATATATGTATGTAAGAAGGACAACGCTTGTCGTGCATCTTGACTACCTCGACAAGCAACTGCGTACACACGACGAGCAAAGAAAGCGCCAGTTGTGATGCGAGAGACAACACGTCTGCTCATCCATAGATATTCCACAGAGCGCAACCAACAAGAGAAGCCGCGATGCGAACATCAGTTTTGTGGGGTGAGAGAGATTGCAAAAAAGAAGAATGAAACGAAGATGAGGAGGAACACACGTACGTAGTCGAAGACAGGTACGATGACGCGTACGCGCAACCGTCGGCAAGCCTGTAAGGAGCACCGTTAAAGTGATAGGAAAGCCGTCCCACAGGCCGCACAGCGGTATCCGATTTCGCCGTGTAGCTACTCCGGGGTGTATATATATGAGTGTGCTACATACACCAAAGAAAATAATAATAATAAAACGAAAACGTTAAAGTAGATGAAAGCATCCTTCGCAACCCGAGAGTGAAGCGGGACAGCAAGGCAAAACAACCGAATGCATGTGCACGTGCGTGCGTGCTTGGACACCCAGTCACAACGATCGACAATATGTGTTTATTGGACCTTTCTTTCGTTCCAAATATGTTGGCTCACGGTTGCTCTGCCTTGCAATGTATATATATATAATGTCCCTCCCTCCTCGTTACTCGTTGCCGGTAATCTTGATGGCGAACTCGGTGCGGGAGGAATGGTCCGACTTCGGCTTCAAAACAACCTCCTTCATCTTGGGATTCTTGACGAGGGCGAGGTGCGCCTCGCGGATGAGCCACTGACGCAGCGGGAGGTTGTCCTCTGGCGGGTTGTCGTTGATGCCGGCCATCTGGTTGATGAGGTACTCGTCCGAGATGCAGTCCTCCTTGACCATGCGGTCGTAGGGGAGTTCGATGGTGAGCGTAGGCGCCATTTTTAAAAAAGCGAGTTTTTGAGGTTGTTCTTACAGAGAGGTTCGAGAGCGACGTCGAGATAAAACTGGAATACGAAAAAACACGTTCGGAAGGCACCGTTGCAACGAGGATAAGCAGCAGAAGAGAGCGGGGGAAGGAAGATGCAGCATCAAAAGAGCAGGCAAGAAAATGCAAGCAGCGCGGGAGGCGGTGACGGAGAGTTTCCCGGTGGAAAAGGACAAAACGACGTGCGACACCCGCCGTTTTCTTCCTCCTGCAGGCGACCCTTTCCCCTCGATAGTAGATGTCGATGTCGGATTGCATTCGCGCTGGCCATTGTGGAAAGGTAATCATATATATAGATAGATAGATAGATGAATCCCGCCAACAGGGTCGCCTGCGGCAGCGTTGAGCTGGTCGAAAGTCAAAAAGGGGATGCATAAGAAGGCATACGCTTGCTGGTGTGCTTTTCTTTCCTTTTGTAGAAGGCCCAAGTACCCTGGTCGGAGTACGCCATAGCAGGAAGAGACGGTGCAAGGCAAGGGAGCAACGACGACGACAACGCGCGAAAGATAGAAACCGCAGAGTCAAGCGCACCAATCAGTTCTTCTTCGATTTCAACAAGAGACTGTCCGCAATCGCCTCGTACCGCTGCAAAAAAGCGTTTATCGGCCTCCACGCGGAGGGGGTCTGATGGACCTGCACTGCCCACTCCGCCACAAACCGCAGCGTTTCCTCTTCCGGCAAAGCCTCCCCTGTCTTGTCGGACGGAGGTCGTTTCAACCCATCGCCTAAACGACTTGCGGCGGCATCTCCACAGATGACACTTTGTAAGTGCACATACGAAGGACGATCTGGCGACGACCCCGCCGTCGCGGCAGCTGATTCCTCTCGCGCCTGAGTCGCGCTGTCCATCGCCGCTTTTACAACAAATGACGCCTCCTCCTGCACCTGCAACGCAGACGGCGGGACACCCACACTTCGAGCCGCCGTTTCGCAAAGCTGCACGAGTCGTGCGACGGCGTTCATGCTGCTCGCCACGTGCAACACCACGACAGCGCCGTACAGAACTCCTGTAAGGCACCCTTCGCCGTAGCACCGCCGCTCCGCATCGTTCGCCGGCGGCGCCTGCACCTCGTAGCGTGTGTACGCCGCCGTCGCGTAGTCGCGCAGCTCCGCCTCGACAGAGACACGCCGCATCGCGATGAGAACGTAGCGGCTGCTCCCCACCGCGCCGTCCTCGCTCGTCGCCGGCAGCGGTGGGAGATCGATGTGCACGCCGCCCACCCGCATCGACTTCTTCCGCTGTGCGGCCGGCGCGTCGACGGAGGCGACGGTGAGGTTCTGGTACCCGCACACGGTGAGTCCTCTGTGAATGTTGACGCCCAAGTCGCGTAGCACAGGCTGGCGCACTCGCTCGCTGGACGAGAGCACGTGGGGCGAGATGGAAAAGGCGCGTCGATCCGGCGAGCGGGCCCCTTGTGTGCCTCTCGGCGACAGGGCGAACCACCGACTAGGGCTGAGCGCGTCGGCAGAGGCCGCAAGCAGCCAGCATCTGCCTAAAAGCTCTTCCTCTTGCGGCAGCACGTACACGTTCTCACGAGCGGTGGAGCCCTTCTTCGCCTTCGTCCTTTTCACATTTTGGTTGTCGCTGCTCATTCGCTGGCCCATTCCCCCTTCGCTACTGTCCTTCTTTCCCCCGAGTAACTAACTAGAACAAACCTCAGCAGCACAACGAATGCAAGGAGAAGCGAGCGGATACTTTGCTCCTCTCATGCTCAACACCTTCGTCAGAGAATAACGCCGGATTGAAAAACAAACGAGAGAGTGGCAGAAGGAAGAGCGGAATGCGCACCTGCACACGGCGGTCAGAACAAGGAAAGAAGAAAAAGCGAAGTCCAATAGTTGACACTCGCGCACGTGATAAGATGGGAACATCCACGCGCGGCGTTCTCCATGGAATAGTGTGGTGCCGCGCGTTCCACACAAAGCTAATGCTCCATCGTTGCAGAGCAGTTTTTGCTGCCCCCATCGCTCGCTCGATGTTCGCTGGGATACTTGGAGTGGAAAAATTATGTACGCTTCGGACAACGAAAGAGGAATAATAATAAAAATAATCTTAATGTGACGACACAGTTCTGACAAGATGAACAGAAGAACTGAAAAGGAATCGATGACACGTCACACCACCATGCGCATCATTGGTGCTGACTCGGTGGCTTGGGCCAGCAACATCGCAGCACTTCACACCCATTCCTTCTTTAGTTAGTGTTTGGCCATCCTTTATAAAAACACACGCTCCAAACACGGAGCTCGCAGGCCGAGGTGCTTCTCGCTGCTCTGCAAGGCTTTCTCACGCAGCTGCGCACTTCCATCCATTAAAACACCCTGAACGTGCTCCTCGGTGAGGGAGAGCGCCTGTGACACGAGGTCGATGATGCGCGGTGTCACGATGCTCGCCTGCCCACACGCCAGCTCTCGCATCGCCTCCAGCGCCAGCCGCTGCCGCTCTCCGGTCTGCGTCGTCTGTAGGGACTGCAGCAGCAGCAGCTCCGCGGTAATTCCACGTGGCAGCGTGTCCGCCGTTGCGGCGTACACCTCCCGCACCGTGCGTACCGCGAAGGCGAGGTAGTCGTGCACCAACGCCTTATCCTGCTCTTGCCTGTCCTCATCCAACAGGAACGGCTCGTCCGTCACGTGAGCCGCATGTCCGCACTTCAGCAGGGTGTGGGCGAGCATCTGCCGGGCCTGCCGCAGCGGAATAGGCAGGTCCGCCACCTTCGCTGATGGGCGATTTACTACGGTGCGCTCGAACACCGCCAACGCGTGTTGCCAGCTGTGCGCCGTGAGCAGCGAGTAGACTTCCGTGTCCTTGAGCCACTGACACTCCGGCGAGTCCGCGCCAAAGAGCGAGACAAGGTAGCCCTCCAACTCCGCCAGCAAAGGGCACGCGTTGCCGCCACTGCGGCTGCCACTCGCCGTCGCAGAGGCAGCAGCAATTAGGTGGCAACAGCGAAAAATGGTCTGCAACTCCGCCTGCCTCGCCTGCGGCTGCTGCGGCCATGGGTTACTGTCGTAGCTGCGCAGGAGCAGCTGTGCAAGACGCCACTTCTCCGACTTGGTGTGCACCCGCTGGCTGGAGAGCAGCTGCAGACACGCCACGCTGCAGGGCCGGTCCAGGCCGTGGCCGTCCATCACTAGCTCCTCCACCTGCGACCCAATGTGCCCGGCAAGGTGCTCCACGTGCCGCAGGGACTGCAGGTACGTCGCCAGAGCTTCTGGGTGCGCACTCCGCAGCGTGTACAGACCGCCAAAGGCCTTGAACAGCGACGTCGCGTAGGCGGCGTTGTGCGCCACGTTGCAGGCGGCCATGGCAAAAAGAAACGTCTCCGCCGTCGGCACGAGAAGACGAGAGGAGGTGTCAGCGAGGGTGACGTCCATCTCGCCCAGCAGCTGCACCGCCACCTCCCACCGACCCGTCGCACTCGCCGCCTTGACGAGCGCCTCCGAGAAGCGGCAGCCCGCCTCTCCGACGACTTCGCCGTCCTTCACGTTCTCACGAACCCGCACCAAGGCCTGCCACATCAGCCCCTGCTCCTGAGGGGAGGGGGACTGGTGAGGCTTGGCGAAGGTGTCCCCACGTCGCCAGACCGCATCCAGTGCGGCAGCGTGCGCGTCGAGTGGGACGTCGTAGCCGCTCTGCGTCAACTCGTCGTAGAGGCGCAGTGCTGCCTGCCACGGGCGGGAGCCGAGGCCGTTCGTTCTGTACCCCGTCATGAGTCCCATGAGCCGCGCCGTCATGCCGGCCGGCGGATCAACTTGCGCCAGCTCCTTGGCGTACGCGTACACCTTCAGCGCACTTGTCCACGACACGTCCAGGTGCATGAGTTCCTCCAGCACGTCGAGCGAGGCGGGCAGCGCCCGGGAGGCGTGCTTCTGCAGCTGATACTGTGTCAAGGTCACCACTGCGTTGTCCGCCCCCTCCAACGTGAGACCCAACTTCTCCTCAAAGGACGTGCCTTTCACGGCGTACCGCTCCAGCCGTTGTGCTTGAAAGAGTGAAAAGGCGCGGGACTCGGCCGGCTCGACGTGGCTCCAGCGGTCGTCCCCCGCCCCCACCGCATCGGCGAGCGCCGCCGCGTAGGCGGTAGTGCCCATCTGCGTGACGACGTTGTGCTTCAGCAGCGCACTCGTGAACTGCGCGAAGGTGGCGGGCGTCAAGGCTTCCTTGTCGCTGCCAGCCACAAGAAAAAAAGCCTCCACCGTCTCTGCTTTGCTGGTCGACGTGCGGAGGAGATCCACTAAACGCTTCTGCAGCGCTGATGACTGCGCCGTGTCACGATGGCGGTACGCATGCTGAAGAGTTTGGCTAGAGACCAACAAAGAATTGATGTGCGGCGAGGAAGACGTGGGCGAGGAGGCGGCGCTGCTCGATTCCGCGGTCATCGCACTCGGCTGCGGTGACGCTGTGGCACGTGCGTCCATTCTTGCTGCTACTGCCGCTGCGGCGGATGTGGAGGCGGAAGCGGCGCCGTTACCTCCACTACGGCGGTGCGTCGACCATCGCTTCAGTTGCGCCTTGCGCCGCAGTGCCTTCGCCACAGACTCAATGCGATGGGCGCCAGGCATGCTGCCATTATCGTCGCAGTAACAGAATGCGGAAGATACAGGACGAAACGGTGAATTCGGTCCTGTGTTCCCCCCTTCGTTGAGTGCACAGCACACACACACACACGTTGCGATAAACACCACAATGAAAAGTTCGACTGTGCAGCGGTACAATATATATACGCGTAGCAGCGCTCCTTCGCTGAGAACTGAGAAGCACCTGAGTGAAGAGAGTGCGGAGTGCACGGGCGCGCCGGGCCGCAAGCGGGCAAGGTTCACACAGCTGCGAGCACTAAAGAAGGGGAAGAACGAAAGGGGAAGAAGGTTTAAAAAGGGGGCGACTTGGAGAGCAAAGTTGGTGCTGTCGTCATACCGCACAGATCGCGTCGAAACAACTCGAATTAGAGTTGTGCACGCATAACCCGAGTGATGCTACTCCGTTTTTTATGGTGGTGGTGATTGTGCGCCGCGATCAACGAAGTATGTTTAGCCCCCACAGACAACAGGTGCACGATCATCCACATGTCATTCAACGCGTACAACCTGCAACAGGAAAGTAGAGGTAGACGCTGCTGCGTTGCCACGAAAATCTGCAGTCGTCGGCGAAGTCTTAATGTTCATAGAATTGGAATTGTGTTCTTCTCTTGATAGTGGGAAAAGAAAAGAAAAGATCGAAGGGATGCGCGGTCCGTTGCACCACGCGCCGGTGTGGAAACTCACGTTGTATCCCTTTATCTTATTAGCTGAGCCACAACACACATACCCTACCCAACACCACCCAAAAGTGCAGAACAACAAAGCGAGGCGCAAACTCCCCCATGCTCATGCGTAACTACCACACAACAGTAAACGCGGTAATGGGGCCATCGCAGGGACTCGTGGGGATACGTCTGAGTTCGTACCTGATGGCGCCCAACACGGCGCCACATTGGCCAAAAAAAAAAAAGCGGTAGAAGAAGAAAAGATGATACAAGAGAAGAGCAAATACTTTTGGGGTAGAAGAAGAATTGTGTTTACAACGACGACGCATTTTCATGGAGGGAGGCAGCAACAGAAGCACCTTTGAAAAATAGAAGCACCGTCAGCCGTCAATGGAACAAAGCACATGGAAAAGAGTGGTGGAGAAACGAGTGTGCAAACGACAAGGCAAAACAAACAAACAAAAATACCCCAGAAAAAGCGCCGTTTCGCAGTTTCTGAAGCCGCAACCGTGAAAAAAAAAAGTAACAAAGAGAGAACGAAAGACACGAAAGCCGCTTTGCGCAAACGCCTGTACGCACACGCACACACGCGGATTGGCAAATGCTAGAAAAGGTGCTCAGAGCACTACCGGTAGAAAACGCTTCTTTTTCTTCCGTCAGACTCCTCTTTGGTGTCCGTGACATTACTTTCTTGAAGACACGCGCCACCGCCATACGCACCTCATAATTCCGCCTTGCTACTACAGCAACGAAGAAATTACGGTAGCCGGAAGTACAACGCTCTTCCAGCGAGCACATGAACAACCAGACAAAACAAGAGAACGGCATTGCAGCGTTTTTTTCTTTCAATTTCACTCTGATTAGACCGACGGTCATTGCGCAACGCGGCGCAACGCATCATTAATATTGTGAATAGCACAGACAGGGGAGTGGGAGGGAAGAAAACACACGCACAGCGCCGGTAAGAGAGGCCTTACGTGCTGGATAGCGAAGAATGCTCGCTAAGGGCCCGTGTCACCGCATTCGGCGCGGAGGCGGCGGAGTCCTCCAGCGGGCTGTCGGGCCACCGCTCGTTCGGTGAGTCAATCTCCTTCGAACGCTGAAATCCGCGAATCGCCTCCTTCACACCCTCCGGGCCGAGCTGCAATACACCCTGCGGCAGGGTGCCACCCGCAAGACCCTTCAGGCGCACAATGTTCTCATTCTCCTCCCGCAGGGTGCGGAACATGCGAGACAGCTTGCCCATCGTCAGAATCTTCTTGCGGATGTGCTCGCCTCGCTGCTCCAGCACACTACTCTGCCCATTGCCTGCATTAGCGCCATTGTCACCGTTTGTGGGTGAGCACACCACCCCATCGGCATCGCTGCCCGGCAGGATATACTGATCCTCGTTCACATCGATCAGGTGCAGCACGTTGGTCCAAATATCCAGCAGTTTCTCCGCCACAAAGGGCAGCGACCACGTGAAGGCGTTCATGAAGTTCGGCAGGTAGTAGGGGTGCGGGCTGCTGTTGAACTGGCGGATGTTCATGACGTTCTTGTTCAGCATCACGATGGCGGCCCGGTTGTCGTAGGTGTCGCAGTAGTTGGGGGCGGAGAAGATGCAGATCACGGCTGGGAATCCCTTCGCGGTCTTCTTGTATAGGTGGTAGCCCTCGTCCTGCGCCTCGTGGCCGCGGATGACGGTGATGAGGTTGTTCTCCTGCAGGAAGCTGCAGGCCGCGGCGTGGCTGTACACGTAGGAGCAGCCCCGCGTCGTGTTGGGCACAAAGTGCTGTGGGGCTGCGGGGTCTTCTTCCTTTTCGTCGAGCGGGTCGGCCCAGAGCAGGTCGCACATCGGGCCCGACGACGGCGGCTCGCGGAAGCGGTGGATGGCGTTGATGTCAGCGATTCGCTTCAGCTCCGGCGACAGACCGCCGTGCAGGCAGAGAAAACGGTTGTTGAGAGTACAGGCCAGCGGGAGGCAGTCGAAGGCGGACATCATCGCATTGTACACCGCAATAGAGTACTTGTACAGCACCTCCCGTTTAAAGTTGAAGTAGGCGGTGAGATGGCGGCTTTCGTGGTTGCCGCGCAGCATAATCATGGTCGTTGGGTAGCAGATCTTGTAGCACATGAGCAGCAAGATGACCTCCATGCCGAAGCAGCCGCGATCCACGTAGTCGCCGAGAAAGATGTACCGTTGGTCGCGTGGGTTGCCGCCGATAGAGAAGAGGTTCACCAAGTCGAAGAACTGACCGTGGATGTCGCCGGAGATCACCACCGGATCTTCCAAACGCATCACGTTCGGCTCGTCTTTCCAAATCAGCGCGCACCGTGTAATAATCGTGAGAGCATCCGCCTCACTCAGGAGACCTTCCTTTTTGAAGTGTTCCAGCGCCACATCAGGGCGTGGCTTCCCGTCTTCGTCGAACAGCTCCGTGCTTGTCAGCGGCTCCCAGACCGGGGGAGCCACGGACGGGTCACCGCGGTCCGTCATCAGCATCCGCTTCACCTTGCCCGATTGGTTTGAGACGGAACTGATAGAGACTTCGACCTCTTGCTGCTCCTCCGAATCCTCCGTGACGGTGGAGAAGGCCACGGCGTTGGCCCTCCCGTCTGCCGTGCGCACCGAGAGCGGCATTGTCGCAATCTGCAGAAGGAGAAGAAACGGAAAAGTTAGTTCGTTGTTTAGTTGCTGGATATCGTGCGCTCGAAACACCGCTATCGAGCATGACACAGCAACGGTGACCTAAGGAAGTGGCGAAGAGGCTGCAAGTTCAGGAAAAAGAGGCAACAGGACGGCTAATGGGGTGGCTTCGTATATTTATGTTTACGCCGCTATTTTGAGTCGAGGAGAAACAGCGAGTGGGAGGCGCAAAGAACAGCTTCGGCGAGAGAGGCGAACGCAAACCGCAAAAAGCGCCGCGAGAAGGAATCGGGATTCAACAGTCGAGAAGAAACGCGGAAAGACAGCAAAGCGGTACGACTTCGTAGCAGGCAAAGAAACGACGGCCTCTGCCCGCAGGAATAATTGTAGAGGATGGCCGAAGGAAGAACCGCCAAGAAACTTTCAAAGAAGAACGAAGAGAGAGAAACAAAGAGCACCGAAGCGGAGCTTTATAGCAAACAAGAACAGAAAAGCTGGCAGCAGCAAAAAAAAAAGGTATGAAGCGTGCTACAAACTAGCGGAGATGGACAGACACACACTCAACTGCGCAGATGTCCACTGGGTGAAACGTGTGGAGGGGAAGGTAATGAATCGTGGGGTCGATAACACGACAAAGCGACGAAGGATATATGCTTCGAAAAACAACCACAGAAGACCTCTGTGATGCTTTGCGCTTCTTCCTCGGTGTGTTTCTTACGCGACAAAGGACTGATGGAGTAACACCATGAAAAGGGTTCATCCGGAGCAGAAAGAAAAACCAGTAGGTGAGTAGAGAGCGGTCCCAGGCCAGGAGAGAGGAATGGAAGTGGGCGGGGAGTAAACAAAGAGGCCTACGTGAGACAGCAACGAGTGGCGCTCTTAAAGGGGCATCCAGTAACCCGAACTCCTGTGCGTGTGTGTGTGTGTGTGTATTTGCATAGGTAAAAAGAAGCAGTTCACGTCTCACAACGTTGGCGAAGGCAACCGTCGCGGCCCCGCAAAAGAACGGGTTGAACAAGGTCTGTGTGTCTGTTCTGCATACCCAAATGCATCAACCTTCATCGCTAAGCACGCCTATCAAGTTTTCGTTGGAAAACAGACACCAGAATGCCTACATAAATAAATTGCTACACCCACCGTTTCAGTATCTAAAGGAGTGTCAGCCTTCACGAAGCAGACACTCTTTCATTCTAACTGTTTAAGTCATTTGCCGCTTCGACTTCCTAGTCGCTGTCATCGTCGTCGTCGTCGTCGGAAAACGAGGACTCGGAGCTGATGTCCTCGTCTTCCGACACCGACAACGAAGCCTCAGACTCGGAGTCGTCGCTGCCGCTGCCGCCGCGTCGCCGCTTGCGCTGCGCCGGCGGTGCTTTCGCCTTTGACGCTTTCGGTGCCGCCTTCTTCGCCGCGATCGGCGCTGCTGCATTGGCGCCGTCTTTTCCCGCTGTCCCTGCCTGCGGTGCCGCCTTCCTCGTCTTCGGTGCGGGCTTCTGCACTGCCTTTGCGTCCTTTGGCTTTGCCTTCATCGGCTTCTTCCCTGCCGCCGCACGCTCCTCCGGCGACTTCGCCAGACACTCCAACACGTGGTTGCGGTGCTTGCTCTTCACGCGGGCGTGGCACAGCGGACACTCCTCGTCCATGATGCAGGTCCCGACGAGCAGCTGCGTCTTCTCCGACTCAGCGCCGTCGTCATGCCGCGCCCGTGCCCGCGCTTCGCGCTGCGCCGCCTTTTCACGGTCCTTGCGCTCCCTCCACTCCTCCAGCGCGATTTGGTCAATCAAATGTTGATTCACCGGGTAGTACGGGAAGCCGAACTGCTTCTTGCAGCGCTTGCAGGTCTGCAGCTCGTCGTACATCGACACATCGTAGTCAAAAGGGGCGCTGCAGTGCGGGCAGTTGTGCAGTGCTGTGGCGCAGCCGAACTCGAAGAGGCAGAGCTGGCAGTGCACCTTCTTGCCCCAGTGGCCCATGAAGAGCGAGTACTGGGGGCGGGAGTCGGGCTCCCACTGCGAGCGGCACTTGGGGCAGCCAATGGTGGTCTGCCGGTACAGGTCGCCCACTCGTGGCTGACCAATCGGGGTGCGGTTGGTGGACACCTCCGGCTCCGTGTCGGCAGCCGCCCACTCCTCCCACGCCTCTTCCTCCGCGGCGGAGACCTCCTCCTCTGACGCCGCCTCCGACCCCTCCTCCTCTTCGTCACTTTCAGGCGTTTCCCTCTTCTGCTGCTGCTTCTTGGGTGGCTTCCTCGCCTTCTTCGTCCGTGTCTTCTTGCCGGGTGACGTGGGGCGGGCAGCAGCCGCAACAACAGCGGATGCCTTCTTCGCTGCCGACGTGGCCGCCTTCTTGCGCGCCTTCGGGTCGGCAAAGCACTCAAACGCGCGAACAAGGCACTGGAACGCCTCCGTCGCCTTGTCAAAGCTGCCCTGCAGGCGATCAGGGTGGATGACGCCGGCAAGTCGCATGTAATTGCGCCGCGCATCCGATACGGCGGTCTCCTCCGTGACAGGTGGAAGGCCCTCCGCGAGGGACAGCGTCACGAAGGGCTGGCCATCCGCCACCAGCACGCGCCTGGCAAGCTGGACCGCGTCGGCCATGGATCTTTGGGGAGGAAGAGAAGAAATATATATAAACAAAATAAATGCTTCAAAGACAGTAAAAACAAAAGCACAAGAGCGAGAACCGGATTGCAGGACGTGAAGAAATACCCTCTGTTGTGGTGCTCACGTAGTCCAGCGGGAAAAGAGTGATGAGTGAAGAGTAGAGGAGCGGTGAAGCTGCGTTAAGGTGTGCGTAGGAGCAGTAGACTGAGGAGAGCTTTGTCTGCGGTGGGTATGGCTAAAGAATAGATGTACGTGAGTGATGAAAGGAGAACACTACCGAGACGAGCCGCACAGCGTCCGTACAACAGTAACGTACTTAATCTAGGAAAGAATAATTTTCTTTATATAGATGATTTGACTTCGTTTTTGAGTGCCTTAATGTGTGTCTGTGTGTGCTGTATGCGGGGAGATAGTTTTACGCTGCGGAGACGTTCTCCCTTGACGATCGATGTATTTCTTGTGAGAGTAAAAGAATGGAATAACGGACCTCCGAATTCTGATATAAGCAGCACGGAGGAAAATTGACGGCAAGTTCGGTGTTTCTTTCTGATCGAATTGAGCTGGCGTAGTACTCTTTCGTTTTGCATTCCGTGCCGTACAGATGGAAGAGCAGTGAAGGGCGAGGAGGCGAAAACGTGAGGCGTAGTCGGCCTAAGCAGCAACAAAAACAACGAGTTCACGCCGTCCCTTGTTCACGCGCTGGAGAGGCGTCTGCAGCGGAGCAACAGCAAACAATGGATACATTTATTTATTTTTTTTGCCTCCCACGTTAACCTTCAGCGGCGGCTTGAGAGGAAATGTGGAGCGGCGCTTTCCATCGTCGTCGTCCCTTTTCCTTCTTTTCAGCCTGGGGAACGGATTGGCAGAGAAGATTTCTGAGCGGTTCGGCTGGAGAGAGACGATGTCGCTGCTGCCGCGGAGTCCCCTGCACAGCGGCAGTGCTTTTACTGTTTGGGAAAAGAGATCATTAAAAGAGCAACAGAAGATTTAAAAATTATGAAGCACAACAACCTCAAAAGAAAAAAGAAGGCAGGAGTAAACACCTGAGCACAAAGGAAACACAAAGGATCGTAGTAAACGCTGTCGGTTGCCCACGCCCAATCCTTTATTGCAGTACTTGCAGTCGAGTCAGAAAAGCACGCGCGTTACCAAAGATGAAGGCTGGTGCGCGGCAGGTAAGCGTGATACCACCGCTGCGGCGTGGCCAAGGACAAGATGTCGCTCTCCTCCTCTTGCATCTCGGAAGGCTCGAGCATCACCCACTGATCCAGCGTTTCCTTTTCCGCCTCCAAGAGACCAGAAAGCCGCATCTCCCTGATCTCTGCCACGCCGGCGGCGCAGGACTCGATAAAAGGGTTCACTTGTATCTCCGCGTAGCACGGCCGCTGCGACGGGTTGAAGGAGAGCATGGCCTGCACCAAGGCCTGCGCCGCCGACGAGGTGCCGTCCCACAGGGGCCCGCAGCAGGAGACACCCTTCTGCATCTCCTCATACTGCTTGTCAAACTTCCCCTTGTTCAGGAAGGGGCGATGGGCGGTGAGAAGGACGTACGCGACAACGCCGAGGCTGAAAATGTCGCCCTTGTGCATCGTGAGACCGCTCTCCTTGATGTCGAGGTGGCCCGCCGCGATGGCACCGATGCTCTCGGGCGGGGCGTAGTTGCGGGTGCCGCCCACTACAAACCACTGACCCTCCTCCTGCACGATGTACTCGGCCAGCCCAAAGTCGATGATCATCGGCGTGGCGTAGTCTGCGCTGAGCACGATGTTGTCCAGCTTAATGTCACGGTGGATGACGTGCTTTTCGCGGTAGAGGTAGTCGAGACCCGCCGCGACGCCCTCAATAACGTTTGCGGTGAAAGCTTCGAGCGGCAGCCGGTGCTGGCGTACGTACTCGTAGCCCTGCCGCACGGTTCCGCCCTCCCCGGCCTCCATGACGATGACGACGTACTCTCGTGTCTGGAACGCCTCCAGCAAGCGGGCCACGTTGCGGTGCTCGACGGAGGCGAGGATGCGCAGCTCCGTGACGGCCTTGCACCACCGCGTATAGGTGAGATTGGAAGACTTCAACACACACTTCAGAATGACGCGGCGGCGGTCCTTGGCGAGTCGATCTTCACACTTGTACACAGTGCCGAATGAGCCGCGGCCGATCTGGGCCCCCGTGTAGTACGAAGGGAACCGCTCCTGGATGGAGTCGAAGAAGGGGTACCCGCAGACCGGGTACTCCGCCAGCATGGTGTGGCAGCTCTGCAGGAGGGCGGTGATGTTGTGCGGTGCCAAGAAGGCCAGGATGCACTCAAAGGGCGTGCAGTCCATCGCGTGTTTCGTCGCATTCCAGAAGTGCTTGAAGATGATGGGCAGGCGACAGCTGTTGCAGCGGCGCAGCAGCGTGCCGTGACGCGTGGCCTGACGCGGTGCGCAGGCGTCGCAAAACACACGGCCACACCACTGACAGTGGTGCTTCGCGCAGAGCAGCCGATGAAAGCGTCGACGGCAGCGGCGGCCGTTGCAGACGTCCACGCGGGTCTCATCCTGCCATACCGCACCCGGTACCTCTAAAAGAGTGGGGGAGCTGCTGCTTGGCTGCATCTCCCTCGTCTACGAAATTGCCACAACAAAATAAAGCCCAGTGTACTCTGAAAGGCTGCACTGGGGCCTCTACGCACTCCGTAGATTACACGTGGCGGTGGGAAATTCCAGAGAACAAAGAAAAAAAAAGAGAATAGAGTAGTGCACACCGTGCCGTATCACACGAAGCACGGCTTGGATTAATAAAAAAAAAAGCAAATAACCTCTCTGTCAATGGGGCAATGAAAGAAGCTCCAGAAAGTTCATAAAGCAGGGAGAAAGTATATATATATATATATATATATATGAATTGTAGAGCAGCAGCACAAAGGCGCTTTGAATTTCGCGACACAAACAACGAGAACCGAATTGGCGCAAATTTGAGTAGCACAAACCGCAGTTAATCAACGTCGCTGTGGATGCGCATAACATGAAAGGCGAATTGGAATGACACACACACACACGCACGCGTGCGCTTCGCACTTCAATAAAGTGAATAAGAAGGGTGAAAAAAAGAGTAGGAGTGAAATAGGCGCCCAGAAAAGTCGGCAAGAGGCTCACCATACATTCGCGGTGCTAATGAAGAGCAAAACAGCTTCGTTTGAGCGAGTGGTGATGTCGCACCTCTTCCAGACACACACGCAAGGGCCAAGGAAAGGTAGATTCACTTTTCTGTGTTGTTTTTTTTTTTAGGCGAAGTTATACGTGACAGCAAAGTCTCCACGCGAAATGCAATTGCATGCGCGCGGTGCTGCGCAAGCGCCAACCACATTTTCTTCTTGTTAAGCTAATAATGTACTATTAAGGTGATTACACGTAAATGTGACTTTCAACAACACGACCGCTCTCCATGACAACTGTGATGCACAGGCGAGAAAAGAAAAAAGAGAAAGGAGAGAGGAGAAGCAGCAAGCCTGCTTCACAACTTTCCGATCGCCTTGTACCACAGGCGCTGCAGCCCAGTAGCCTCCTCCACATCGTTCTCCAACCCGGCAATTGCTTCGTCGCCTTCTAAGTAGCGGCGCACCTCGGGATCGTGGCGCGCGGCACAGCGCTTTAGCACGGCCATGTCGCGCTGACAGTGGCTGACCTCAAACATGTTGATCATCATACACTGGTGCAGTTTCTCAGCTTCGTGGCCGCACAGTTTTGGGAGCTCGAACTGCGTGTACGCGTACTTCGTGCCTTGCGTGCGTTCGGTCCAGCTCTTGACACACGCGTAAAACTTTTCTCGCTGCGGGTCACAGGCACCTCTGGGCCGATCCGGGCTGTAGTCGTACTCCTTCAAGCACTCGCGCCACAGTTTGGAAGGCACCGCGCAAGGCGCTGATTCGCTAGCGGTCGACATGCTGCTGTGCGAACACGTGTTCTAGAACTGCTGAATGTGAAGAGAGGAGAACGCGAATACACGGCGGCGACGAGGCGAAAAGAGATCGCTCCTCCTCCCGAGTAATGGGTTTTTCTCCTTTTCTTTGATTTCGCGTTCGCAAGGGTGATCGCGATGGAGCATCGTCGACACACCGATGATTGACAGGTCGGATTGTGCGGCGCGTATAAGAATGAAGCGAGAGGGGAGAGAAAAGGAGGAGTTTGCGGCGTTCATTGGAGGGCATCCCGCACATCTGGCGAACACAACGGCTCTCTTTCTTCTCCGGTTATCTGTTGGGTACAATCAAACTCCTTCACATTTGATGGGAAAACAGTGCGTTTCCTTTTCGCCTCATTGGCCGGCAAAAACACGGGCACTTCACAAACAATCAGGAGGGAGGGCAGCAAGAGTACGCCGTGTCTTGTTGGCCGCCCTTCTGGTAGGCTTCCTGCGCCTCCTTCCACGGGATAAACGGTTAGAAGCGATGCGCGCCCTTTCATTTCATCTTCTCAATGCCAAAGATGTGTGTTCGTCTACAGAACGACACCCGCATACGGCGCTTTCATAGATAATTGGAATTGGCTGTGTTTGCGTGTGATTCTTAATCCGCCCACATTACAGCAGTGGTGGGGGCAGACAGCGGAAGAAAACAATAAAAAAAGACGGATCAGCTTTGGAATGCGTGCATGGGGTGATCCGACGGTCGATCCACAATGAGAAAGAAGGAGCGAAACGCAATGGCCCATCGATCATGATCGGTCGCGTCGTGCGCACGCAGTAGGAGCTTGTATTCCTTGCGGTCTTCGTGATAGATCACGCACAAGTCGCGGCCCGGACGGCTGGCTTTCTTGTGCGTTTTGGTGGTCGGACAGGTGACGATGCGCGTGTCGGTGGTGTTGAGCCGAATAAAGCCAACCGGCTTGCGGCATTGCTCGTCCTGGTAGTACCCGAGGCAGACGCTGTCGTTGCACAAGGCAAGAATGAAGTAGCGGCGCTTCCAAGTGGAGATAAGACTGAGGTTGTGACGGCCAATGGAGCACTTCGCAAGCCACCCACAACAACTACCGTCCTGCGCGGAAGTCAGCGGCGGCATCGCTGCCAAATCCGTGTCGGGGCTGCCGTCGCTCCCCGCCACGGCCTTTTCCGCCTCCGCATCCTCCACGTCCACGTCCACATCGTCGCCCGCGGCGGAGAGACTGACCTCCTCCTCCTCGTCTTCGTCTGCCTCTCCTCCGTCCTCCGCCGCCTTTGGGTGCGAAGTACTCATCGAGTTGCCCGCAGGCGAGCTCGATGTCACGCCACTTCCAAATGCAGTCGCAGCGGAATCATTCTCGACTTGCAAAAGAGGGATAGCCACCTCCGCAGCGGTGGTGGTGACGGGCCGCTGCTGAAGGAGCGTTGAGTAACTCGGCGGTGTCGCCTCCGGCATGCGCAGACCGCGTGTGGCCTCGACAACGGCGTCGCGCACCGCCGTCTCCGACTCTTGCACCGCCTGCCCGCTTTGGAAGTAACTCTCGGTCACCTTTGCTACCGGCGGCTCTGTCAGACTGTCGGCGCTCTGCGTCGCCTCCGGCTCGTATATGTAGCCGCGGCCGCACGGCTGCCCACGCAGAAACTGCCCATAGTAAACCTTACCCGCCGGGTGCTGATAGCACAAGCACCCCACACCGTTCAGCTCGCCAGCCGCGAAGTCGCCCTTGTAGAAGTCTCCGTTTGCAAAAGTCATGCAGCCCGACCCGTGCGGCACGTCGTCCTGCCACTCCCCGTCGTACCCGCGCAGCGAACCCGGAAAGCGCAGCGTGCCTTTAATTTTCCTACCGTTCTCGAGCAACCCGCGGTAGACGCGGGGACCGTTCTCGTAGGTGATGGTGCCGAACCCTGTCACGGTGCCCCGCACAAACTGTCCATCGTAGACGTCCCCATTGGGCAATACGATCTTGCCACGGCCGTTACGCAGGCCGTGATCGAACTCACCCGTGTATACACTCCCATCCGCAAAGGTGAAAGCGTTGACGCCGTCGCCGCCGTTGCTTCCACTGCCGCTACCGTGTGGTTGACCGCCGTCGAAGAGGCCCTCGTACGTGTCCCCGCTGTCCCACCGCATCACGCCGTGGCCGTGCGGGACGCCGTTCCTCCATTCTCCGTCGTACGACACAACCGTGGTGGGGTCAAGACCTGCTTCCGAGAGGGCAGCGAGCGCAGCGGAGGTGGTCGCACCGTGGACCCGCACCGCCCCGCGTGGTACGTCGGACGGCGATGTCGCGACGCCGGTGCTGCGCAGCGTATCTGCGGATGCACCGCCACTGAAGCGGCCGTTGCCGGTGAGTTTGTTTTGGTGGAAGGTGCCGCTGTAGGAGCCACGAGCGCAGGTGAGGCAGCCGTCGCCGCTCAAGGTGTGCGCCGTGACGCTGCCGGTGTAGGTCACGCCGCGGCTGATCTCCTGCGGTGTGCTGTAGACGCCATCGTCCAGTGCGATTTGTGTCTCAGGGGCCACGAGGTCCGTGGTGCACAGCAGAGGGGCTCTCTCTTCGCCCATCAGCACGTTCGACTCCCGCGAGGTGACGTGCAGAAACACAAAAGCCCTGAGGAGTGCACTCTCACGCTACGAACGAGAAGGTTCCTCACTACTCTGTTTCCTTCCTCTCTCTCTCAGCGGGCATTCTCACAGCGGACTCCACAGAAGGAGGAGAAGAAGCGATCAGCTCTCACGAGGTGCGTAGAAGACGATCGTAACAGTGAGAAGAAGGAAAGGAGGTGGAAGAACAGACACGGCCTAGCAGCGCAGCGGCCGCAACAAGAAGAGCAACGTCTACTCCTGTCGACAAGAGCAGGGGGCCTAGTGTGAGAAGCGGAATAGCAACGAGGTGCGAAAAGGCAACGAAGAAAACAGCAAATGAAAGAAGAGCAAAGCAGTACAACTGTCGAGCAGCAGAGTTCCACGTGGAAAAGACCGAGAGAGTCCGCAAGACGCGAGAGCGAATGGAGGGAAAAGCGAGCGAGAGATTAAAAACGGAGGCGCTCGAACGACACGCAAAGACGCTGCTCAAAGAACAAGATACTCCTTTGCACCTACTTTGCTGTTGCCAACTTGCGTACGGTGCAGGCCCTGCTTCATTATTATTATTATTATTATTCTTTGCTAACGATGCGTGCGACTTTGATCCAGTGGTGCGCGAGTCACCGAGTCGGAGCTGCAATCCGCCACTGGCATGTACGCTTGATTGAGTAGCAGAAAGAGGTTCAATTCGGATCAGCTGCTCGTCCCTGCGCAACTCAACGACTGTCCTCGACTGACATGGTGTCAAGTCAGCCGAGAGGCGTATGAAGTACTAGCTTCGCTTTGTTGTTCGTTTTGTTTCATGCGGTTGGGCGCGCAATGAAAGAAAAGCTCCGACATTTTTTTGCTCTATTGTACAGGGAAAACAAACGGGGGGAATAGACCGACGCCGACTGTGGTGGCAACGAATTCAGGAACATACAAACATAAGAAAGCGCCGGAGACAAAAATGGAAAACGTTTACAGCTAAAACCAGCAGCAAATGCAGCGTGAAGGCCTCGACTGCCCGTGCATGCGGAGCAGAAGCGCAGATGAAAGCGATTCAACAGTCCATCTTGCGTCAGCTCCACGGAAGCAACGCCAGTCTCTGCATCCGAAGTTGGGTGCGCACAACAGAAAGTGAACAACAGCAGCGCTCAACAGCAAAAAAAAAATATATATAATTAAAAAGAAGCGCAAAGAGCAACAATACTGAGCATCTTGTCGAACAATAAAAACACAAGAGCAGAAAACCCCACAAAACTGAAATGCAGCCGGCCGTATCGTGCATTTCTTAGACCAATCATCTCGTATTCCCCTGTCCCCCTCAGCGCAGGGAGAAGTCCTCCTCTTCGCGAGGCAGAGCGGTGCGCTTCCTCGGCGCACGCGGTGGGGGAGACAAGTCCTCCGCCCTCCCACCAGCATTCGATCTTGTCGGCTGTCTGCGCTGTGCGGCCTGTGTCTGCGCCGGTGCGGAAGCGGCACGGGGGTCGACGGGCACGTGCAACGCCTTCAGCCGCATCACCGTCGCACCCTCCAACTCTGGTGGAAAGGGGTACTGCAAACCCAGCCTGTCTGCCATCGCCATGTACTCTACCAGCTTCTCTTTGGTCGGCATCAGCTGATCTGCCAGCGCCTTGATCTCCGCGTCCTTCTGCTTCAACTTCTTTTGAAGCTTCCGCAGCTCGCCGTGGCGCGCAGTGGCGGGCCCGTCCTGCGACATCGTCGGCGACTCCTTCTCCGTGGCGTCTGCCCTGGCTAAACGGTTCTTGAGGTCTCTGTTCTCCATCTGCAGGCGGTCCAGTTCATCCTGGCAGCGCCGCAGCTGCATCTGCGAGTCGGCGATGGCCTGGTTGCGGAAGGAGCCTTTGCCGCCAACGTTGGTGAAGCTGCTGTTGCCCGATCGTGTCGAGGTCTGACGTTCATCCAGGCTCTGTTGCCTCATTGTCTTCTGTTCCTGCATCAAGGCAATCTGCTTGTTGAGGTCGCGCCGCTCCTCGTCCATTGACGTCTGCGCCAGCTCCAAATCCTCGTGGGCGGCCGCCACGTCCTCCTCGGCTTGCTGCAGCTGCGCGGTGAGGTCTGCGATGGTTGCCTTGAGCTGCGTGTTCTCCGCCTTCAGCTGCGTCAACTCTCGCTGCGCCTGGGCAAGCGAGGACTGCACGTCCTGCGCAGCGGCGTTTGTCGCGGTTGATGCCACCGCAGGAGCCGGCGCAGCAGCGAGAATATCCTCTCCGTCGTCGATGGGCCCCACCTGCTCCGCCAGCGTCTTCTTCTTGCGGATCTTCTTTACCTTCTTCTTCGTCGGTTTGCCTAGAGGAGAGGAATCGACCACCGCACCATCATGTTCGCCCTCCTCCGCACCTTCCGCCGTAGCAGCAGCGCCGGCGGCAGAAGAAGAAAGGCTTGGCACCATGACAGCGGTACGCGGCGCTGCCGCTGCTGCTTCCTGTGCCTCGTGTAGGTGCTCCTCCAGCTCCTGAATCTGCGCCTCGTAGGCCTCGCGGTCCTGTGCGGCCTTCTCCATCGCAATGTTGAAGGTAGCCTTCTGTTCCTGCAGCTGAGCCTGCAGCTGCAGCATGTCCATCTGGTGCGACCCCGCGATGGCTAACGAAGAGGCGGACACCGCCTGGTTGGCCGGGGCCTGGTTGACGCTGAGCTGCTGCTTTAACTGTGCGTTCTCCGCCATGAGGGACTCCACACTCTTCTTGAGGCTATCCGCCTTCGCAATCGCCGCCGTGTACGCGGTGCGATCTGACGACGACATTTTATTCTTCAACTGCGTCTGCAACATCGTGATGGTGTGACGGTCTTCCTCCGTATCGATCTGCCGCTGCAGCTGCGTGCGCTTCATCTCGCCGGCAATCCGCTCATTCTCGGTTTGTAGGTCGTAGATGCGCTTCTGGAAAGCTTCAATGACGATGGGGTCAGGGCCGGAGGCGACAGAGGAAGCAGCAGGGGCGGCCACCGGGGCCGGAGGAGCCGAACTCGACGAGGCCTCGCTGCGGCTGCTGACTTCCCGTTCGAAAGCTGGGGCAGGCAACTCAGCGGTCTTGGCGGGTTGAACCTCCGTCACTGCGATCACGGGGAGTGCCGCCACGGCCGTGGTGCCGTTATTGGTGCCCTGCACCGCAGCTGCGCCATTATGGTTGCCGTCCTCCGCCGCGGCTGCCTGCAGGGTACTAATTTGGCCCTGGAGGCGCTTGATCTCGTTGCTCAAGGCCTCCTCGCGGCGGCACTTGTCCTCGAACGCGCGTTGCTGCTTTGTCGCCTTCTCCTGCAGCTCTGCGATGGCCGTCTTGCTCTTCTGCGCCTCTGCGTCCATGGCTGCGATCTGAGCGGTGTGAGCGGCGTTGGTGCTCGTCAGCTCCGCCGCACGCTTCTGCTCCTTTGTGAGGCGATCGTTGAGGGCGGTGCGGTCGGCCTGGTAGCGGTCCTGCAGTGTCTCGATCTCCTTCACTCGCTCGTCGTTCTCTACCTCCAGGTCGGAGATGGTCTGGCGGTAGATGAGGATTTCTGACTTGCGCTTCTCCAGCTCGCCGTTCAGGCGCTTGATGTCCTCGTTCGCCTTGTCGCGCTCGACAACGACGGACTGGTACAGGCCCTCCGCCACGTACTGTCCGTCGCGTGCCTGCACCTCGGCAATCGTCGCCCGTGCCTGGGCCAGCTCGTTGCGCACGTTTTGGATTTCCTTTTGGGTGTTTGCCTCCGCGGTGGCCTTGCTGGCGGCGCGGTCCTGCTCCATGTGCAGCGCCATCTCCTTGATGCCGTCCTGCATGTCGTTCATCTGCTGCTCCAGCGAGGCGTTGACCTGCGTGAGGCGGGTGTTCTCGCTGGTCAGCATACCCAACTTTTCGCGCAGCTTTGCCTCGCTCTCGCTGAGTGCCGTGACCTGGTCCTGCCACGTCCGTACGTTGTTGTTCTGCGTCGACGAGATGGCCTGCTGGGCATCGGTGACCGACTTCAGTCGCTCTATTTCAGCTTTCGACTCCTCTAACCTGCGCTGCAGCGGCTCCATGGTGTTGGCCAGCTTTTCCTTCTCCGCCTTGAGCTCGGCGTACTGGCTCATGTTGATGTTGCTGCTCTGCGCCAGCTCCATGTACGCAATCGTCTCCTTCGCCTTCACCAGGCGTTCCTCCATCTGCTGGGTGGCAGACAGGCGATCCTCCAACAACTTCTTCTCCTTTGTCACGTCATCCAGCTGCTTCTGCAGCGCCGCCATGTTCTCGGTGCTGCGCTTCTCCTGCCGCAGCTCCAACGACTGCTTGTCGAACTGCTCCTTGAAGGTATCGAGCTGGGCGGTCGCACTACGCACATCGGAGGTCAGCGAGGCACACTTCTTCAGCAAAAATGTGACGCGCTGCTTGTCCTCGTCGGAGCGCTGCCGCAGCGTGCGTGCCTCGGCGTCGCGGGCCGCCGCGTACGTCTGCGCCTGCTGCAACTCCACCACGAGCCGATCACGCTCAAACTCCAGTTTGGAAATGCGGTCCTTCGAGTTGTTCAGCAGCTCCAGTACCTCGGACTCGTCCATGGACAAGTTGGCCTCCGCAACCTTTCCCTTCTGCGCATCCTCCAGAAAGGCGATGCGCTGCTGATACAACTCCACCTCTCGCGTCAAGCTTTCCTGCTCTGACTTGAGCTTCTCGTAGTCGTCCGCAGGGGCCGACTGCCGCAGCTGGTGCTCCTTCGCGGACACCTGCTCCGAGCTCTCCGCCAGCTTCGTCTCGAGCGCCCTGTACTTCCTCTCCTGCTTCACCGTGCTATCCACGATTTGGTTGCGCAGGTCCTGCACGGTGGCCTGAGAGGCAGCGAGTTCGTCGCGCGCGCGAGCGAGTTCTTGCCGCAGCTCATCACAGCGAGAGCACGTCTTGGAAAGATTGAAGAAGTGCGCCAGCTGCTGCTTCAAGCTGTCGAGCTCCTCCGAGTGCACGGAGTCCTTGGCGGTGAGTTGATTCCGCATCTCCTCCACCTTTTGCTTGTGCGTCGCCGCCTCCTTGTTTTTTTCTACGAGTGAGTTGCGCATTCTCGCGAGTTCATCGCGCAGGGCATCCCGCTCCGCGCTGGCCCTCGCGAGGGCGTCGGCGGTGGCCGTATCCACTGCCGGCTGCGACCTTGGCGTGGTCTTCACCGTCGCAACGGCAGGGGCCGCGACGGCGGCGGCGATGGCGTCGTTCCGCAGTGTTGTGTTTTCGACCTTCAGTGCGCGCAGCTCGACTTGCAGGCTACGCAGTTGCTCGTCTGCCTTGTCCCTCTGCTCTTGTGCGCGGCGCAGCTGCGCCTGAAGCTCCTGCACGGCGCCCGCGTCGGTCTGTTCGGCCACCGGAACGACACGAATGGACACGGCCGCGGCGGTACTGCTCATTGTCTGCTGCTGCTCATGCACCAGCTTGCCCAGCTCCTGCGCATTGAGGTGTGCGTTGTGCAACCCCTCGACTAAGGCCTGCACCTCGTCGTTGCTCGACGCATGACTGGCCTTGTAAGCCATGAACTCAGCTTTCAGAGCCTCACACAACTGCTCTAGCTGTTCCCGCGCGGCCGCCTTCGAGCCGCCAAACCACCCTTTCTTGTCGGGCTCAAAGAGGGACTGCAGGACGGAGGTCTCCTGCAGCGGCTGCTCCGCCAAGGCGGTGAGTTTCATCTCGAGCGCTGCGACTTGGCCGGTGAGGCGGCCATTTTCATCGCACACCTTCGTGAGCGTATTGGACAGCATCGCGCCCTCCCTCTCCAGCTGCCGAAGGCGCCGTACCAGGGCGTTGGCCTCGTCCTCGCTGGACACGTCTTGCACGGCAGCAGAGGGGGGAGTTGAGGCAGAGGAGGCCCCTCTGCTAGGACCTGCGCCTCCGTTGTCGCTGCTATTCCTATTGGGGAGTGCGGCGTCGCCGCTGAGCTGCACTCGGCGCACCAGCTTGCGCTTGCTGCCGGGCGGCGGGTGGGCCGCGGCATCTCCAGCGGCGCCACCGCCCACCCCTTCGTTAGGGTCGGCATGCATGTCCATCTCGGACAGCTAACCTCTATACGCACAGTAAAACACTTAACGAGATTTGTTTTTGTCGGGAGCTTCTTGTTTTGATAGCAGAAGGAAAACAGGAAAAGAAAGCGGAAAGGCGCAGCACAGAAGGAGGCAGCAAAAATGTTTCAGTGCTTCGTACAACGCAACAACACAGTTAAATGAGCTCGCAAGTCTCTTGTAGGTGTATGTACTTGCGTGCCCGCGGTGTTTCCTGTGCGTAACCAGTGACACCGCCCTCTCTCTCTCGCTGTCTCTACACAGACACACCCACACAGACAGGTAGACACAACCAACGCGCTACTCCTATGGAGGAAAAGGCGGAACACCAAGATTTGAAAAAAAGAAAAAATGAGAGGAGCGAAGGCTCTCTAAGGGTTGTGTTCCTCGAAATGCGTACGTGCTGCCGGTAAGTTGCATTACGCGGCGACCGAAGTCGAAACACCATTGAGGAAAAAGAAAAGCGAGGAAGAAAAAAGAAGGCGGAAAACTTGATGTGCAGAACGCCGGTGTTGGTGGAACTCAGCCACACGTGAGACGCGTACCTGTACGTGTCCGTGAGTGGGTGTTCAATCCAGCTCATTCACCAGAAGCATCCTAGACGTTTCTGGTACCTATGATTGAACATCAGGTACCACAAAGACGTTGCGACAACGAACAGCGACGCAGCACGAGGGGGAAGAGGCGTTGTTGTCGGCGCACAGAAGAATTATTCGGTTCGCTTAGCTTCCGCTTTAAGAAGCTGAAACGCATTTTTAGCCATTTTCCTTCCTCCAAGGGATCGTGCAATGTTCATTGTTTTCCCCCTTCTCGCTCCTCTCTCTTTCTCTCACCAAAGAGAGGCGTTAAGTGGGTGGCGTTCGCCGCAAATAAGAAAAGCAAAGCAACATTACGACAAGAACACACAGCTAAAAGTTGTCTCGTCAGCACGGCAATGGGTGCATTTAATTGTTTTTTTTTGGAAATAAACAAAGAAGACACGCGGCTTGCGATCTTTCTTCTTTGCGGTGAGGCCGCGCCTTTCGTAGACGTCGACGCACGCGCCTTATTCTCTCAGTCCCCGCGCGGCTACTCCTCTAGTGAGGGCATTTCGCATTTTCTTCCTTTTCCCTTCTTCTTATGGAGAGCAGAAAGCGTCTTCTACGCAACGGGAACCAGCAAACACGCGTTCTACTGACAAAGCGGATTAGGACGCCGCAGAGAAACCAACGCGCCAATAAACAAGCAAATAAAATAAAACAGAACACACGCACGCACTGCGGCCGGGGCGGCGTGGAACGAAACCGCTTGCGTGAGGTCTCTTCTTTTTCATCCCGCAAGAAGTCTTACGCAGACTTGCCCTGCTCGCTACGCTCCACGGCGTCCACGCAGGCGATGTGGTAAAGTCCGTCGATCAGCTGCTGCAAGTTGACGATCTGCTTCAAGAAGCACGGCACGGCGCAGGCAACGAAGGCGGCCCACAGCACCGAGTTGAGCACCGCCACGCTCTTGTAGCTCGTCCAGGCGTACAGGAAGATGTACGCAAACTCCTGCCCGATGCAAAAGACGCCCATAACACGGCGGTTTGAGTAGTAGATGCGTAGCAGGCTGAAGATGGAGTCGGAGACGTCCTTGTGGCTCTCCTTCTTGATGAAAAGTGACGCGTACATACGGCAGAAGTGCGAGGCCACGTCGAGGAAGAGGAGCGACGACAACACGAAGGTGTAGCGGTACGGCATCGGCTGCATGACACCATCCAACACCACCAGAAAACCAGCGGTCGACGCGCGGTCGGTGAGCATGTCCAGGATGGCGCCAAAGTGCGAGCACTGGTCCAGCGCACGCGCCGCCATGCCATCCGCGGCATCCAATACAAAGGATGCGGTGTAGAGCACCAGAGCCAGAGCCGGGTAGTCACGAGCCACCAGGTAAGACACGATGGAACACATCATGCGGGCGTACCCGATCAGGTTCGGCACAAAGAAGAAAACCTTCGATGGCTTTGCTGTGACCTTCTTTGGTGCCATAGTGCTTGCGTGCGAGTGTGCGTGTTTTCGTTGAAGAAGACTATTATGAGTGGTTCCAACGTGGGCAGCCTTGAACGCGGCAGAGAGGGAGAGAGAGAAGGAGCTGCACGCGGTGCAACTTCGAGGTGAAAAAAAAATCAGGAGAGAGTTTGGCTGCGATGGTGGGGCAGCTGAGAAGCGACTGCAAAGATGTATAGAAAGTGCTGTGAAAGCGAAGAGCCATGCTTTTTGGAGAGGGTAGAGAAGAGAAAAAAACGTACGGAATTAGTTGTGCAAACGTGTAACGTTGAAATTCAGGCGAAACCAGAGAGGAACAACGATCCGCAGTGGTAGAGAAACGGAGGAAGGAGAATGCGAGAGGAGTTTCTTTCTTTTTAATATTAAGTCGGAAGTTCTTAGTAGTCCAGCAATCACCGCATATTTTTTCTCGTTTGGCTTTGTTGTTGTGCGCTTCGTGCGCGGGTGCTTTACAGTTAAGTGCCGGCTTCGCTGCCTTCAACAAAAACCAAGGATAGCGTCAGCGCATTTACTGCCGCCTGTTTTGTCGCGTCTGTTTGTTTGCTTTTCCCCACCAGCATCACACTTGTCTTATGTGTATACAGACGTATGTGTAAGTGTGGGGGAGGGGGGACCTGCTCGCTCTGCTTTCCGGCGTGTTGCAGCACTGTGAAGATGGCACTATAAAGAGCAAACCTGTGAAGAGTATCTCCTCGTTCCTTAGTCGGACAAAGCAGAAACCAAAGGGGAGCGTCACACTAAAACGGCCCTTTCTTTGCTTGATGTTTAGTAACGCGGCTGGCCAAGGGCGTAGTTCCAGTTCTTCGTGGCGCCGTGCGACGACGGAGACTTGGCCTGCTCCTCCCTGCGGAGCTCCTCGCGGGTCTCATCGACGCTGAAAGGGCAGGACCGGTATTTCAGCACCGGAAAGCGGAAGTACACATTTTCCCTCGCTACCTGCTGCTTCGCCATGCATCGATCACACGTGCTCGAATCGGGGTCAGAGAAGTTGCTGCGCGGCTGCCGCAATCCGCAGCCAAAGCACATCTCCTTGCAGTCGACACAAACAAGGGTGTTGAGCGGCCCGCTCTTGTGCGGGAAGTGCTCGGAGGGCAGGAGCCGTGAACAGCCGCTGCACTTCAGGCGCAAGTGCTTCTTTGAAGCAGCTAAAAAGGCGGTGTTGAACATAGTCGCACCGCTCTATTGAGAAATTTAGAAGGAAAAAAAGGGTGCACGGCAGTAGAATTTGGAGGTGCCTCGTTGGAGCGCTTCTCACAGAAGGGCTTACGGGGCGTGTTTCTTTATTAATATCTTGGTATCGTGCACATTCAGCGTGCACTGCACGCAACGCGTCGGTGGCAGTGGAGAAAGTGATTTCGGAGACATACAACAGGAAAATGGCGATGAAAGAAGAAGAGAGGAGAGTGAAAAAAAGAGAAGGCAAGTCAAGTGAAGAGCCAGTAAAAGGGCTCAGAGAGAACACACCGACAAATAAAGGTTTTCTGAGCCCGTTCTGTGGATGGCGGCGCTTCATCGCACGTAGAAACCGGCAGGAAAGCACCGGCAAGAACACAAGACATCGGCAAGGCTGTTCCGAGATGTCCTTTGGGCGATGCGCTTTCATTGGAGTCTTTCTACACAAGCTCCTTCTTGTCTTCTTCCTTCTTTCATTCTGGCACTTCATATTGTGAAGACGCAACACAAAAGCCAAACCGTGCGCGGACGCAAGCGAGCGCGATCCACATCGCCTCCCTCAAAAAAAAAAAAAACAGATCTGCATCCATAACAGAGCTGTTTTCGCGCTGTCTCCCGTTAACGCAGTTTCACGCTATAATGATACACAATCACGTCGTCGCTAAACTTCGCTTTCACATCGTCAAAGACTTCATCGGCGAACTGGACCACATCCGGCACCAGCTGCGTCAGTGTGACGCCGGTGCCCGAAATAAGCCCATTGCGAACCAGCTCCTTCGCATACACCCTCCGCAAGCCTTTGTGCTCCGACATGCCACGCTCAACTATATAGTCATAGAAGCGCTGCACGAGCTTCTCTTGAACAAGGTGCGTTATTGTCTGCTCATATGTGTACAGATGGCCTTTTTGGTAGCCATTTATAGCATCGCGCAGGCGCACTTCACTGTCAATGCAAATCTGTTGTGGCCCTGCGGTGGCCGCTGTCACGTCTGCGGAAGACGAGGAAGAGGCGGAACGCGACGTTTCCGGGGATGCCCTCCACGACCACCACCCCGTCCTGCGCTGCCTTGCCTCCTCTGTGTCCTTCATTTCCGTAGGGTCGGGCAGAAGCTGATCCTCGCGCAGGAACCCCACCGACGCGCGTGCCTCACGCCCGACGCTGTTGGAGCGGTCCACAAAGCGTTGCGGGTTGAGCTCCGCCTGCGCATTCACCAGCACCAGGGAGTGCGACTTCTGCAGGTACAGGTACACACGATGCAGCAGGGCATTGACATGCAGCCGGCGCTCCACAATAGCAGGCGCCGGCCGTACAAAGCGCGTTGCGGCGGCGACGTCGTCTCCCTCAGCTGCCAGTTTCTTTGCCTTCTTTTCGGCTGCGTCGGACAGCCCGACCGCGTCGCCTGTCGCAGCACCGTCAACGAGCAGCGGTGGGATGGCCGGCGTCACCTCCACCAGGTGCCGTTTCAGCGTGAACCTGTTTTCAAGGATTGCCGCATCGCACGGGAAATGATGCAGAAGGGAGTTGCGGTACGGCGCTGGATTGGTGGTCAGCACGTAGGTGTAGGTGGTGAAGTAGTACACCGCGTACAGCAACGCAACGGAGCCGGTAAGTGCGAACACGCCCAGCGTCCATTGCACGCGACCCAACGCAGCGCTTGCTCCAGAAGTGCGCAGGTGCTCGATAGAGTTGTAGCCTTCGCCGCTGTACATACCCGCTGCTGCACTTGTATCAGCGGGACTGCGGCGGACTGCGGCGACCGCGCTGATGTCGTGCTGATCCGCTCTGATACCGGCAGGTCTTCCGCGTGCAGTGGCGGTTGGCGCGTCGAGGTGGTTCACAGAATCGCTTGACGTTGCGTGTTGTGCGGTGATGGAGCGCAGCGCCGCTACACACACAACAACGGCGCGCTGTCGACGCATGAGATGCAAGACGTGGTGCAATCGCAGCAGCAGCAACGGCGATAATGCGCTAAAGAGGCTTGCATTGAGTTCAACCCCAGTAAAGGAGGATGCGGATCGAAATGCAAAATCCCCAACAGAGAAAAAGAGAACAAAGGAATAATGACGGGAAGGAGTTCTGTGCGGCGTGAATCCGCCGTGGCGGTGGCAGAAGAACGCATCGTGGTCATTGTCGTGTGTTGGCAGCACTGCACTTCAACGTTCACGCCGTGAATACCGCCTTTGACGTTTCCTGAAGTAATGGAGTTGGTAGAGAAACAAATGCTCCAATTAGCGCTTTCTTCTTGTTTTCCTTTGCAAGCCCGCTGCATCAAGAGAAAAACGCAGAACTCGCAACACGAGCAGCATCACCAACAACCGAAGGAACGGAGAAACAGAAAAAAAAACCTCAGTAACGCTCCAACCGGGATTTTGAAACGGGCGGCTCATCACTCATGCTCGCCTCTGTTTCCTTCATACGAATCAAGTCGCGAAGACGATCGAGGTTACTGCGCTTCTCCTCCAGCTCTGCCCTCGCATCCGTCAAGGCCGCCGCCGTCAACGTGCACAGTGCCTTGAGCTGCCGCCGGCACAACTCGTTCAACTTCGCCCGCCGGCCCTCGGGAGAGGAGGTGTCGCACGCATGGGCGTCGGCCTGCAGCAGGTGCTGCAGCGCCGCACGACGCTCCTTCCGCCGCAGTCGGCGGTCCTCCTCTGCCTGCTCCGCAGCCGCATCGCGTGGAGCGGCATCGGCGCCGTCACTCGCGGACGGGGCTCCGCCCTGAATCGCCAGCTGCTGCGTGGCCTCCGCCGGTGGAGGGTCTGTCGCCCTCCACACACACAGCTTCCTGGTCAAATCAATAAAAGAAAGCCCATTGAAAGTGAGGGCATTGCTGACACTGTTCATGCTTCGGAAGACGACCGTAACGCGGCCGTCCGCGGCGTCCCAGGCCTCGACGGCGCCGCAGCGCTTCAGAAGCATGTGCATGAGATCCTCCTGCGAGTCCTCTGGGCAGTCCGTGATGTACACGGTGCGGTGCAGCTTGCCAACCAAGTCAAGTGGCATTGTGGTTGTTCTGTTTTTTACTTTGTAAGTGTGCTGTTGGTGCTGTTTACCATCCTTTTTCCAAATAAGGTGGCTCCTGAACGAGCTAAAGTCACCGCTGCTGCACACCAACCGTATCCGCAGCACCGAATTCGTGGACCGCTGTGGAAGAGAAACCAAAACGAGAAGAAGCGTTGAGGGCGAAAAGCGGTGAAAGACGTAGCGGAGTGGAAACGACAACGCGCCAAGGCAAAGTGATGGCGCCGCTTTTAATGTTGTTGTTGTTTTTTTCTTTTTGGAAGCGGCGTTGGCGGCATGCGCGCAAGGAAACCAGGCAACGGCAAACGCTTCCCTTGCCACATTTCCTACATTGACGGCGGCGGAATCTGAAGTGTGTCCCTCACTGGCAACGTGTTCTTTTGGGAGGAGGGGAAGCCGTCGTGACAGCCAGCGCCTCGTTGAACACCACCATCGATTTAGTTTGCTTTCTTTCCTTCCTCTACCAAAGACTCGAATCTCAAGCGAAGGAAGGCGTGAGGAGGAGTCTATTAAAGGGTAACTTCGCATCGCGGCCTCAGCCATCATCGTCGCTGAGGGTGTCGAAGTCTAGCCGCATCGCACACTCTAGACCGCTGCCCGCCCTCCTCTTTTTGATTCCTCTCACGTTCCCTTTCTTCGCCTTCACTGCGTCGGTGGTGGGCGGCACCACTGCTGTGTTGGTGGTCGCGACCGCCGTTAACGAGGGCAGAGAACGAGGCCACTGCGGCGCCACCTGCTCTCCCTTCGCGGCTGCGTTTCTCGCACCAGCCACCGCAGACAGGAGCGACGACGACTCGTGACGCGTCAGCTGTCCGGGTGCGGAAGAGGCATTGGATGACGAGGCGGACACCTCCACATCCAGCGGCGAGGTCCCCCATTCGGACTGCGGGTTGGGTGAGGCGGCAGTGAGACTGCTGATCGTCACCGAGCACGGCACACGAGCTTCGTTGTCCGCCAGAAAGGCAGAGGAGAGGGACGAAACCGTCGGGGCAGCGCGGTTGTTGAGTGGCCGCCGGTGGCTGCTGCCTTTGCTGCTGCTGCCTGGGCCGTCGGGGCCCACCAGTGGTCCTGCAGCGCCGGTGGGGGCGCAGGTGACGGAGAGCAGGCTGGCAGAAACGTCGCTCAGCGTTCGCGTGAGGCTGGGGTGACTGCTGAGAGCGGCCGATTTCACGCTGGTGGCGCTGGAGCGGCGCCGCGGTCGCCCACCGGCCTCTTCCGTTATCACCGAAGAGACGGAGTGGGGGGAGGTCAGGGCGACGGAGGGCATACCACCACCGTTGTTGGGGCCGTGGGGCTGTGTACCGCTTCGCCACGAATGGGACGGCAGCGCGAAGCCTAAGAAGGCAAACGGGGAGCTGCCGTCGGAGGCGGGAGTGGGAGTGGTGGCCGCGGTGGGTGCGTTGGACAGGGTCGACGTGCTCACGCTTGCATCGTCGTTGTCGCCGCTTGCGGAGTGGCCGCCGCACTGGCTGGGCGTGGAGGAGGACATCGTTATGGACTCGATGTGGGAGGTGCCGCTCCCTAGCTGCAGAAAGGAGCTGGTGAGCATGGCACCGGAGGGGGAGGCGGAGCTCTCCGCTGTTTTCGCGCCATGCATGCGCGACTCCTCTTCCCCGACTTGGGCGAAGGTCACGGAGAGACCCCTGCTGACAGGGATGCTTTCATCAGCAAGAGGCGAGGCAGCAGCGTCTTCTCCTCTGATCTCTTCGTCTGCCGGCCCGGGGCCTGCTGTACTCCCTATACAGCTTTTCGTCGAAGCAAAAGTCCCACCCGTCCGAGGAGGGGAGACAGTACGTGTGGATGGGGGAGCACTGCGCTGCGGCGGAGACAGGAAAGGATGCTGAAGAGCCTCGACAGCGCTGCACCGGCCCGCCTCCTCTACGCACAGCAGCGACCCAACAAACGACCTTGCCGTCGCACTCACCCATTGTGGATAGTACACAACGCCAGTGCAGATGAGGTGTTTGGCCTGGGTGGTGCAGACGTGTTCAAAGGGCAAATAGCCACACAACAGCTCGTACGTCAGCACCCCTAAAGACCACATGTCCGATTTGAAGCTGCGTCCTCTGCCGCACAGCACCTCTGGCGCAACATAATCCACCCTTTCATCGCTGGACAACGCGATCTCCTTCTCGGAATCTGACGCGCGAGGTCGTGTTGCTTGAGTACAGCTCCCCAGTTTGACGGTCGTGTGTTGATCCTTGATCAGCACGTGCCGCGGCGCCACCGCGCAGTGAATAACTTGATTTCCGTGCAGGTACTTCAGGGCGCAGGTCAGCTGGTACACAAAACGCTGCACCTGCGCTTCCGGCAACCGCCCGTACGGTTGCTGAGCTGCGTATCTCGCTAGGTCCCCGTCTGCGGCGTACTCAAGCGTGAGGTACACCCGCTGCGCATCCTCAAAAAACGTGTACAGCTTCACAATGTGGGGGCAGCGCCGCCCTGCCGACATGTGCAATCGCGCAGCTCGTGTCACGTCCGCGTCACCGTAACGTGCAGCGACAGAGGCCTTCTGCACACACTTCAGCGCCACTACCACCTTACTTAGTTTCTCGCGTGCGAGGTATGTCCGTCCTGTCGCGCCGCAGCCGATGCGACGACCGACGTCAAAATCTTTCAGCGACCATGATGTGGTGCTGCGTGAAGGGCCGGCGGACAGCCCCCGTGGGTGCTCAATCGAAAGCACAGAGGGCGACGTGAGAGGGGACAGTCTGCAACCTGACATGCGATGCTGCAGTGGAGAAGAACAATACGGCTGATGATCCGAATCGGAAAGCACAATTTGCGGCCGTAGCGCAGACGAGCGACAACGCTGTTTTTCAGGAGAAATGAGAATCGGCGGCACTGCAGCGGGCATGGGCTTGTATGAGCTTCTCTCGCCTTCCATGTCCATCGCAAACTCCTCCGTGTTGCCTTCTTGGAGGTGGTGGGGGCGGGCGGGGGAATTGAACACCGACTGCTTTGCGATGGGCGAAAGCGTGAGTTCGTCGTCCTCTTCTCTGCCCTCCACAGACGCTTTCAGTGACTTGCCCGGTCCATTCTGCACTTTATCAGCTGCGCTAACGCGGTCCGCGGACGGGGGAACTGCGGCCGTATTTCCCTCTCCTTTGCGGTTTGCTTCATGGCCCTCGCTGCCAGCTCCCTCATCCGCGCCTTCCTCCTGCATCAGCTGCGTGTAAAACAACTCGGCGTACCGCAGTTGCGCGTCCACGTCTAACTGCACCGGCGGCTCGGTGCCCCATAGAGAAGGGGCGTGCTGCGTCATCCAGTTATCGGTCAGCGTCTGCCGTTCCACAGAAGTGATGGGTTCCGTAGCACCGAGAGAGCTTGGCACCCTCCACTCGTCACTCCGCAGCGGCGTGTCTCCTTGTTGTTGCAACAGCACGTCATGAATCTGCTGTATTTCTTCATAAGTGAGAAGCTGAAGGAGCTGCACGGTGCGCACGTCCACCGCAGAACCAACACGCGGGGCGGAGAAAGTTGGTGGCGGTATGGAGGGACGCGCCGGCGAAGGTGACAAGGACGGCGTGGCAGACGTGACCGAGTGTGGCCTCTCGTCATCAGCAGAAGGCGGAGGTACGTCGAACTGAACGTGCTGCTCGCGACGCCGTGTGCCTTCGCTTTCGGTTCTGCGAAAGGCAGGGGTGGGAGGTTGGGCCTCCGGCGATGACGACCCCTCGTTGGCTTCTTCACCTTTCGACGCCACTTCTGGATGTGCGTCTTGACTCATGCTTCCAGCACGGTGAGTGTCGTCGCAGTTGCGTGAGTGGCGCGACGTCGTCAGCGACACACTGGGTCCACTGCGACTGCGGCTCTGTGTAGCGCCGTTGCTGCTGCCACTACAGCTGCTCGTCATGGGCACCCCGTAGCTGTGACGAGCACCGTCTAGACTGCTGGCCAGGCTTTCTGTGCAACGCTGCTGCGGAGGTGAAGGACTGGGACGTGGAGATGCACCGTTTGCGTTCTGTGCGGAGGCCAAAGGGCTTTGCTCGCCGCGCAGCATTGCCTTTGCCTGCCGGAGTGCTTCGAAGGCGTTGGCGAGCGAGTTGGCGCGACTGGGTGGCGTGGGTGACGCCTCTACCACAGAGGGGGACAACATTTTGAGTGAAGGTGTTATAATGGATTGGACAGGAAAAAGTGAATCCAGAAGTGGTAAATAATATGCCGTACAGATGTGTGTTCTATGCTTGTGCGTGGGTGTGTGTATGATCTCTACTGCGGCTATTTCTATGAAGTTGTTGGTGTGTGTGTGTGTGTGTGTGTGTGTGTGTGTCTGTGCGTGTGGGCTGCGTTTCTTATGTTGATGATGCAGCTGAGAATGGTGTCTTGTACGCCGTAATGGGCGAAAGGAGGAGGAGTGCCACCTGAATCCGGTGAATGGGTGTGGTGACAGCCGGGAGCGTAACAAGCACCTCGAGCGCCTGCTCTCGCTGCGTTTCCTCTCAATGTGCCAAAACAGCCTTTGAAAAAAAAAAGGGTCAGATCAGTGCAAGTCATAGACAACGCAGAAAGCCATGAGAATAGAGGCAAAAAAGAAATGACGCGAGAAGGACAGCGATATCAACGCAACAGAAGGAAAAAAAAACCAGTGGAGGGCATCTCCTCCACAGCGACGAGCGAGCTGTCCTCGAACTTCGCTCAAAGGTGCTTCTCGCTGAAGCCCTCTGCTGTCCAACAGCATTCAGCTGCGCGCAGCAGACAGAAAAACAAAGCTGTGCTCATGATGGTTTCCTCTCTCTCCCTCTTTGTCTGTTTGCGTTTGTGCAGCGGACGAGAGAACACGCCGGAGTCGAATACGGCCGGCCGTGGTGCGGAACATCCGCAGCATCAACGTAAAACAGAAACAGAAAACGGCAGTGAGGACCGAGCGATAACATCCAGCGTCGCACCTGATGTGCCTCTTCTCGATAACACGAAACAACGCACTTTCTCCTCCCACGCCCACCACACACACACACACACACACACAAGCACTGCATCCTCAAGACGGCTTCGCTGCTGAAGGTGCGGACGTGCGTGCGTCCGCTAGCATCGCCTCCAACCGCGCCACCTCCGCGCGCAGGGCAGGCAGAGAACACAGCAGCAGCTCTTTGCGTGTGGGCTCCGCCACAAGCCCGTCCAGTTCATACAGTTGCGCCTCCGCCAACCCACGTGCGGCGCGTGCGGCTGCCGCGTTGTGCTCCGTCTTCTCCTCCACCATGCGCACACCGTTGCCGATTTCTCGCTGCAGCACGCGCAGCAGATCCGGTGTGCTGTCCGGCAGTGCCTGCAGCGGCTCGACGGAAGAGAACAGCTCCGCCACCGACACCACGTGCACTGGGACCTGAATGTGCTCATTGTTCGGACCGGCTTGAAAGCAGTGCAGCGCGCAGTGGCCGCGATTGAGGTTCGCCTCGGCGTTAAACACGCTCACAATCAGTCCCACCCAGCCGCTCTCGAAGTGCTGTTGGTGCTCCCTCTGCGTCCGCAGATCCACCGCCGACGGCACCACGGGTATCTTCGGGTGACTGTGGTACCAGCCGAGGACAGTCGTGTTCACACCCGTAGCGGCCGACACCCGGTCCGCTGTCTCCGCAGCGGAGGCGAGGGACTCCGGCGACATCTCCACCCGGTCACTGCTCTGCACGCTGCGCTCGCTGACGTGTGTCGCCCATATATAGGCCACCTTGCCTTCCACGGAGCCCGGCAGTGGTGGGGACGCACTCGCCGCTCCTTTCGCGATTTCTGCGGCGCCGCTGTTGCCGCTGCCGCTTGCGAACCGCCGCGTCTCTAAGCGGCCCAGCAGCATGCCCATCACCTCCTCCTTTTCTGTAGTGAAGGCGTGCCGGAAACAGCTACGGATGACCTGCTCGCTGACGCGGACCTCGCGTAGTGGCGCTTTGCCATTCCCACCTCTAGATGAGGCGTCCGGCATCATCATCGGTAAATCTTGTAATGGTGCTGCTCGTATAGTGTGTGCGAGTGCGTATGAGCGTGTCAACACATCAGGAAAGGATTTTCTTCGTTAGAACTTATGTTAGGTGGAGAGAAGTCGCGTCAGAAAACAGCTGCGTGGCCACGGAAAACAGCAGGCAAAGAAACACGATGCTCCCGCGGCTTCCTGCTAATGAAAGACGAGATGAGCCTGAAAGCAGTGGACGCCGTTTTGGTGGCTTCGTGCAAGGAGTATGTATCACCCGAGAAAGAAGTGAAGAGTTCGTCAAGCAGGGGGAAGGCGACAAGAGAGTTTGATAAAAACAACGGCGGCAGAGAAGCTCGCTGGATAGCAAGTGCGCTGCTTTAAAAGGTAAAACAGCACTAGCGCTAAAGAAAAAAGGCAGAGGTCTAATCTTTCGCCTTACACTGAACGTGAGCGACGTCTTTCGATTCTCACTTGGCAGCTGCAGAAGAAAAATACTGGCACAACCTGTGCGGTGCCCCTCAGCCGCAGAAATGCATCTCAGCACCACTTCCATTCGCTTTTCGTAATCTCCGTGGCTCTCCCTAAACCGCACTCCACTTTGTGAAATTGAAAACTCGAGCGGCTCATCTGTTCTTTGTTTTTGTCTTCTGCTGCAGCGCATCCCACGATTCTCGTTTCACGTTTCGTTCGTATTGAAGAGCCCCGCACATCGGCGCAAGTATGTGTCTCTTCCGCGGCTCCGAAAGCCGTCTGTGCCTCTTGCTCCGCCTCGCATTCGAAGCGAGGAGACGTGGAAAAGGGAAACAAAGAAAAAGGCAAATGGAGCCATACACGTTAACAGACCAACGGGCACCTACGCATACGTCTAACTCTAGAATATGCGACAGTAGTGCGTGCCCCCACCGCACTCGCCGCCGCTGTGCCAGTCCACCCTCCTCACAAAGCAAACCAAATGAAAACTCTCGTCGACGTGGCGCTTCAGGCTGCCAGTCCAGACCACCGTGCATGCCGCAAACATCCTTCCCTGTTGTGTTGATGTTGTCATGCGTCTACATTTCTAAAGCAAAAGCAAAACACCCAAGCGGCGCCGCTTCTTCATCATCCCTACGTCGATCCCAAAACAAAACAATTAAAAAAGACGAATAAACCACGCCACCACGTCCGAGTGTAAATGTACAGAAAGAAAAGGAGGAGGAGGAGGAAAGGGCAGCAACAAAAATGTATATAAATTTATATGTCTCTAAGGCCGGAAAATGGCCAACAGAACGTCCGTTATTCGGTTACAGCTGGTGTTCCGTGACGGTGCGAAAGAGAGAAAGAACGGCGGTTTGTGGCAGTTCGCTGATCAGCTCCCACGCCTGCGGATCGTTGCGTATCATCTCGTTGAAGTTGCTCGCTACGTAGTTGATGGCGCGCTCGTGCAGCTCGGGGATTTGGTGCTTCACGGCGTATATCAAAAGGCGCAGCGCGTTGGAGTTGTTGAAGGCCTCGTCGGCCTCGCGCTTCAGCTGGCCGTCCATGACAAGAACGTTCTGCATCTTGAAAATAATCGCGATGTCCTCCGCCGAGAAGTCGCGGACCGTGTCGAAGTGTCGGCGGTACATCCCGAGCAGCAGCTTCTGCCAGCTGCGCAGCGAAAAGTCGAACTCGGTCGAGGAGAAGTTCGGCAGCGGGGCCGGGTTGCGCGGGTTGAGGGCTTGGGAGAAGAGCACGCAGCGGCACGCGAGGATGTAGCGGTGGGCGTGCACGGTGTACTGCTGCGGACCCACTAGCCAGTCGTAATCGCTGTACTCGCCTGACTCCGCCAGCCACGCCAACTGCTTGCCCAGCGTGTTCTTCATGGGCGGTATTGGTGCATTCGGCACCGTCTCCTTGCGATACAGTATGAGCGAGAGACGGCGGAACAGGTGCCCGGGGATCTCCTCAAACTGACGATCTTGAATCAGCACGTCGTAGTTGTCCAGCAGCACGTGCAGGTAGAGGGAGGTGAGCACCTCGTCCGCAGCGTTGTAGCGGGTCAGCACGATGGGAAGTATGTTGTCCGGGGTGAGCTGCGGACGCACATAGCGGATGCAGACGGCGCTGAGGTCGTAAAACTCGCAGGCGGCCGCCAGCAGGTAAAGGTCTAACAGCGACTCCGGCAGTAGCACACCCGACTCCGGGTACTCCTCCGTGTATACGTATCGCAGGAAAGTGGTGAAGACGTCCAGCGGCACCGCAATCGCGACGATGCAGCCAACCTGCAGGGGCAGCATCTGCTCCGGCAGCAGCGGCTGCATCCGCGCCCCAATCACACACCGGTGCGCCTTAACGCGGACGCCCTGCACGTCGAAGCTCATGTCGCACAGGCTTTCCAGGTGCTCGAAGGGGTACGTGAGGGAGGCGCGAATGTAGTTGCTATTCATGTTGTTCATAGGTGCCGCGCTGCCCTGTCTGCCGGGTGAGCCGCTCACGTTCGATGCATTGTCCACCGCCACCAGCTGGCCGTGGTTGATGTTGCTGGGGTCGTTAAAGAAGCTCCGTCGCGGTCCCACCGCCACACTCCCGCCACGGCGCTGTGGTGGTGGCTGCTCCATGCTCGTGTCCATGGGCACGAGGGCGCCCGGGCTGACGCGGCCGGGTGAGTAGGCCGTGCGGTCCACGCCACCTCCCCCGCCACCGTTGCGGTTCATGCCTGCATTATTCCCACCGCCCATCATCGCATTCGGCCGCACACTGGGACCGCGGCTCGGTGTGGCCTTTCCACCGCCATTCATGCCTCGGGTCGGGGTCATGGATCGCGTTGCGCTCCGCACCGGCGGCGTGCGCTCGTTCTCGCGGCCGTTGCTGACCTGCAGCGTCACCTCAAAGTCCACGCACCGAGTGCCGGTCTCCTGCACCGTGTAGACGAACCCGCCCTCCGCCTGCAGCAGCTGCTCCATTGGGATAAACTGGTGGAGACCCCACGCGCTGCCAGCCTTCTTGAAGGTGCAGTTGAAAGTCTTGCTGCGCGACTGCAGGGGGTCGCGAATGCACACGGCGGTGAGCTTAAAATGCACTGCGACGGCACCCGGTGTGCAGCTCTGGAGGTGGAGGGCGAGAAAGCGCTGGCCGTCCGCGGCGCGCTCCTGAATGTGGAAGCGCCACAGCCATCCGCCCACGTCGAACTCGGCGCTGTAGCGGGAGCCTTCGTACTGCAGCTCGCGAATGACGCTGACCGGCACCCGGTAGCGGTAGCGGGCGCTGCTGTCCGAAAATACTTCAATGGCCTCTACGGATTCCATTGTGCTCTAATGGTGTCGCTTTCCTCCTGTCCGATATCGTCTACACGATGAGTCTCGAAAGAGAGCCTTGCGGCGCAACACAACAAAGAAAACTCTGCCGCTATTAACGTCGACTCTATGTTTGGAAAGAAGCGAAGACAAACCACAGAAGAAAAAACAAACTTGATGCAGCTGTGTCGCTTCGACTTCGAGTGTGAGAGCTCGGCGGGGTCGAGCGCATACATTGTGCGGGGAGAAAGCAAAAGAGAAGGAAACAGAACGGCAAGAAGCGATGAAGACGCGACCCCCCCCCCCGCTATCACAAAACCGAGAACAGAGAAGCACCTCGCGGAGGCGAAACACGCTATATATATATATAAGGCCTCGAAGTGAAGATGCGCCGGCAGGTTCGCACACATGACTTTCCAGAGTTAGACACAAGAAATGGCAAAGGATCTCTTTTTTCCGTCCCTTTTTGTAACCCAATGAAGTTCAGCGCGGTCGATGGAACGATCACGACGATGCCGTAATGACAAAGGTTGGTAATTCATCACTTGACATAATTAATTGCTCGCGCTGTGCGAGGCGCCATGTACTCAGTTTGCGAAGTTCACCTTCTACATAACAAGCGTTAGACCAGTTCTAATGAAGATTAAAAACAAAGTAAAACGATGAGCGCTGAAGAAACAGCGATAGTTTGTAAAACAAAAATGGCAAACAGCGTCCGTAACCATACAGGGAGAAGCGCCCTCTTTCCTTCTTTCTTTGAAAGTCAAAAAAGAAAACCGTAAGCGAGGCAATGAATCTGACGCCTACTTCTAACTGAAAACCACAGTATCTCTTTTAAAGAACGAACCCGACACATCATCGCGGATGGATAACACAACGAGTGTGACACGACAGCAAACCATTTATTCTATCATTTGTGTTTCCCCTTTATTTGAGCACATGAACAGCGGAGGAGCACAACTCTGCAAGGGCAGCACACCTCGTTTGTCCTTTCCCTCCTCACGGTGCCGTGGTGTCGTCAGGAAACAGAACGTCCGCGTGCTCCTCGATCATCGTCTTCGTCGTCTCCAACCGCTCTAGCAGCTTCATGTAGGTCCCCTTCTGCGACTTGACATCAATCCACTCCTGCAGCTCATCGATGCGGTTCTTGTATTCGGTGCGGCCGCCGTAGGCATCGTAATGCGGGAAGGTCAGCACCGTCGTCGTCAGCGAGGACTGCAGCTCCGTTTTAATGGAGTCGGAGTGCGGCTTCACGCACTCCTCACGCACCGTGAAGTCCGCCAAGTGCGTGCACACGATTTCGTGCGCGTCGTGCTCCTTCAGCAGGCGGCCGCACACCGTCGCCAGCTTCTTCGCGTCCTGCACCTCGGGGTGCTTCTTGAGCACCGACTGGGCGTAGAGAAGAAACTCGCGCAGCGGCGAGGAGGCCGACTGCGTCCACTGCGCACACTGCTGCTCCAACAGACTTGCACTGTGCACGTCCGACGCAGCATTCTGCAGCTTGTCGTACGTCTCCAGGGTGAGCATTACCCACTCCTTGTTCACGTCCTGCAGCGCCTCTTGTACCCGCACGTTGGTCATCAGCGCCTCGCTCTGCTCCATCAGCACGAGGAAATTGCTGTCCATGACGGGTACGTTGGTGTAGAAGGAGTTGCTGAACTCCACCAGGTCGTCCAGCGTCGTCAGCTCCGACAGCGTTTCGCGCTGCTTGTGGCACCAGTCCTTCAGTTGCTGCTGGTTGTCCATGAAATCATCGACGAAGTCGTCGCTCGATGCGCTGCGGCGGTAGCGCTCGCGGCCGACCAGTGTGCGCGCCTGCAGCTGCAAACGGCACACCTCATCTAACACCTCGTAGAGGTCCTTCGTTGGCGGCAGTGCGCAATTCGGCCCCGCCCCCCGCTCTTCCCGCTTCAGCTCCCGCACGGAGCTCTCCGCGCCGGCGAAGAAGGTCGTCCAGGTGTCGAGCCAGCGGGAGACGGTGCTCAGCTCCGCCAGTTTAAAATCCTCGGCAGAGTACGATAGTAAAAACGACAGCACCTCCTTGCGCACGCCGAACTCCTTCAACAAGCTCGTCCACCTTTCGCAGTACTCCGCCTTGCCAATCGGTGCTGCGCCCCCTCGCTGCGGGGACAGCTGATCCTGCAACTCTGCGATCTCGCGTCGAAGCTGCTCCAACTCCGCTTCCAACGCGGTGGAGCGCTGTGCTGCCTCGTCGCGGTCACGGGATTTGTTCTCCAGAAAACGAAGTTCTTCGCTGACGAGCTTCTCGTAGTTCTCGTGCGTCGGCTCCTGCTGCACCACGTGCTGCAGGCGTTGGATCTCGCTGTACGACATGGTGAAAGGCGCCTTAAGAAAATACAACACAAGAAGGAAGCCTTCGGGTAAGTGTGCTTTGTGAAGTCGCGATGATCAACGCAGCGCTCTCACAACCAGGAAAAGAAACGGAAAGGGTGAAGAAGCAGCGAGGAGAAAACACTCACCTTGTATTGCGAATGGATGTGTGAGTGCGCGAGGGAGACGGTAAACACAAAAGGAGACGGCTGAAGTGGAGTTAGCGAGGCAGACAGTTAAGAACAAAAGAACGCAAGAGAAAGAAATTGTGTGTGCTTTCTTTTTTTTTAGAAAGCAGCACAACGCTGACACGCACCTTTGAAGCCTCAGCCATGGGGGATCTTCTGCGTCCTCGCAGCAGCGATCTGTCAGTGTTCTGCAGGTCGGCCGATGTCCACTCCGCGCAAAACAGTTTGGTTTCAAGCCTGGAAAGCCAGGAGAGAGAAAAGGCGACTTCTATCACTTCGCACTATCATGAGCTCCATCTGCCTTCTACAAATTACTGATACTCTACCGTTATTCGTTAAAGAGCCGTAAGAGCCACGTTTGGCAAGCATTAAAGTTAGAGATGTGTGTACTGGACACCGCTGTCGTCAGCTGCAAAAGAAAGACCAGAGTAGATTGCCACCATTATTGTCAACCAAATCAGCGTTTAAACAAAGAGAACTCGTTTCCTTTTTCACTGCGACAAAGGACCCAGAAGAAACACGGCACGCCAGAGTGCACGTCATCGGCGATGTCACGGCTTGCGTTACGACGCTACTTGACTTGTGTACTCTTGGTGCAGCCACCATCTGCGTCCGCACTGCAGCAGCAACATTTTTCTTTCTCTTTTTTAAAGAGCTGCTATTCTGCTTCCCCCCCCCCCTACCAGAGAGTCGGCCGAGTTCATCACAAACACGTCATACCAGTTGCTGAACTTGTTGCTCTCCTCGAAGATGTACTGCAGCGACTGCTTCATGGACGCCTGCAGCTGGTCCGGCGAGTACGAAAGGAACAGAATCACAAGACTCCACAGGCCGCCCATGTACACGCGGTACGCGTACGAGGGAACCGAGATGGCCAGCTTGGCCGTGATGAGGTGGTAGAGTCCACAGATGAGGCGAGCTAAGATGTACATCATCATCTGAATGTGGACTCCGTTGTTCGAGTCACCCCAGAAGCACGCACCAATCAGAAAGCCGGCCAGTGCGTTGTGCCACACGCGTGTCGTGCCCTGCATGTGCCGCAGCAGACCCCGCACCACAGCAAAGAGAGCCGCACTGTAGCCGAGGCCCAGCGCGTGGGTCTTCGTCACCTTGAAGATCTTCGCCGGCATCGAGCTGTACGGCGATTTGCTCCAGACCAGGTTTAGCACGAGGGCATGCGGGGCTCGCACGCGGGTGCCGTACACCACGCCGTTACGGAACCCTTTTAACGCGTGAAAGAGGACGTCGAAGTCGCCGGAGGCGATCATGTCGTTAATGCGATCCAGCACTGCACCGTGGAGACCGGAGGCGGTCGGGCCGCTGGGCCGCTTAGGGGCGACGGCGGTGGGAGCCACGGCGGCAACGTTGGAGTCAGGGGCAGGCATGGCAGCAACAAGACGGTAAATAACAAAGAAATTTCAAAGAGCGAATTGGCCGCGACTAATGTGCAAGTAAATTGACGGTGTCTTCTGTTGCCTACTGTATTATGTGTAATGCACGGAAAACAGGATTATTAATGCCTCGTTGTGGTGCGCCGCGTGTAAAGTAACTCTACGTGAGAGGGAATTCACCTTGCAGAGACAAACGTGTAGATATTATTTTGTACCTTTCGGCAATGCCGTCGCCGAAGAATGTTGATCAGGTAAATGGCAGTGACTAAGATATTTTTTTTTAAGAAAGAGGAAATGCAGAAGGAGTTGTGGCGTAATTTAAAGTGCACCTTCCAAAAATGAAGCTCCTCGATGTTTGGAAGGCACCATCGCGTTTTCAGTGCCTGTGTGGCGCCCATCTTTGGCATGAAGTTCCAGAACGGCAACGGAAAACCCTTCGCTGAGCTGCGACCGTGTCCCACCTTGTTCCCAATGGTCCTTTGTTTTTCTTTGATTTTCGCTGTCTCTTTCGAAGGCGACAGAAACTCGTAGTTGCGGTGAAGTCATCAACAAAGCGTAGGGGTCACGCCGAAGTTTTCCATGCATCGTAACGTCGCCTCCATTAAAGTGCAGATATACGCTGCTTTTTAGAGCGGAGTCGGCTCCTCCACCGGCCCAGCTATCTGCGGCGCGGCGTCACCACGAACCCAGAAGCTCGCTTCATGGCAGCGCGGACATCTTGGAAAGACCTTCCAACCCTTCGCGTCATCGCCGCCAATCACGAAGGTCTTGTAGTGGCAGTGCTCGCACTTGATGTACTTCTTCAGCGCCGGCTTCAGCTCCGTTCTGTGGTGCTGCTCCACGCACGTTGTCGGCGGCTTCGCGTACCAGCACCGGCAGCCGTAGCAGTAGTAGGCCTTGATCTCTTGCTGCGAGACGGCTTCCAGCGCCTCCAGGGCCTTTTCTTTCGTGATTTGCTTGTCCACAAAGGAGAGGAGACGCTGCCGGTCTGCCTCACCGCGCAGGTGATCGTGTTGACTTCGCACCCCACTTGCCACCGCACCTAACAGCGTCAGTGAAAGGGTCTCCTCGCTGGAGTGCCTGCCCAACTCTTCTGCAGCCGTTCTGGGCGACGGAGAAGATGCGCCAAAAGCAGCGTTGTTGACTTCTTCGCTGCTCCTATTTTCACGCTTCGACAAGTCTTTGGCTGCCTTGGCGGCAGCACGTAGCAGCGCCGTCGATGCTTGGTGCCCGTCACTCTCGGCCCCGCCTCCGACGGCCATCACGACGGCGTGGCGGTAGTCTTTGTGCGTCGCAGATGGAATGACGGAGTGGACAGAACTCTGGCTGCTGAGCGGCGCAAAGGTGGCGGCCGTGCCGTGGTGGAGCGGCTGAAACTGCAGACGGAGGGCCGCGACACGCTCCGCGTCTGCCGCTGCCGACGTCGCTGTGGGGAATGTAGCGGGTGCTCGTGGGGAGGCGGTCGACGTTGGCACCGCCTCGGTGCGCGTACGCTTGTTGGAGCGTACGTCCTCCACGCAGGTGCTCGCATTGCCCGAGTTGAAGTCGCGCGTACGAACACGAGTGGCCGCTGCATTTGCGTCTGCTGCTTTGCGTGTGCTCCCACTGCTACCGCTACCTGCCACACCGCTTGGCCCACCGGGGGCATTCCCATTCAGCTTGTCACGCGTCTTCCTCTGCTCCGTGGGTCGCAGGGAGCGCCGCAGCAGCTTCTCCTCTTCACTCAAGACGGCTTGCATCCGGGCAGCTTCCAGCACGTCGCGCCCGCGTGACGTCACACCCAACTCCTGGGCAGAGGGGTAGCGCTCTGCCGGTCGAAGGCCGACTTTGTGCTGCAGCGGCAGCGGAGCCCCGCTGTGCACACCGCCGTAGACACCGGTGCCCGCGGACGTCATCCCTCGTCGCTGCTCGGCGTCGTCTACGGGGAGCCCGGTAGCACCGCGCACGGCGAAAAACGACGGCTGCCGCAGTAACTGATGCGAAGCCGCGAGACGGGCCTTCACGTGCTGCTGCAGCAGCGACGATGACAAGGACGGCGATGCAGCCGTGCTGCGGAGCGCGACGCTACCCGGCCCGAGCGGGTCTGCACGACGCGCCCCTGTCGAAGACGAAAGCGTCATGTGACTCGTCAGTGCGCCTCCCTTCATAACGGGGGCGGTGGACGAAGAAGCAGACGGGGAAGAGGATGCGCCTACAAATCGGCGCGCAGAAGGTCCCTTCGATGATGTGCCGCCCTCAGCCCCACGAGCCACCTTGCGCAGATCACCCACGTGGTAGCTGCAGTGCTGCGACTGCTGCGTGTTCACCACAGCGTGGCAACGCTCATTTGACTTGTGCGACACCGACGTGCACGTGCCGAGGTCCGCCGCAAAACCAAGCTGGCGCACCGACATGTGGTCGGAGACGCGGAGAAGCACGTCGAGATCACTTCCAGCGCCGCCACCGCCGCCGCCTTTGCGGGGGCACATTCCGACGTTGCTGAGGGCCGCCACGGAACCTCGCACCAGCTGACTGTACAACAAATCAAAAGCGTCGCCGCAAAGCAGAAAACTAACTTCGGTTTCAGGAGTAGGCGAAATGTTCTCCATGCTCCACAGTGAAAGGACGGCGTAGCGAGAGGAGCGTGCCTGCGTGGTGTTCTGCTTCGGATCCGACTTGCGCGTCACCACGCCCACGCAGGTCCGCGGCACAGTTGCGTGGGCACCACTGCGAACCGCTGCCTGGCGGAACAGCGCAAACGATGCGTAGGGAAATTCAGCGAGGCGAACCGCAAGCTGCTCAAACGCGGCCGTCGCCCTGCGTACCCGTATGCGGCTGTGCGGCTCCGTGAACACAGCCGAGGCGGGCGGTGATGGCGTAGTCTTCGCTGGAGCAGTCGCGGAGTTGTTGTCCCCGCCGCGGACGTCCGACGCCGGCGACGCGCGGATTATCATCACCGCGCCGTTTCTCGAGCTGGAAGACGAGGTACTCGCAGGGGCTAAAACGGGTAAAGGCAACGGAGGCGCCATGCTGGCTGCGGGTGCCGTGCCTGTCAGTGGTCGTTGTGTAGGAGCATCGCTTGGCGAGGGGAAACGAGGATCCGTAGACGGCGGTGCTCCTGCAGTGCCACTTTCGCCTGCACACCTAAGACTGTCAGAACGCGAAGTGTATCATCGGTGTCGTCCTCGAGAACGACTACTGCGTCTGTCGATTCATATTGAGGTACCGCGCCGGTAGTAGTGGTGGTGGTAGCGGCCGTGTTCGTTAGCTCCGCTGCCGCTCCTGTAGGAGTTGGCTGCTCGTTGAAGACGTCGAAGAGATCGTCGCTCATTCGTGAAACGGCTGAATAGATGTTGGGCCGTGTGTGCGTGCGGACGAAAAGCAAGGCTTCTATGAATGGTGTTCTCTTCTATGTTTGTAGGTATTTCTAAAAAGTAGATAAGGCTATTCCGGCGGCCCAACCGGATACTGTAGTTCCTCTCTTCTTTTTCCGGCAAAACCGATGAGGATGGGTCATCCGTGAAGGACAACGTCTTTGTTTGGATATGGCCGTCGTGATTCTTTGTATGAGATGCAATAGAAAAGGAGGGAGTGAGGGGAGGAGAAGTGTATGGAGAGAAGACGCAGAAAGCGATGAATCATGCACTGGCGGTACCGTTTGTTTCTTTACACGATGACAGAGTAGCTGCCCTAGTACTTGGCTTTTCTCATGACCACGTCGATCCACAGCTGGGAGTAAAGATCCTCTAGAGCATTCTTGCAGACGAAGAACGCCGCCCGGCTTATGCGTAGACCAGGTCCTTCGTGCAGCTGCTCTTCACCACCACCACCACCACGGAGGTCAGCAGCCACAGCGGCTTCCTGTATTGTCATGTCTTACACCCCGATGACTATTGGAAACAAAAAAAGACCTTTGCCTTCTGTCGGTGTTCGTGTTTTCGTTTGCTTTCTTTCCTCTTTGTTGTAGAGCTGTAGTGACATCCATACATCGGCGGTAACGCAGGGGTGGAAGAAAACCAATATACATGAGCCCGCGACTAAACGAACGAACCCGCCCATTCCGATTCAACTTCAGACCTTCTGTCGGACTTTCCAGGCAGTTTTTAAAATAGAAACGAAGAGAAGAAAAAGAGAAGAGAAAGTGTGCGAAGGACAAAAACAGGAAAAAAAATTGAGAGCAGCTCGAAAAACAGTACGGGATTTCTTCTCCGCTTCTCGGTGGTAAAACAACGTTTCACATGCTTTTGTAGACTAAGTGTCGCTGATGTACATCGTTGAGCGACGCTCTCTCCGTTGAAAAACGCTAATATATATGTACGACACATGACTCGGGAAACAAAAAAAAGCTTCACAGCCAACACACGTCACGGCATCGTCGACGCCCAGACGCACCTCTGCCAGAAGGTGTGACGGGGAGAGGACAACGAGGCAGTGCCGGTGTTGATGCCACAGAAAAGGAAAATACAAAGCGAGAGAAGAGGGGCGGGAAAGAGGGAGAGAAAACGGTGCGCGTTCTTGACGGAGCGCTCCGCTACATTGTCCTGGAGAGCGGGGGCAGACGGGTGCCTTGCTCCTTGGCCAGCGGGACTGGCTCCGGCGGGGACGCCGTAATCGCCATTGCTTTCTTGTGCTTACTCGCCGTTCTGTGTGTCGCGGAGGCGCTGCCCTTCTCCCTTTTCGCCTTGGATTTGCCCTTCGCACTAGAGCTACGCTTCCTGGAATGCTTTCGCTGCGGCGACGTCGATGGACGGGCTGTCGCTGCTGCGCCTTCAGATTCCTTCTTCAGCGAGCCACGTATCCGTCCGGCCGCCCCATCACGACTGCCACGACCGCGGCGCTGCGGCATCAGCGAAGGCGGCGACGGTCCGCCCATCAGCCGCCGCGACGCCGTCGGGATCTCCGCCACGTCATCGAAGACGTCGGCGCCCACGAAGGCGCCGTCCTCCTCCGTCTGCTGCAGTGCGCGGGGGCCGTGGAAAGGCACGATTTCACCCAACGGCGCGGCAGCGGCGGCGGCCTCCTTCGACTTGCTCTCCTCATAGCGCGCCACCGTCGTGTCATCCTCGGCTTTGGTGTGAAAGAGGAGAATCAGGTTGTTGAAGCTGACACCGTCGTTGTTCTCCGCCACCACCTGCACCGTGTACGCAGTGCCCGGCGTTAAGTTCGTCAGAGGGTACGTTGGGCGGTGCACCGTTGCGAGCAGCATTGGGTAGGGTTGATCCGTCGTGTTGGCCAAGTAGACGCGGTAGTGGGGACGGGTGTAGCGCCCGGCCGCGGCCTCGGACGGCTTGGGCGGGGGCAGCCACTCCAGCGTCGCCGCGTTGCGAGAGAGCGAGGTGAGATGGAGGTCTTGCACCCCCTCCGGCGGGGTGCCGCTCGACACCGTCACCACCTCCGAGAAGTCGCTGTAGGGACCCAAAAAGGTGGACAGCCGCGGAGGGACGACAGTCTCGCCGGTGTCGCCGTCGACGCTCGTCAGCGCTGGGGCCGGCGCCGTGTGGCGTCGTGCACACTTCACCCGACAGCGCATCCGCGTCAGCAACCCGCTAATACGCACGGCGCAGACCAGGGTGTCTTCGACGGTGTCCACCACGCGCCACTCCGGCCCAACGGTCCCTATCGTCGGCACTCCCGCTCCGCCGGGTCCGCCCGGTCCGCCGGTGCCGCCGCCACCCGCACCCCGTCGCGAAGCACCGGTGCTCCCGCCTCTCCCCGCTGCTGCTGCGTTGGCCGGCGCTGAGGAGGGCCCGGCGCTGCTCGCGTTCGCCGTGGCCGCCGCGTCGGTCCCCACAAAACACTGTTCAATGACGTAGCGGTAGCGAGCAGCGAGAGCGTCCGACGCGGCAGACAACACGCCAGACGCACCGCCGGTGACGTTGTTCGCCGATGTCTCTCCCGGCAGGGGCGTCGTTTTTGCCGTCAACGGCGGCGGCGCCCACTGCAGGGAGCAAAACTGTGTGTTGACGCGGCGCAGCACAACCTGCGACGGCGGCAGCGGCGGCGTGACGATGCGCTGCTCCACCGAGGCGCCCCAGTGGCCACCGAGATCCATCGCACGAAGGCGGACGATGTACACCGTATCGGGCGTCAGCCCCTCCACGTGCTCGGTCACGCAGTTTGGGTTTGTGCAGCTGCCAGCACCGCTCGTATTTACTGAGCTAGGAGGAGTATTGGTGGCGGCCGTGTTGGTGTCGTTCAAGTCGTAGGTCTTGCGGAAGAGGAAGAAAGAAGGGTGGCCGGTTGCGGCACCGGTCGACTCGAGGTTGGCGACGGCTGCCATGTCCATATCCGGAATCGCCGTCTGCGACTGTGCCACGGCCACGTCTCGCGAGCCGCGTTGACCACGACGCAGCGGGGAATTCAGCAGCTTCGAGGGGCTGTTGGGCGAGCGCAGCTCTCCGAGTTTTGCGGCGTGGCGGCTGCCACCTTTCACGGGGGACGCGCTGGGACTCGTCTGCCCGCTGTGCAGCTGTTGCTCCGCTGCAACGGCCAGGCTGAGGGATCGGGAGGAGTACGACGCGGTGGAGGTGCTCATCTCCAACGACGCGTGCTGCTGCCGCAAGATCGCCCAGTCGGACTCGCGGTACATGGCGAGCTGGTAGCGCGACACCGTGCGGGTGCTGACCAGCGGCGCCACGGAGTTGATGACGCCGCCGACTGAAGGGGGGCAGATGGACAAAGGAGACCTTGGAGCACCAAAGTCGGTTCCGCTGACCACGTCTGGCGGCGCCCCGTCCACCACACGGACAGCCGTCTCCCACCCACCTGGAGCGCCCCGCCGGCTCCAGCACAAGTCCGCCGCGTCCCCGCGCACCGTGGCGGTTATCTGCAGCGTGTGCAGCGTGGTGAACAACACTGCCTGCGACCACAGGCCCCAGTCTGCCGTATCACCGTAGTACGGCTGCAGCGCAACGGCGTACTCCGTGCCGGGGTGCAGCTGCGCAAGACGGTAGTGCGCCACCGGGTACACTCCTTGCGACGCCCCGCACTCCTCACGTGTGATTTCACGCTCAACCGTGCCGAAGTGCGTGGAGCGGAGAACCATCAAAAACTTCGTCGGCATCACTGGGCCACCGCTGTTCGCCGCACCGGTCGCCTCGGTGGTGCGTAGCTGCCCCGTGCCATCGCCCTGCTCCCACGTCAGCTCCGCGTAGTTCTCGCCGACACCCGACACTGTCGGTGCGAGCAGCTTCAGCGTCCGGAAAGGGTGTTCGTCGCTCCACAGGCCCCAGTCGCCGGTCGCCTCACAGCAGGCACGAATGATGACGACGTAGGGTGTGTCGGCGTTCAGCCCACTCACGCGATATTGCGACACGTCCTTGTGGAACTGCTTGTCCACCACCGCGACCGAGGGTGTTTCCTGTGTGTTGAAGACGCAGAGGTGAAAGGCAAGCGAGCCGGGATTGCCCAGTTGGATGGCGGTTGCGAGAGGAGACACGAGAGAGACACCCTTGTCCGTCTGCTCTGCCTCCGTCTGCTCTGCTGTTGCTCCCGCTGTGCTTTCGGAAGCGCCGGAAGGCGGAGGCGGAAGGGGAGAAGGCGCCGACGACAATGCCGCACCCTTCTGCTGCTTCTCCACTCGAGTCACGTACTCCTCCGCCGTCTGCTTCGGCCGGCTCCATTCAACGTTCACGAAGTGTTCCGTCGGCATCGACAGCTGCACCTGCAGCGCCTTCAGCGTCGCGAAACACGTCGTCTCACTCCACAGACTCCACGCCTGGTTCACGCTGTCGCCCCACCGCACACGAGCCGAGTAGAGCGCATCCGCGTCGAGGTGCTTCACCGTGTAGCTGGAGCGCGATGCCTTGAAGCGCTTCGACACCTGGTAGCTGAACCCCACCCCGGAGACCTCCAGCTGATAGGTGCCATCGGCGTCCTCCTCGTCGCCGAGCACCGCCACCTCGCCGTCGGGCAGCGTGAGAGGCTCGCGGGGGCGTTGCCACGTGATGGTGGCACACACCTCGCCGATACGGCTCAGCTCAATCTGCAGGCACGGCAGCGTGATCACGTACACCGGCCTGCTCCACCGCCCCCACGCCTTCTCAATGCAGCATCGCACCTCAATCTTATACAGCGTGTTCGGCTTGAGGAACTTGTTAAAGTAGCTTGTCTCCGTCGGGGGCATGAGCTCGTCGAGGTGAAGCGTGTTGCTGCTGCGGGTCGACTCCACTGCTGAGCCGTCGCGCAGCATCTCGTCAATGCGCAGTTGGTACGTCTGCACCGGCTTGACGGGCATCGCGCGGCGCACGGCCAGCGGGATGGCGCGGGGGTCCCGGGCCCACCGCAGCTGGAAGAACTCCTCGCCGACACGCTCCACCGTGCAGACCATCCCGCGCAACGTGACGACGTACTCTGCCTCACTCCACACGCCTGGCGCGGCCTTCGCCTTCTCCATCGCCTCGTGCAGCGCCGGATCGATAGTAACCTTCGCACTGTCCCCACTCGCTGCGCTCTCGTCTGCGTCACCGTCCGACGACTGCGCGAAGCCGTCGTGGGGCTGGTACCACCGCCGCACCGTGAGACGGTAGCGGTGGTTCGCCTGGAGCTCGCGCATCACACAGTGGCGCTGGTTCGGGTGCAAGAATAAGCTGCGTCCCTCCGGCACCCGCTGCCTCGCCAGCTCACCCTCCTCCTCGCCGAGGGGGATGTCGGAGTAGTCCCGCACCCGCACCTCGTAGCAGACCGTCTCCTCGACCTTGCCAAGGCGCAGCGAGCCCATGTGGATCGTGTTGGCCTTGCGCTGCCAGGCCGCGGAGAAGTAGTCCTCGCCCACCTCTTTGACGTCCGTGGCGAGCAGGTTGTACGTGCCGGTGCGCACCGGGTCGCTCCACGGGCTCCACTCCCCGCTGCCGTACTTGGCGCGCACGCTGACCAGATAAATGCAATCCGGCTGCAGCGCGGGCAGGGTGTACTGATGAACGTCGCCTGGCACCTCGACGGTGTAGTCCTCCGCCTCCTCCGACCGGCGGACAGAAATAACGTAAGAAAGGATCGACGTGGCCGCGCTGTGGTAGACGGGCCCGGCGTCCCCGGCTGGTTTGTCCAGCACGACAAAGCGTCGCCGGCGCTGCCAACTCGGCGAGCCCATCGGTGATTCACTCGCCAAGGCGGCCGCCACTGCCCCGTCGCTTCGTGTCGGCTGAAGAAGCACGTCATCGTCCCTGTACTCCTGCGGTGGGGGGCCGCTCTCCTGCCCGCTGTTGCCGCCGCCGCCCTCCGTCAACTCGCCGTCGTTGTTGCGCTCCTTCGCGGAGGTCGACGCAGCTGCCTCTCTCGCACCGCTGTTCTTATCGTGAACGCTCTCCGGGTGCGGCGCGTAGTGCAGCTCCTCCGGCGCCTCGCGGCTCCACTGCAGCCGCACAAAGTCCTCACCCACCGTGGCGACGCTGGAGACGAGCGGCTTCATCGTGTAGACGCAGCGGCCCTCCGACCACTCACTCCACACCCCGTCGTGGTTGACGGCCCGCACGTAAAGCAGGTAAATCGAGTTGGGGTCCAGGGAGCTCACCGTCAGACTCATGCTGCTGCCGCTCAGGTGCTTCTCTAAAAACAACTCCGGCGGGACGTCCTCGGTGGCGTGGTAGACGCGCACGTGGTACTTCACCGCATCGCGGGCACCGACAGAGACAGACGGAACGTGGGGTGACCCGGCAGCCGCGGTGCCGGTGTTAGTGGCGGATTCGGTGGACATATGGGTGCCATGCATCGAGAACTCCGAGTCCGCGCTCGCGTTTTCGTGTCCTCCAGGTGCGGTGAACGCGGTTGTGCCTGGAGCGGGGTTCGTGAACTTCATCGAGGCGGATGCCCCCACCAACTCCTCCTTATCGGCCCTCGCGGCGATCTTCGCGCGGTAGCTCTCCGGGTTCTGCTCCGGCCGCCCCCACTCCGCGTCGATGTGGTTCTCTGCGATCTCCTTCGGGTGCACGAGGAGGCGCTTCAGCGTCACAAACTTGCGCTCCGTCGACCAGAGACTCGCCTCGCCCGCCTCGTTGAAGGATCGGACGCGGGCGGTGTACAAGGAGTCCAGCGCCAGCCCTGTCACGCGAAAGTTGCTGGTCGGCGAGTTCGTCTCGAAGCGGGTGCTCAGCACAAGTTCACAGCCCTGACCAACCACCTCCAGCTCGTAGGCCACGACCTTCGACGTGGGCAGCGTCACCTTTCTTCTCGCGATGTCGACGGCGCTCCAGCTGCTTCGCTGATCGCTGTGGTGGTTGTTGCTGCTCGTCACCAAGTTAGCCAAGGGGGTGAGTGTCACGCGACCCCACTGCAGCGTAGCGTAGTGTTCATAAATGGTAGCCGGTGAAAGGCGGATGCGCGGCATGGTAATGAAGTGGTGCGGCGAAGACCACGGGCCCACCTGTCCGCCGGTCGTCTCCGCCATCACCTGCACGCAGTAGATCGTCTGCGGGTTCAACCTCGCAAGGGCAGCCTCAAGCTCCGTGCTTGAAGCTATTCTCTTCACCATCAAATAGTGCTGCCGTGCCTTGGAGGAAGATGTAGATGACGTCGCCGACTTATCGGCGTTGTTCGGCACCATCCCGTCGCACAGCACGGGATGCGGATCGGGTGGGAGTGGACCGCCGCGCTGAAAACCGAAGGCAAGTGTCCCCTCCAACTCGTCCACCTCCACCATGCGCGGCCTCTCCTCCGTAGCGACGGTTGGGACGCCGTGGAACGAGGTGTTGAGTCGGGCGGTGTCGAGGTCCATCGACAAGGCACCGGCGCTCTCGTCCAAGTCAGAGAAGCTTCCGTCGTCGGAGTCGGGCGGGTTCGACGGCATCCCGCTGTCACGCCTTGTCCCGTCCGCTGCATCAGCGACGGCACGGCCGTGCACGGGGATTTCCTCCAAACGAAGATAGAAGCCCGTGATCTCGACATTGCCCTCCAGCACGTGCATGTCGCTCTCGTAGTCGATGCGCGGCGCGGTGCGCGACCACGACACGTACGCGCTGCACTCCTTCACCTCCGTCACCACCGTCTCAATGCTTGGCAGCGTGACACAAGAGCACGGCGCGGACCAGAGGCCCCAGTCACCCTTGGCGTCCCACTCTCGCACCGCGATGGTGTACTTCATGTCCGGCAAGAGGGCGTCGATGCGCAGCACGTTGGTTGCTTGCATGTCACGGAACTCCTCCACCTCTTCATTCGTCTGCGCGTCTTCGTGGGTGATGCGGAGCTGATAGACCTGCACCTCCTCCGTGTAGCGACTGCTCAGCAGGGTGTCGTGGACGTCCATCTTGGCCACCTCCTTGTTGTCCAGCCGCCACCACTCCAGGTCCACGAAGGTCTCGCTGATGTAGGTGAGGTCGAGCTGAATGAGGTTGTGTGTCATATACTTTAGCGGCGCCGTCCAGCAGCCCCAGACGTCATCGCCGTAGTGAGGGCATAAGCGGCACACGTACATGTTGTTCGGCTGCAGGCCCGTCTCGGTGTAGCTCAGCATCGGCTTCGCCGCGTCATTCGGCAGGTAATGCTCGGAGACGGTGCCGGCCTCGTCAACGACGCGCAACTGGAAACCACGGATGGGGCAGTTAAGGTCGGTCAGCAGGCCCAACTCGCCCGCTGCGTGGCGCCGGGCGCGGTCGGCGGCGAGGCGGCGCAGCGCCCGCAGCCGACGAACGCGGCCCACGAGGGAGGTGTACTCCGCCGCGCTCAGCTGCCCACGCTGCGTTTCCAAATCGCGCTCGGTGAAGTTGTGGAACTCGCGCTGCAGGCGGCGATACTCTTCGGTCTCCTGCACAGTGGCCGCCATTGCCGTCGCCTCCTCGCGATACCAGTACAGGTTGATGTAGTGCTCGCCAAAGCGGCTCTGGTCCAGCAGGATCGGGGCCAGCGTCTCCAGCTGCGTGGGCGGGCTCCACGGCTGCCACGTCTCGGGCCCGCTGCGCCCGCGCACGGTGACGACGAAGGTGGAATTCGGGCTCAGTCCCTGCAGCAGCACCTGCGTGACGCTCGGCTGCAGTTGCACATCCAGCAACTCCACCGCCGCATCCGGCGCCCCGGCGCCTACCGGTGCTGATGTCCCGGTTGAGCTTGGCGAGGCGCCGTTGTTGGACAGCGTGACGGACTGCCCGGCAGGCGGGTACGACACCTTCAGCACCGCCTCCTTTTTCCGATCGCGGGCGCTCCCGCTGCCGCCGATAACGGGGTTGAGGAAGCCGCGGGTGGCGGATGTGCCGCCAGCGAGACGACGCGTGGTGCTCAGAAGATCACGGTTGCTGCCGAAGCGCGACGTCTTCGACGGCCGCAGTCGCAGCCGCTCCACCTCCTTTATAAACGGCAGGCAGACGCTTCCGTCCTGCAAGGTCAGCCGAAGCTCGTACCCGCTGCTGTCGGCGATCCCGACGACGATGCGGTCCATTTGGTAGTGCAGGGTGGCCTCTTCGCGCAGCATGGTGTTCTTCTCCTCGCGGGCGGCCGAGTCCAGCCACCGCGCCGCCCCGTTCTGCTCGCCCTTGCTCTCCTGCTCTTGCAGCTTGCGCTTCATCTCAAAAAGCTCCCGGCGCTCGCGCTCGTCACATTGCTGCAACACCTCGCGCTCTTGACGGCTGAGAAGGTCGCTGAAGCGCGCGATGTTTGGCAGGGGGCGATACCACTCCAATAGCGCCGTCGCCTCCGTATATTGCGAGACGCGCACCTGCACCGAGGCCAGCGTGAGCACCGAGACCTTCGGCGAGAAGTAGGACCAGTGCTGCTGCTCACTGAGGGAGCGCACCGAGACGCAGTAGAGCTGATCCTGCTGCAGGTCCTCCACCATGACCATCTGCATGTCCTGCCCGAACGTGAGACGGCGGTGGTGCTCGCAGCTGATGCCCTCCAGCACCACCTCGTATTCGTGCACCGCCTCGTTAGGCAGCACAACGTGCGCGGCAACGGCGATCTCAGGCGCGGCTACGGTGGAAGGCCTCGCGTTCTTCGCCACCCCATCCGAGACGGTCTCACTCTCCGTCTGCGCAAAGGAAAGCGGCTTGCCCGCGTCGTTCTCGTCGGCTTGCTCGTTTTCACTGCTGGGCATCACGCTCGCACGAGCGCGGCTCCACGACAGGCGCATCGCCACCTCCTGCACCATATCCACGCGCAGCTCCAGCCGGCTCTGCGTCAAGAAGCGCGTTGCGAGACTCCAGATGCCCCACTGGCCGCCCTCCATCTTCGCTCGCACGCGCACCTCGTATACGCTGCTCGGGACAAGACTCGAAATGTGGTAGGTGTTCACGCTGCTCGGCACAGACACGACGGAGTCGAGCGACAGCGGGCCCTCGTAGAGCGTGACACCGTCCGGGTTCAGCCGGCGCGTCTGCAACTGAAATTCCACGGCCTTGCGGCCGATCGTGGTGGTCGCCGCGAGCACCGTTGTCATCGGCGACCCGCTCTTCGCATCCTTACTGTTGCCGCTGGTGCCGCCGGCCTTCACGGAGTCCTCCGGCGTGTCGGCCTCTGCGGCGCGGCGCCACTCCACCAGGCAGTAGTCCTCGCCGATCTCCTGTGGAATGACGTGAACGGGTGGCACCGTCTGCGTACACACCATCTCCGACGCCGCACCCCACACCCCCGCTATCGGGCGGCCGTCTTCGCTGATCTGCTGCTCCCGCACCGTCACGGCGTAGCGGCAGCCAGAGAGCAGGTTACCGAGCAGCAAGCCCGGCTGCGTCGTCTCATACACGCGGGCGCCGTCGACCAGCGGCTCGTCCGACTCGTCAAAGGCGGGCTCCATCGGCATGGGGCGAATCGTGACCTGGTAGTTGTGCACTTCGCTATCCGACGGGAAGCACTGGTACGACTCTGCCACGGAGCTGGAGAAGGAGCCCGAAAGCGAGCCATCCTGGCCGCCGTCCTCCTCACCGCCGCTGCCGCTCGGCGAGTTTACGCTGGAGACGAGGGGCCGCGTGTTGCTGACGCTTTCCGACGCCGGAAGGCTCAACCCGGCGCTGGCGCTGACGGGCGGGCTGCGCTCGCGACCGCGGCCGCCGGCGACCTCCTGCGGTGCTGCCCACTCCGTCACTCCGGTGCGCGCGGCCGGCCGCTTCCACGCGACCTGCAAAAACGTCTCCCCCGCCATCTCCACCCCGACCTTCAACAGCGGACAGGTGGAGACGTACAGGGAGGGGCTCCAGTGGCCCCACTCGCCGGCGTGGTTGAGGCCGCGCACCGCAATGGAGTACGTTGCGTGGGGCAGAAGTCCGTCGACCTGCAACGCACTCTCGCCCTCGCCAACGTACAGCTCCCGGTAGTCTTCGGACTGCGGCATGCCGGCAAAGACGCGGTTGCACGACACCCGCACGTGCCAGCGCGTCACCCGCTCGTCGGGGTGCAGCACGCCGCCGTCGTCCGCGTACATCCCTTCCGTCGCCTCCCCCACCGGGTGTGCCGTCGCTGCCAAGCTGCCGTCTTCCAGGTCGGTGCTGTGGAGGCGTGCCGACAGAGGGGTGTGCCGCGACCAGTGCACCGCCGCGAAGTTCTCTCCGACCCTCTGCAGCCCCACCGTGACGGGCTTCAGCGTGTAGAAGGGCACCGGGTCGCTCCAGAGACCCCAGGCGTCGTACGTGTCCTTGGCGCGCACCTGAATAGAGTAGAAGCTCGACAGCTGCAGGCCAGACAGGGTGATGCCCGCGTCGCGGAAAGTTGTCGTCGTCGTGGCTGCGACGTTCGCGTCGGCATCCAGCACCCGCACCTCGTACCCGCTCACCGCGCCGTCCACCTGGCGAACCTCCGTGCCGCCCTCAACCGCCATCGACTCCCCCTCCCACGCGCCGCGCCGCCACGTGGCACGCACGTAGTCCTCACCGATGTTTTGCACCTCCAGCTGCAGCCGCGGCAGCGTCCGCACGCGCGACTCCTCGCTCCAGAAGCCCCACACGCCCTCGTAGCTCTTCGCGCACACCCACACCCGATACTCCGATGACGGCTGCAGATCGCGCAGGCGGAAGCTGCTCACGGTGGGGGCAATGTTGTAGATGACGGAGTGCGCCTCGCCAATGCGCTGCACCTTGAAGCGGTAGAGCTGGACGACATCCTCCGTCTCCGCGATCGAGAGGAGCGGTCCAGCAACCACCGCCGGCGCCCCTGTCACCACTGCGCGCCCGCGACTCCCACGCAACGACGTGGCTGCCGTTGTGACTGAGGCAAGTCCGTCTGCCCCGCCCACCGGCACGAGGGCGCCGTTCTCCGCGCCCCCACCCCGCCCCCCCAGCCCCTATCAGACTCGCCATTGTCTTGCTGTCCTCACAATTGTTGTCGCCGCTGTCGTCCTCGTCGAAGGTGAGGCGCAGCTCCGTCTCCGTCGGTTTCGGCAGATGCCGGCGCCACTCCAGCATCACAAAGTGGTCGCCGATGTTGCCGAAGGTGACACGCAGGCGCGGCTTCGTACGGAAGGCCTGCGTGGCCCACAGACCCCACTGGTCGGACTGCCCAAAGAGAGCGCGCACGTGCACCGTGTACACCGCGTCCGGCAGCAGCCCACGGAAGAAGAGCGCCGTGGAGGCGGTCTCCTGCGTGTAGGTGAAGCCGCCCTCGCCGAGAATGCACACCTCAAAGGTGCGGGCCGAGATGTTGACGTTGAAGACGGTGTCCGCGTCGCCGCCGACGTGCAGGTCAGTCTTGCGCGACCACGACGCCCACAGTGAGTCCTCGGAGACGTGCTGAATGTGGATGTCCATCCCCGGCACAGTCCGCACCTTCTGCTCCTCGCTCCACACGCCCCACTCGTAGTTGTCGTTGAAGGTCTGCACGCACACCATGTAGGTGGTGGCAGGGGAGAGGTGGTCAACGCGGATAGACGTGATGGCGCCTTCGACGGTGTAGGTGTGCTGGTAGGCGCCACCGCTCTCCCGTACGCGGACGCGGGATGCGGTGATGGTGGCCACGCCCAAGACCACCTTCTCGGGCGAAGTAATCTGCGGAGGAATGACCTGCGCGTGGCGCACCCACTCCACTCCTACAAAACTCTCGCCGATACCCGTGAAGGACACGCGCGTGGCGGGGACCGTCGCAAAGACGAGAGAGGGGGACCACATGCCCCACTCGCCATTCGCCAGCTTCGTACGCACCGACACGCTGTAAACGGTATTGCAACGCAGATTCGGCACGGTGTGCTCCACCGTCTCCGCGTTGTTCAGCAACTCCGTCTGATACACGAGACGCTGGTCTGCTGCATCGGGTGGGAGAGCGTCGTTGAAGTAGGCGGGCTTGGTTTGCGCAGAGCCGGAGGACGCCGTGGAAGCGGTCGTGTTGTAGGGCGATTTGGACAGAATCGGTGACGTCACACACAGCATGATTGTCGGTCGCACGCGGCCGTGCGCCAGCACGCGCTCCTCCGTCTGAGGGTTGCCGTCGTCCTCGGGGAGCCGCCGCTGCTGATTCGGTCGGACAAGCTGCAGGCAGCAGAACTCCTCAGAGATGAGCTTTGTTTGAATGCGCATCGGCTGCATCGTCAGGCACCAGAGCGGCACACTCCACAGACCCCACTCCTCGTCGTTGTAGTTCGCCTTCAGTTCGATGCAGTAATAGGTATTCGCCTTCAGTCCCGTTACGCGGTAAGGGCAGTCGCCGTCACCGAGGAAGGTCTCCATGTGCACCCCGTCCTCGTTGTACACGCGCAGGTGATAGGACGTAACGATGCCGCGGCCGGTGGGGTACTGGTGGGGGTTGGACACCTTCCGCCGCTCCCACCGCACGGATATAAAGTCCTCCGCCACTTCGTCCGGCGTCACTGCGATGGTGCCGCGGGTAAGGATGTGCACCGGGCTCGACCACAGTCCCCAGCAGCCAGACCGGCCACGCACGCGTATCTGAATGGTGTAGGCGCAGGCGGGAAGCAGCTCCGACATCTTCAGCTCCCGCACATCCGGCTCCACCGCGTACTCCTTCACGTACTGCGTGGTGACGCCGTGGATGCGCAGCTCCTGCCCGGTGACCGTCAAGTCACCCCGATGCACCTCCGCGTCGTCCGCGTCGGTCAACAGTTTGCCGCTCTCGTGCTGCCGGCCGTGGCCATCGGCGCGGCTCCACACCACACTCACGTAGTTCTCACCAATCGTGAGCTGCTGCGCCGGGATGCGGAACTGGGGGTTGGTGCGGAAGCGGATTGGAACGCTCCACAGGCCCCATCGCCCACTCGAGGTGGCAGCGCGCACCACCGCCACGTACTCGCGGTCAGGCAGCAGGTCGCCCACGCGCAGGGAGGTGTGCTCGCTCGAGACGATTTCGTGCCGCGCCACGTCGGAGCGGCCGCCGCCTTCCTCGTAGCCGCTCTGCACATGCGGGAAGACCGGCATGCCCGGCAGCTCCTTTGCGTAGACGAGGACGCTGTATTTGGCGACGAAAATGTCCGCCGTCGTCACGTCTTGCAGGTCAGCGTTGTCGTCGGTACCGCAGCGCTGCCACACCAGTCGCACAAAGTCCTCGCCGATTTCATTGATGGTGGTCTTGACCGAGGCGAGCGTGAGCACCTTCACACGACTCCACAGGCCCCACTGCCCCTGCTCGTCGCACGCGCGGACGGAAATGGTGTAGGTGGTGGACGGCTTCAACTGCGAAATCGTAAAGCTCGTGTCGAGCACCTGGCGGTGCAGAAGCTCGTCCTCGCCGGTGTCCACGCAGCCGACGACGACCTCGTACTTCAGGCGGTCCCAATCAGCCGTCGTCGTCCCGGTTGCGGCGGCGTCGCGGTTGGGGTCACCGCCGGCGACGGTTGGGGAGTCGCCTTGCTCGGCCAGTCCGCGGCGCCACACCACGTGGATGAAGTCCTCCCCGACGTCCCAGACATGCAGGGCGACGGGCTGCAGGGTCTGCATGCGCACCGGGGCAGAGAACTCACCCCAGCCCTCGAAGCCGGTGATGGGGTTGCGCTGCCAGGTCCGGCACTGCACATCGTAGGTCATGTTCGCCTCCAAGTCGTTTACACGGAAGCCGCGCTGCGTCGAGTCTCGCGTTACACGCTCGTTGAGCACGGCGGTGCGCTCCCCCAGCGGGCTGCACTTGATCACCACGATGTTGTAGACGGCGGGGGCCCCGTCGCTGGCGTTGTTGTTGCAGGAAGCAGCGGGTCCGGTGGAGGGCCAGTTAAGCGTCAAGAAGTCCTCTCCGCGCTCGAGAAAGGTCAGTGCCGCACTCGGAGCGGTGGTGAAGCGCAGCGGCTCCGTCCATCCGCCCCACGCCGCACCGATGGCCACTCGCAGGGTTACGGTGTATTGGCTGCCGGCGCGAAGGTGTTCCACGTTCAGCAGGCGCGGGGCCGCAGCCGAGGCAGGAGGAAGCGTGATTGTCTCGGCTTGGTTGTAGGCAGACGTCAAACTCTGCACGCGGTACTCCAGCTGCGACTCCAGCGGTTCCTCTTGCCTGCGCGACCACGAAAGCGACGCGAAGGACTCGCCCACCGCCGCCACCGCCACTACCGGGCGGTCCGCCGTCCGCACGACAAGCGGCAGCGAGCGCCCGCCCCACCGCCCTTCCTCGGAGAGGGCCCGCACGCAGACGGAGTAGGAGGTGCTGGGGTAGACGTGGTCCATCGTGTGCTGGTTGACCGACGCGGGGACCGAAATTGGGTCGAAGCGGAGGTCGTCGCTCTCGATGATGAGCTCGTACTCGTGCACCGGGACGCGCGGCAGCAAATACCCAGCCACCGACGCCGTGACCGGAGCGGCGGTGGAGTCGTCACCGTCTTCGAGAAACGCCGTCGCGGAGGGCTCCGCATTGGCCAAGGCGGAGATCTTGCTGGCTGCCGCGTCGTCCGCGTTCGTTGACCGGCCCCAGCTAAACGTGAAGGTGTCCTCGCCGCGTGCCTCCAACTTCACCTCCAGCGGGCTTTCCGTGACGAGGCGTGTCACCTCCGTCCACTCCCGCATGGTGTGAATCATCGTCATGTACCGCGCCATCACGATGTAAGCCGTCCCGGGCTGAAGGGAACGCACGGTTTGAGAACGGCAGCCGGCCTCGAAAGAGCCGCAGTAGTGCTCTGCCATGTCCGACTCACGCAGGAAGCGCAGCTCGAAGTTAGGAATGCTGCGACACCAGTCCGTCGTCTCAGAGTCGATCTCCCTCGCGATGCCTTCCTCGCTACGCTGCGCGGCGCGGTCCCATATGCAGTGCACGTAGTCGGAGCCGATCTCGACGATGCGCGTCACGACAGGAAATAGCGTGGCGGTCTGCACGGGCTCCGACCACGGACTCCACTGCGCCGTGGGACGCGAGTAACAACGCACCTGTACAGTGAAGCGGCAGCCGGCGTCGAGCTTCACCACCTTGTTCAGCTTTGACGCCGGAAGCGTCTGGAAGAAGTACACCTTGCCGTTCGCCGGCAGCGGCAACTCATCCATCGACGCAGGCTCCTTCGACTCTCCTGCGCCACCTAGAGCCCCGTCTGCGCTGGCGTTGGTGTTCGTGGGAGACCTCGTCCTCGCCGTCGCCATCGTGCTGGTAGACGTAGTCGTGGACAGGGTTGGGTTTTGATTGTTGGCCGTCGTTGCGCCCTGTGCATCGTGGAGGATGGTGTAAATGAGCAGCTGCCACCGTGGCACGTTCTCTTCCCTGCAATCAACAGGAATTAAGGCGTTGTCGTCGAGGGCACCTGAATCGGTCACAGCTGTCTTCCCGCTGCGAGTCGGCGCTGGAGCGAGGGAGGCGTCGTGGTGGTCACTATTGTGTTCATCCGCCTCCATGTTGTCATCGTCCGTTGCTGCCGCTGCCCCTGCTGCCGGGGACGGCGGAGACGACGTCGCTGCTGCGACGCCGGCTGCGGCCAGCGGACCCATCTTACGGGACCCCGTGCGCGCCCCGTGTGACTTGACATGGCGGAACACGTTGCACTCAAACTCACCGAAGTGCTCGCCCACACGCACCACGGCTGCCTGGCAGTGCAGCTGAGTGGTGATGTGGCGCGGCACCGCGGGGGAGCGCGCATCCGATGTCTGACTTGGCGTGGCCACGGCGCCGGTATGGGAGGGGGAAGCACGCTCCGGTGCCGTCTGTACATCGTCCCCTGCCGCCACCACAGCCGTGTCCGTCGTTGGGTGTTTATACATTCGCTAAAATAACAATAACAAGAAACAGCAGCAGAAGCAGCTTGTATCCGAGTGAAGAGTAGTGTACGTTGCAGTTTTGCAGCCCAAGAAGGAGAAAGATAGAGAGAGCAACACGCACACACAAACAGGAAGGAGGGAAAAGATATATAAGTTAGAAAGAACACCTCACAGAACTCCCACCACAGCTGGTTGGGGGTTTTGCCGGTATTAAGTAATGATGCCACACGCGTGCGAAGCGGGTTGGAAAGAGAGAGAGGGAGAGAGCGATTGGGGAGAGATGGGAGAGATAGGAAGGTATTTTTAGAAAAGGTAAGCATTGAAAACTAGCAAGAAACAATAGACATACACATACATATTCTAGTGCGCCGTCTCAGGCGGAAGAAGCAGGCGTAGGAGCCGTTGAGTCCCACGCGCAGCTCGTGATGAGGATAAGGGAAGGTCACTTCATTCTATCGAGCATTCGACAGCTTCGTTATTCTCTTCCATTTGGAGACGCTCGTGCCTTGAGGACAAAAAGATTTGCCGTGCACCATGAAGTGGTAGAGAAACAATCACTTGGGAAAAAGAAAACGGGAAAGGCAGTGGTGCATTCATTTGAAACCAAAGATAAAAACAATAATCAAGGAAAGCAAAGCACGTATGGAAACGTGGAGTACAGCAAGCAAACGAACAGACGAGACAACAGACAACGCAGCGGTTCAGAAGGAACTTGACGCAGCACAGCAGTGGAACTCACGTTTCAAAGAAAGGTCCGTGTGATTCCGCTAAGAGAACGCCAGAGAAAAAAAAAATAGAAAGCGCAGTGGTAACACAAAATCGGCTTGACAACACGCCTGAGAGCTCATCTGTATCGCGCCGTTTCCGCCTTCCTTTCTCCTTTTCAAATGAATCCGAACTCTGAGGCGTGAGTCAAACACGCCTCAAGACTGTTCTGCAGCTCTGCCGCTGTAGAGCACGGCTGCAGCAGGAGCGAGATTGGCGAGCACGTATGTGCCGTCGGTAGCCGTCCCGCCTTATCACCGCAGTTCACGAACACCTTCTCGGGCAGCGGAATGCGGCTCTGCCCTGAGCAGAACAAGAGGAAGCGAGACAGCTGCGACTGAGTGAAGCTGCTCAGCACCTGCGTCAACATCGCACGCATTGACGGGGAGAGCGACGACATGTCCAGCTCGGCCAAGACGTGCTCCGTGGAGGCGGCGCCGTTGCCGCACACCCGGGTGCGTAGGTCCTCCCACCGCACCGACCGCAGTGACGACGCCGGCACGACAGAGGTCAGTCCGGCTCGCATCGCAAGGAGAGCCGGATCGTACTGATGCAGCAACACCTCCTGAGCAACAGCGCGACGACGGCTCAACTCGGCGGCCTCGGCATATTCGGCGAGCTCTTCTAACTCCTCCAACGCGTAGTGGCTCATGTCTTGCATGCTCATGGCCGGCGTCATGCACACATAGGGTCGCAGCGGGCGTGCGGAGGGCAACGCGGCGTGATGTCCCACCGCGTCACCGCTACCGTCACCACTGCTATTGCCACTGCCGTCGCCGGCGTGGCCATCTCGGCCGACTTTATCGCCGCCGCTGCTGCCGCTTCCCTGCAGGCTCTTCAAAAAGGCAGGGCTCGCCCGCACGTGCTCCGGCAGCGCAGCGAAGAACGCATCGCTCAGCACAAACTCGTCATCCTCCAGCGCCGCGGTGATGTTGTCGTCGATGTCGTACGCGTAGTCCGCCAGCGTGACCGTTTCCTCCTGGAACGTGAGTGTCTTCCACACCAGCCGGGGAAAGTCAAAGGGCACCTTCAACGTGCCGCAGAGCACCATGTTGCCAATCAGCTTGCCCAGCCACTCGAACATGCGTCGCAGCAGCCCGCCCTCGGCGCCGTCGTCGGCCGCCTCGCTGGCGTACAACGCAGCCATGTTCGGCACCACGGTGAAGATGGTGCTGTGGCCGCAAAGCTGGAACAGCGGCAGGAGAGGATCGATGCGGATGCCGCGCACAAAGCGGTAACTCAGCTCCTCGCCCACCATGCTCATGACGGCGCGCGTGACCCCGCCGGCGTCGACGGCCAACGTGCTCTCGAGGTGCACCGCGAACATGCGCGCCCGCTGGTAGACCCGCGTCTTCTCCAGCTGCGTAAAGAGCTGCCCCGTCACGCTGCAGCGCAGTCGGCGCTCGATGGGCGAAAGCTGCGAACCGTCACCGCAGGCCTCCTGCAGAGCATTGCGCAGCTCAGCAAAAGAGGCGGAGCGCTCCAAGTCACCGGTAAGGGTCCTCATGTCTTCGCTTTCACCGTCCTCGCCGCTCTCCACGTCCATGTACTCCTCCTCCTCGTCTTCCTCCGCAGCGCTGCCATCGCCGTCTTCCTCGCGCACGCCGCGTCGTCTGGCAGATGCACTGGCATCGCTGCCGGGGCTGCTTCTGCTGCTGCTCTGATCGCGACCGTGCGCAGCTTCCCGAGCAGAAAAAGACAGCGGCAGGAAGGTGAGGAAGTCGTCCTCTGTAAGCTGCGCACCCAGCATTCCAGCGGAGGACGTGGAGGGCTGGGGCGAGAGCCGCTGAAGCAGTTGTTGCTGCTGCTGCTGTATTAAATTAGGATGCTGCGACAGCCACTCTGCATCCGCTTCCTTGCGGACGTGCTTCGCCTTCCGCACCGACACCAAAACTCGGAAAGCGTGCCCACCATGATACTTGGGGCGCCCACCGGGCTGCAGCTCAAAGATCGTCCATCGACCGCTGCTAAAGAGCAAATTGGTAGCTTTCATATAGCATGACATGAGGTATGGAAACTTCTCGATCAGAGAGAGGTGCCGCGCCACGACAATCGTCAGCTCCTGCGCGCGCCGCAGCCGCTGAATGTACGGGATGAGCAGCTGCACATCCTCTGCGTCTCCTCCCGCCGTTGTGCCGTCCGCCGATGACGTACTCGCCCTCGATGCACCGCCAGCCGCACTTTCGACTGCCGCTTCGTTGCCGCGCTGCGCCGCGCACATAAGCTCCAGCACCGCCGGATACTGCCGCAGAACGCTGCGCGCGGTGGTCGTGTCGAGTAAGGAGAGAATTGATGTGTCGTCGAGCGTCGTAATGGAAGCTTCCTCCAAAGCCCGGCTCAGCTGCTGGTAGAACTCATAGCTCTGCGGAGGGTGAGACGATGGTGGGGTGTGCTTCTTGGTCGTCCCCGCGGCCGATTTCGGTCTGTTCTTATTCACTTTGCCATGATAGCCAGTGCTGCTGTCCGTGTCCTCCGTCCACAAGTCCCGATCGGACGGCGGTGAGTAGTCTTCGTAGCCGGCCGGCTTGAAGCGAGTGTTTCCCAGACGAATTTTCACGCTCTGCGGCTCGACAGAGGCGCTCACGTACGGGAAGATCTCCTCGCCGTTCCCCTGGGCCGGCACCGATACCCACCAGGTTTCCTGTCCGTTGATGGTCCAGCACACCATCATCGTCTCGAGGTCCAACATCGACCCAATCACGTCGCCCTGGTTTGGCCGCCGCGGCACCGGCACCGGCTGCTCCGTCATCATCAGCCGCAGGTGCTCTCGGCAGTTGAAGCCCCAGGAGTGCAGATCGGAGCCGACGTGCTGAGCGGAGGCGATGCGCTCGTGCTCGACGGTGCCCCAGCCCATCACAATCGTCTTGGCGCGGTCCGACACGAATTCGCGCGGTACCTCCACCTCGTAGTAGTACTTTCCTTTCTTGGTCGGAGCCACTCCTATGCTGCCACGCACCTGCCCCACCAGCAACTCACCGCCCTCGTTCAGTCGTGTTTCCGTGAGTGCCACCAAGTACGGAAACGGCTTGCCGAGCATCGGCGGAAGCAACCGCTGGTGCTCCATCGCCTCCACCGTCCGCGCCAGACACGCACACGCCTTGGCGATGGTTGGGGTGGAGTTCGTCGAGACGTGGTGCAGCAGCGCCAGCACGGTCGCCCGCTGCTGCCCCTCCACGGGCGGCTCCAGCGAGAGCACAGGGACCAGTGGCTGAACGTTCAGCGCGGCGGCTAGGTCGTCTTCCAGAAGGGCGCTGATGCAGGTATAGCTCGCCTTGCGCTGGGCTGCGTCGCCGTAGCGAACCACGTTGAGGCACAGGGCGTAGAGCAGGGCGTGTTTTTCCGCACCGAGTGCCTCGGGCTGCTGACGAATCAGCGCCAAGGCAACGGTGGCAATGTTGGAGACGAGCTCCGGCTGGCGCACCCCGTCCTGCAGAAGCTTCACGCATTGCTTGAAAATGGGCTTCACAACGGAGAGGGAAAACTGGGCCCAGCTGTCCAGCCACTCCGGCCCGCATACGTGCAGACGACGCAGGAAGTCCGGCTCGGCCAGCTGCGGCGGCGAGAGCAGCCTCGCGTACCGCAGCACCAACGCACTCGCGTAGTAGACGATTCCCCCGACCATGCACGGCTGCCCATCAGGGCTCGCGGCGGAGGGAAAGGACGAGGAGGCCGTAACGGACGCATTTGGTCTTGCGGAGGGCGTGCTGAGGGGACGCTCGGGGACGGGCGGGACGTAGCGGCTCACTTCCTTCAGCGCCGACGATCCTCGCTTCCTCGCCGCCGCGTCAACCAGGCTCCACAGCGCGTCTGCGTTGTACGCGCGGGTGCGCAGGCCGAAGCAAACGGTGTTGTACCCGTCCAACGCCCATTGGAACTCCAGCATCCCGCCGTCGCCCACGAGGCGTGCCTCAATCGTGGTGCTGTACTTGTCCTTCGGCAGCCAACGCGTGACGGTGCCGCAGCTGGAGCAGTAGTGGCGGTACCGCATGGCGTGGAAGTTCCTGAAGTGTTCGCGCTGGTGGCACCTGGTGCAGTGGCAACTCGGCCCAGCAGCGTCATGCTGCCGACGTACGCTGCTGGGCCGCATGCAGCCGCAGGTGACGCAGGTGGCCGAGGTGAGCGTGTTGTAGGCGTAGCTGCACACCGGACACGTCCACGACGCGCCGGGCCGCCCGTTGCCGCAGATGGCGCACCGTACCTCGGCGGGCTCGTTGAGGAAAGTGCAGAGGGGGCAGGCCCACGCCTGGGTGGCCGGCGGCTCGCTCTCCTCGTCGGGGGGGTCGCTGCGGTCAAACATCATCTGCCCGCGCAGCAGCGTGGGGGAGATGAGGCAGCCCGCAAAAGTGAAGGAGGCCTGCGGGGTTTCGCCGCTGCCCTCCACGTGGACAGCCTCGTCGTCATCGTCACTGCCCTCTTTATCAGACGGTTTCTGGACACGCCGGACAACGAGAGTCACCGGCGCTTCGCCCTCCTTCATCACGGCGGTACGCTCCTTCATTTCCTCCGTGCGCGTGGGAGACGCAGGAGCAGCTGTGCCGCCCGGCGACGACACTGCAGGAGTACTATTCCCCGCCGTGTCAGACGCTTCTGTGCTGTCTGCCACCACATCATCGCCGTCGTCGTCACCCGCTGCCTCTTCGTCTTCCGCCGACGAGGTGTCCTCCGTGTCTTCCCAGAGCTGCGCATCAGACGACTGCGCAGAGGAGGGACTGTGATAAGCCCTGTCCTCGTCCGCCGACGGCGTCTGCGGGTCGTGGCTGTCACCGATGTTGCGCTGTGCACTGCCTTCCGGTGGTGCCTCCAACGGTCCATCGGTCCACTCCGCAAACCACCCGCAGTACGGCGATGACGCGTGCCGGTGCGACGCGGACGCATTTTGGCGCTGCAGCAGCCGCAACACGCGGTCGAGCAAATCGCACCAGCTTGATGGCACCTTGTGATGGGCGGCGCAGGCGGACCAGCACTTACCGCACGACGGGCAGAGCCACTTGCCGCCGTCTGCCCGACTCCCCCGAAGGCGGTCGTCGAAGCGCCGCGCACTCGAGCCGTACGTGACGCCGGCGGGCTCAGTGTACGAGTAGTCCAGCTCCGCCAAATTCATCGACAGACCGCCTGCGCTGCTGGTTGAGTTGTCGTTACCCCCACGCTGCTGTAGTTGCTCCTGTTGCCCCGCCCCCGTCTTCTCTGAGCCCCCCTTCGACGCCGCTGGAGAAGTGACAGCCGAAGAGCAGCGCGGCACCGTAATGTCCACCTGCCATCGCAAGTTTGGGTTGCACCACATCTCATTCCACGCCTCGCGCAGCAGAACCGCCGGTGGCAGGTCGAGCTGGGCTGCCGGCAGCAACGCTTCCAACAGTGGTAATAGAGTCAGCATGGCCCGCTCCATCGGTTCGGCGAGAGTCAGCGTCGTTGCAGAAGCTGCATCCAACGAGAGCGTGTTTGACTGTGGCGCGCTGTGGGCGCTGCGAGCCGCTGCTCCTGCCATCGTCGCTGCTGTTGGAGTGCTGACGTTGGCGTTTAAGTTAAAAAAGAGTCGTAAGACGCGCAAGAGGGTCTCCGGGCGATGCAGCACAATCTGGCGCGTTGCCGGCCCGCTCTCCTTCTCCTTCTCCTCCCTTGTGGTGGACGTGGGCGTGCCATGCTGCACATCGCTTAGACTGCCTTCGTCTTCATGGTCGTCCATAATGAGGAGCTCCTGCAGGCACTGCGTAGCTAAGACGGCCAGCTCGGGCACACATGCCTGCAGCACAGAACGCAGCGCCGCCTCCGGAAGGACATCGACCTCCTTCGTCGTGTCCGGCTCCAGTGCCGCGGCGCACACGCGCTGCAGAGAGCCCGCCTCGTCGCTCACCACCGCCATACTGCGCTCAAAGCGCTCCACGCGGACCGACTCCGCGCGACCGCTCGGCTGGTCCAGCTGCGGCGGGGCCACGTACACCATGCGCATCTCCTCTCCGTCTGCCCCCAGCACACCCAGCACCACATCGAGCGTGTCTGCGCCTTCTTTCTCGTTGGCACACACGCTGCCGCTGGTCCGGCTGTTGCCGGCGCTGTCGGTGGTGGACCGGGGCAGCGGCGCGAGGAGGCCCTGCGGGTCTGCGGTCGCACGCGGGGCCCTCGGCACACCAAACTTGGACAAGTACTCCTTAACAAGCGGAAGAACGGCGTTGGGCCACGCCAGCAGCATCGCCCGCATCGTGTAACGCGCACTCATCGACGCCTCATCCGGCGCGTACATCCACTTCGCACGGCTGTCACGGTTGTAAAGCTCCACGAACGGGTAGAGGCAGTGCACGGTGGCGGGGATGTCGCGGTACTGCACGTTCAGCGGGAGCCCGTTGCGCTCGAAGCTGATCCACCGCTCTCGCACGTACACCACGGCCGTCACGACGTCGCCGGAGCCGAAGATGATGTTGGACTCCGAGTTGAGGTAGTTCTTCGCGTGGGCCACGTCCGCCTTCTGCACCGCCGCTTCGGGAACGTCGGAGAGATAATCGGAGATGTAGTAGGTGCGCCGCTGCTTCGCGCGCTCGCCAGGGTGCCTCGTCAGGTCCCTTGCAGCCGTTGTGGTGGCTTTCGGCAAAGACGGCTCCACGTCGCTGATTGACGCAGAAGTGGAGCTCGCATTGCCCTGGGCAACGAGCGCAGAAGCCGGGGCTGCGGCAACGTCGGCCAGGCCAAAGTAGTAGTACCGTCCCAGCGTCTCGCACTGGAAGCCGCGCTGCAGGCGGACCGACACCCGGACCACCTCCGGCGTCTCGCGGTCGTCGAGGTCGATGGGGTTGCACGCGTACGACATACTGCGCACATTGCCTGAGAGCGCGGTGCTCACACTCACGCGGCGGTGCTCGATACGGCGGCCGCCGGCGAAAACGACGACGGAGCCGGCGGGCACCGAGGCGGTGCTGAAGCGGGGTTGGTAGCCCGGCCTCTCGCTTGCCAGGCGGTAGCACGCCGTCCACAGTCGTCGCATGGCCGCGTTGTGCACCGGTGAGACAGCCTCGCTGAACGTGTGTTGCGTGATGGCGTTGTAGAGGGCGCTGAGGGCCACCGTGCGCGCCTTGCGGGTCACCGCCTCGCACTCGACAACGGCGGTGAGGACGTCCACCGTCATGGCCAAGGTGGAGGTGGAGGAGGGCAGCGAGATGGAGAGCGTCACGACGAGGTCCAGCAGCAACGCGTTGGAGATGTGCTGCGCCGTCGTGCGTTTCACCTCGTCCGCCTCCATCTCGCTATCCGCTTCGGCTTTACCAGAAGTGTTGCTGCTGCCGGTGCTGTCGGATTGGGAAAGGTCATGAAGGAGGTGGACCAGCTGCTGGAGGCTGTGATGCAGTGGTGCGGTGCACACCTGCACGAGGTGGACGCCTTCGCCTGCGCCGGCGGCAGCGGCAGCGGTGTTGTGGTCGCCGGGGTGCGTGCCCGCGAGGGTGGTCGAAGAGGCATTACGACGCAGCAGCCCACGGAGGCCCTGTTGTGAGGAGTGTCCAGCGTGGGCGGCCGACACCGTTGTCGCTCCGCTCGCCGTACTCCCCGCCGCCGTCGAGCTCGCCAAGGCAGGGTAATGCTGACGCGAGCTGTGGAGCACGAGGTAGTGCAGAACAAGTTCTAAAAACAGGGAAACGTTGAAGACGGTGAGGCGCGAGAAGGGCGAGAGGCGCACGTCAGCCGGCGCAGCGGCCAACGATGTCGACAGCGCTGCGGTGGCTCGAGTCGCAGCGGCGTATCTTCGGCGCTTGTCCGCAATCGCGTTGCTCTTACTGTAGATGGGGGTCACCGACAGCACGTGGACGTGGTTGCGACCCGGCACATACTCGCCAGAGCGCACATTCACGGCGACCAGGCGGAAGTCGCGACGTGGCAACGTGAGGCGCACCATCGAGACACCGTTCAGCGCCATCACCACATCCCAATTGCCGCTCGCGAAGACGAAACTGAGTTCCACCACGTCGCCGGCGTGCCAGCGGGGCAGTCGCCGCAGCTTTCGCGTGACGTCGCCGTACTGCAGTGTGCCGTCACCCACGAAGTAAATACCATTTGGGTCCCTCTCCGGTCCGCAGACGTCGGCTGGCAGTTCGGATGACGCGAGCCCAACGTAGAAGCCGTTGCAGCTACCGTTCCAGATTTCCACGCGCACGTGTCCAGGGGTCCAGGAGGCAGCCGTAGCGCCTTGCAGAACGTCCCACACACCGACGTCCTCGCCCCCACTGGTGGCGGTCGACGCGTTCCTGGCGGTTTCCTCGACGGTGCGTGTGAACTGCGGCTCACGCGACGCCGGGGCGTCGGCCTCACCCAGCTCCGCACAGCCGCCTTCCCCAATAAACGGCGTCGAAGAAGTGGAGGAGGAAAGGCCTCGCACGTGTTTTGCGACCTCCACTAGAAATTTGTGCTCCTCTGCTTCGCTCGTCAGCAGCAGCGACTCCGTCCGCGACAGCCGCGTGAAGGAAGGCAGAAGACCCGTGACGACGTCCGCGAAGAACGGTGCGCACAGTCGCACATCTGTCGTGTCCATCGGCGTTGCCATCAGCGACACCGTGAACACCGCAAAGGCACCGTACTCCCACGACTCCAACAGGAAGCGATGAGGTGCAGCTTGGGCTGAGTGGAGGCGGTGCAGCAACGCCTTCAAGAGACGGAAGAGCTGGGTGAGGAGGCCGTGAACGCCGCGGCGCAGATTAATCTCCGTCGCACGGCCACAGCTGTTCACAAGAGAGAGGTAGTGGTTTGGCTGTCCCCCTGCTGCAGTTACCGCCGCTACGGTGACACCCGTACTCGCTGTGGTGGGCACGGAAGCGCCTATCGCGGGTGGGCCGGTGGTCGAGGTCGGTGACACATGCTGCTGCTGCTGCGGTGTTGTGCTTAGGGATGGTACCGCTGCCTGCGTGGGGGCACATCCCAAGAGGAGAAGCCGCCGTGTTGCCTGACTGACGAGCGCAACATGCTTTGGTGTACGCGAGACGGCGGAGCACTTGGTTAGCAAGTCCACGACGATCCACATGGTGCTGCTCAGCTGACGGCGATCCTCCAGTGCCGCCTTCACGTCGGACAAGGAGAGACCTGAAATGCTCATCAGACCAATGGCCGCGTCAATGACCTGCGCGCGCGTGGTGGTGGCCGCGTCGCAGCTGCCGGCGACGTGACGCACCAAAAACAAAGCGACCTCCATCGCCGCAGCGCCCGACACGGCAGCGGCGCCCACCACGTTGCTCGCCAACCTCACCCGCCGCACCGCCTCGGACCAGGCAGGCGCGTGCCACGTGAGCGGGTCACCGTTCAAGTAGCCGTGGCGATCTTGCACAAAGGCGTGGGCAATGATGACCAGCGTCGCGCGGACGCCCTCGGCGTGGATGGTGTGGCAGCGCACACGCGCGCGTAAGGCGGCCAGCGGCATCTCCAGAATCGCTACCACGAAGGCGTCCAATGCCACGTTGGCCGCCGACGATGCCACGGTGGCCGAGGCAGCAACGCTTGGCGCGTTCGTCGACGACGTTGCTGCTGCTGTGGTGGATGCAGTTGACGCTGGAGCAGCTGCAGTAGCAGCCGAAGTCGCCGTCGCCTGTGTCTTGATCTCCGATGTCGCCCCACTCACAGAAGCCTTCAGCCCACCGCGGAGGAGAAGGCAGCTCGCGACGTGGCTGCGGCGCTGCTGCTGCGCGTCATCGACGCTGGAGTGCGTGCGCGCCTCCATCCAGCTCAGCAGCCGCTCCGCAACGGTGCGTTGCGCTGTGGATAAAGCAATCGTCCACTCTGTGCTCCAGCGCGTGTCGAGTGTGACTTGCAGGTGGGCGGAGACCTCGCCCGGCACCGTGTAGGCAACATCCTGTGGCAGACTGGGGATTGCCACTCGACAAGGTCCGTTGTGCGTGAGTGCGTCGTTGCGGTCCGTCCTGACGCTCTGCAGCGACAAGGGCAGCGTGTCTTTGCCGGGGTGCTTGATCCTGACAATGTTGCCAGCTGCACCGAGACTGTTGCTGATGATATGAGAGGGCGACTCGTTTGGAGTGGCGGTGGAAGTCGGCACCGGCTGTGGGGACCCCACTGCTGCTGCAGACTTCTGGGCGCTGCCGGACGCGCTCTCCAGCGGCAACAAGAGCACATCGCGCCCACGCGGGTTGTAGTGCTCCCAGTCAACGGACTCGAGCAGACGCACCGACAAACGTGTGGCGGCCGGGAAGCTGAATTCAACCATCCGCGTACGCCGGCGGCGGCACGGCTGCGCGTCGAAGTCACCAAGCGGCGCACCCGGCAAGACACCGAAGGCGGCCTCCTCTTCGTCCTGGCTGTGCACCGACACATTCAGCGCACTCACCCTTTCCGTGTGCGCCGAAGACGAGGTAGAGGACGATGTGTCGCTGCTGGCCGAAGTCGTGGTGTACGCATCAGCAGTCACAGCCTCGTCATCTTCTTCCTCTTCATCCACGACCGACACATCCTCCGTCCGTTCTTCCTCGTCTCGAATGTCGGGAACTTCATGGAAAGCGGAGGACGTGAAAGAAGAGACGTTGTTCATCGTCGCGCTGGTGGCGCTCTCGTTGGCCAGGGGAAGCTGCCGCGGATGCTGCTCTCTATCTCCTGTCTCAGCTGCGCCTGTGCCGTGAAAAAGAACGTCGAAGAGTTCTTCTCGTGTCACCGCACGCTTGGGAAGGCCAATCTTGAAAGGAATGCGGACGTTGAAGCCAACAAGCTGCGCAGCTCCAGCGCCTACCTCACCCCCGCTCGTTGTCGTCAACAAGGATGTAAACGGCGGCTTCTTCGCACGGCACTTTGCCTCCTTCGACGACTCCGCGTGCCGCCCCGTCGCGACAGCGGTGGAGCGCTGCTGCTGCTGCTGATGTTGGGCGATGGCGACCAGCCTCGGTGGCGGCGCCGCGGCAATTGTTTCCAGCACCTGTCCCAGCTCTGTCAGCACGTCGTCTGTCCAACGCACCAGCGGCACGCAGTGCAGCAGCGGCAGCACGACCTCCACCCACAGGCTCGCCTGTAAATACAGCATGCTTTGTTGCACCGCAGCTGTCGCGGCTCCCGAGGAGGCAGGTGCCGGAGAGGTCGACTCGCTAGCCCCATCAGTGCCATGATCCACATAGGAGCTCCTGTCCTCCCCGACGGCCCCTGACGAGACCTTCGTCTCACTGCCATCCTCAACTGCCTCATGGGTGGGAGCAGTGTTCGTGGGAGCAGCGGCACGATCGGCATCGCCAATCCCGCCAGCCGCTGCCGCATCAGGGTACGCACTAACGTTCCCAATACCGCTGGCATTGCTACTGTGAATTCCATCTGTGCAGTAGCGAATTGCATCGGTCGCCGCCACCGCCCGCAGCGCGTACTTCAGCAAACACACAAACGAATGCCCTGCCGCGGCGGAGGTCGGCGCCATGTGGCAAAGGACAAGGGCAGTGCGCACAATTTTGTGTCGCAGCATCGTAGCTTGCAGTGCCGCCACCGCTTCCGTTGACGCCGCCGTTGCCGTGGTGGCCGTGTTGATTGGACCGTCGCAGCGCAGCGCGCTGGCCACGACCGAATCCCACTGTGAGTCGACGAACTCCGAGACAAACGACCGCGTTTTGCGCTCGTAACTCGCACGATCAGCAGCGCTGTGGTGTGAGTTGGCTGTGGCATCTTGATTTTGCTCCGAGGCATCATTTTTCTGCGTTGGGCGTTGTTCCGCCGTGTGGAATGCGCCCGTCGCTTTGTGTAACTCAAAGCTGACAAGATCCGGTGGAGGGTTATGGCTATTCAAGTGGATCGCCGTGGTGGGCAGCGCACCGGCCTCCTGAGCGCTCGACGCCTTAGCCGCGGTCCCCCTCCTCTCCTCCGCGGTCTCCGCTGACGTGAACGATGGGAGGGCAAAATCGAAAAGAGCGTCCGTCGCCTCTACCGGCTGTGCGGGTGGCGGCGCGGCGGCGGAGCTGCCACCTTGCACCTGTGAGGACGAAGTCGTGTTTGCCGATTTGGACCACGCTGCATCTTTCGTAGACCACTTTGAGGCGGCGTTGATATGGTAAGCCAGCGCCGCAGCACGCAGTCGCGCCAACGAAAGCGGGCTCTCTCCGCACCTTACACGCTCAAGGCTCTCGGTGAGTTCTGTGAGACAGGACTGAATGCCTGCCGCAAAGGCGGCCTCCGTGGCGCGTGGAGACGCACTCACGCGCATCGGCGGGGTGAAGAGGATGTCGCGCGTGGATAAAGTGCGCTCCGCATCGGAAAGCAGCGGCCAGGCAACCTGCGCAACGTGATCCACTGACATGGTCATGATATCCTCTGCCTTGCACGTAGCGATAGCCGCGGCAGGCTCGAAAAACGCATGCATCTCCGCTAACGAAGGCTGCTGCATTTCAACTGCTGTGTGTGTGTGTGTATGAGGCGTTGACGATGATGTGCGTGAAGACGTCACCACCGCAATAAGAAGGAAAAAAAAAACAAAGAGAATGAAGAAGGAAAAGAAGACGCAACGGAGCGTCTGCAGCAGTGCGTCAGCTTCACAGCAAAGGCCAGGATTCACAGAAGCAGCAGGAAGAGAAAAAGAAATTCTGAGATGGTAAAGCGACGGTGTACGGCTTCTTTAGTCCTCTCTTCCTCTCTTCCTTTCGGCGCGCACCCAAAGAAGATCACTAAATACAAAGCGGAAGCAGAACGAACCAAAAAAAAAAAGAAAGGAAGAAAAAGAGGGTGTCGAGGGACACTACAAGTAACTGGCAAAGAAGGAGAAAAGGGATCCCTTTCTCCAGTGATCACAGAAAAGGAAAAGAACAGATAAAGTGTGGAAGCAACAAATGGTGGTGAGTGATCAATGGAGAGAGCGGAGCCTACAAAAGGAAAGTATGTACGTTTTTATAGCAATAGAAACGCCTCTCTCCCTTACCGACACATATCATAACTTAAAGTCAAGTTCGCCTACGCTCCTCCCCTCTGCACGACGATGACACAGCCAAAATCAGAAACCGGAAGGGGGAGAAAGAGGGTGCAGCAACAAGTCTTCCAGCCAAAAAAAAAAGACAAAGAAGTAGAATGCGAAAAGAAGGCGGTGAACGACGAATAGCCAGAAGTAACTCTATCTGGGTGTCTGCGCACGTCTTCTTGCCTTTTTACTTTGTGTGTGTGTGTGTGTGTAAGAGAAGTAAGTGACGTTGATAGAATAAAGCAAATAGTTGCCTTGCGTGAACAGAAGGGACCAAAAATAGAAACGATGTGTTCTCGGATGTTCCGTGCTCCACGCGAATTGGGAGGTGCGTCGTTTGCAGCAAAACCAGGCGAGATGCTCCTAAAGATGAGGACAAGCTAAAAAAATATATAGAGAAGACAGCGAGGGTAATGGAGATGGAGGCATGAAAGGGAAGTGTCTGATACGTCAAAGTGAAACAGTAATGAAGAGGGGCAACAGAAAAGAAAACATACATGGAAGCGAGCACATATCCTACCAATGGACACAAGGACTCTCCTCGTGCTTCCGCTCTTTTTTCTTTTCTGAAAAACGTTAGAGTGCTACCCCAGCTATTCTCAATTGCTTGTGAGAGGCGAAAAGCCAGCAAAGGTGGCAAAGCACCCTTTGACTTCTTTTTCGGCGTGTTACGAAGAAAGAGAAAAAAAAGGCGCCTACAGAGGCCGCACCGCCCTTCACGGCAAACACTTCCTTAACTCCCTTTTTTCCATAACTTTAGAATCCCAGCGCGAGGAGTGCAGCGCATTCAGTTGGTGGTGTTTTCAAGTGAACTCCTCTTAAGAGAACCAAGAGGCAGCTGCAACGCATGTGCAGTGGCGGGCGGATCGCAACGAAGAAACCCACGAGAATTACGACCTCAAGGCAGCCGCAAAATGTTATCCGTTGCTTTGCTGGGCTACGCAAAAGAAAAACCTACGATGTGAAAGCGGCGGACACAAAGGCCCTTCGAGCGACGCCCCATACACAGCCTACGACTTTTGCGTTGCGCCGAGCACCGCCAACTGACGAAGCATGTCCTCGCCGGAGACCACCGATGTACAGCCATACATCACGGACTTGCGCTGCTTTCTCGCCTCCCAGGCTTTCAAGTTGTCGTACTCCGCTACGCTGCCACCGCCAAGGGCAAAGACGATGGCTTGTGAAAAGACGGCCTCGCGCAGATCCACCGGCTTCTTAGTGCGGGGGTCGTACGCCTCCACCGTCTCCAGCAGCTTCGCACGCAACACGGAGGAGGAGCCCCCACCGCTGCTGCCAGCAGGTAGAGCACCGACGCCGCCACCGCCAACGGGGCTGCCGTACGGCACCGGGCTCCCGCTACCGCCCGCCCCGCCGGGGCCATCCTGCATGAGCGCATCAACCAGCTTTGTCAAGGGCAGCATCGTCTCCGACTTGGTGCCCAGCGAACTGGCGATGTTCTTCGCGAGCTGCTGCGCAAAGCCCCATCCAAAGCCTTGACTGGCATTTGGCTGGGAGGCGCTCGGACTCTGCGTGGTCAACGACCAGTTACGCAGGTGCTTCAAATAGGCGAGGGCGGGAAAGGCAGCGGCGTCGCCAAAGGCACTCTCGTGCTCCTGCACCACCTGCGCATCGTCCCCCTCGGTGCACATCAAATACGCAATCAGGAAAAGCCGCTGAAGATCTTCCGGCGTCCCCATGCCGTTGGATAGCAGGCTGTGGAACTCCTCCGCGTCGAAGCCTTCCTGCTGCAGCACCGCCAACTCCACGCCGTGGTAGTGGTCGAGGTGGCGAGCGCGGATTTTGTTGAGGATGTTGAAGGCGAGCTTCGTGTGGGCGTCGAGGCAGCGCTTCCGCTCCGCCAGCCCCGGTGCGTTGGCGAGCAACTTTGACATGTCGTTGCCGTCGCCGCCGTCGTCGCCGATGCCGCCGGGCGTCTCCTGCGCCAGCGCCGCGTACTCCTCCTTGTAGCGACGCAGGGCCGCCTCGATGTTGCCGCCCACCGCACCGAAGTCGAGGCCGGCATTCTCCACGTAGACCTCGTCCTTGTCGGGGTCCACCTCGAGCACCTCATCCTTGCCATCGGAAGTGGTAATAGCGCACTTGTTCAGCCGCATGCCGCCCAGTTCGACCAGCAGCCCGCGATAGGTGAAAGGGTGGTGCAGAGCCGTCGCGATGTCGCTTGAGCGGTCCACCAACAGCAGCAGCGGCCGGCCCAGCACGGACGACGGAGCAGGTGTCAGCTGCTTGTCGTTCAGTGCGTCGTTGAGGCGGAGTGACAGCCGTCGCGCGACTTCCGTGGCTGCACCGGAGCGGGAGTGCACGAGGATCGGCAGCACCTGCATCGAGAGGCACACATGCGAGATGCCCAGCACCACCTGGTTCAGGTGCTCCTCAATTTCCTCGTCCTTCGCGTTGGTTTTGTTCAGCACCACAAAGGAGTTGTTGAGCATCAAGGAGAAGAGGTCGTTTTCGAGTGCTACGTAGCTCAGCGTCCGGTCAAAGACGCGGATATGGCGGATCGACTGTAGCGGCGAGCTGCACAGCTTCTGCGACAGCGACTCTAGCTGCGGACGTGGAATCTGCGTCGTAAAGTTCAAATACACCCACTCATACAGACTGTGCGCACAGTCGTCGGCGATGCGGGCGATGTTCTCTTCGGTGGGGGCACAGAAGTAAATGGCAGGTGCACCCGGGACCGGGTCCCGCTCTGTTGCAATGTGCAAGTATAAGGTGACACCGAGCTCGCGCAGCTGGCCAACCTTCAAGAGGGGGGCGATGATGTCGCGGCCCCAGTCGTCGAAGATGAGCAACCGCCACGTCGTCACGACCGGCTCTGCTGCGTTCGCCGCCGCGGTGGAGTACGGCTCCGACACCGGATTTCCCCGCGCGTCCAGTGGAACCGCCATGTTGATCATCTCGGCCAGCACCGCCTCCTCACGCTGACGCAGCCAGTGCTGGGACTGCGGTGCCCCAGGGGGGCCGAGGAGGGCGCCGGCGCCGCCTGGCGAACGCGAAGGCCCTCCCACAGCAGACAGGGGCCCATCGAACATGACGAAGAGAGAAGAAAAAAATACGAGGAAGAACAAATAACCAATCAAAACAGCTGCACAGCTGAAAGGGCAACTACACTGCAGCAGCCACCGAAGAAACACGAATAAAACGCTTGCCTGAGAATCAGAGATGCCACCTGGACGTCCTTTGACGATATAACTCTCAATGAATTGAAGAAGAAAAATATATATAAGGAGCACCAACTGCCCTTCAACTGCAACTTTGGTTGAGAACACGGGGAGGATGGGAAGGCGATAAAGAAAACAGGGGGAGAAGAGGAGAAAAGGCTCAAAAAGAAACAGAAACGGTTTTCCTTCTGTCGTTGCCGTTTTCCATCGCGAAGGCGCACGAGTGGCCATTGCTTTTATTATTATCACGTTAGGCACGTTCTAGGCGTTCCTTTTATCTCTTTCTTGCTTTCTGGCAGAGTTCCTCACAAATAGAGTTGGCAAGGGCGACAACAGCGGCCTCAACGCGCAGCTGCCGTGGTGCGCGTCGGTGTAGCATCAGCAATCAGCTCCTAGCTCACACACGGGAAAAAAAAACGCCTAACCTTTTCCTTTTTGTTAGGTGTGCGTGCTATGCTCCGTTCTTCACGGGAAATCAATCTCCCAGTATTGCGATGGTGTGTTTGGAAGAGAGTCGTCATACGACGCCTGAGATGCAGAAGGCGCTGCTGAGGTGTCCTCCCCTGTCAAGTTGAGCGGCTGCTGTGGTAGGTTTGAAGAAAGGGTACATTGCGGCGTGTCCTCGGCACCACCGCCTCCACCACCGCCAGCGGCAGCGCGACGCACAGCCCGAAAGATGGCCTCTGTTTGGCGCACGTCTTCTGCGCGTTGCTGTCGCGTGCGCACGTACCCGTGAAGTGGTGGTGCAGACACGACGTCCCTGTTTGTGTTTCTTCGCTGCTGAAACATGAAGTGATCAGCGTCGAGGCTCGCACTAACGCCAAGGCTGGCTGTAGGAGGCGGAGGCTGTTGAGAGCAGTACACCTGTGCAGCAGCTGCCGCAGCAGCGTCCACGTCGACACCAAGGCACGGTAGTCCTTCAAACGGTGCAGTGCGAGAGTGAGCATCAACGCCTCTTCTGATATCGCCTTCGTCGAAGCAGTTCTCTCGATCGCGCTTACTAGGGCCTCTCCGCGCGTTGTTCGTGCTCTGCAAAGCATCATCACGATTTTTGCCGGTGGTCGCGCTGCGCTTCATGGCGCTCTTTGTTCGACGAGAACCAAAAGAGCGTAGAGGTGGTGGCGGCAGAGCGGTGATTGTAGCCAAAATATCGGTCGCTGTCAGCTCAACGCGTGGCGCAAGCGGATGAGGCGACCTACCGACCTCCGTCTGGTTCAAGGAGCATCCATTGGGAAACGTCCTACGCGAAGACAGCGAGTCGAACGCTGACGTCTTCCGTAACAATTTCGCAGTTGACGCGTTAATGTTCCTTAGGGGTTCAGAAGCGCTTGGCTGTTCCACCAGCACACGCGAGGGAGTGACAGCCTCTGCGGAAAGCGCAGTTGCCCCACCACCGGTACCTACTGGAGATTCGCCGCAATTTGGGTCAGCCGCCTTCGCTACTGGGGACGCAACGGCGAGAGGCGCACAATGCGCTGCCATATCGTGCCACTTGCCGGCCGCCTCGCCCTTCTGAGCCGTCCTCCGCGGTGGAGTAGGAAAGAACACACCCTCATCCTCTGTGTCACCCAGCGTGGACGTCGGTGTCGCGCTCCGGAGGGGTGAAGGCACACTCCGATTCGAACCCTCTGCGAGCGAGTTCCTCTGCGGCAGCTGCGGAGGAAAAGTGCAGTGTTCACAACCCCCTAAGAACGCTACCGAGTTTTGCAAAGCCTCACTCTTCGTAGGTGGCGAAGTCGGTTGAAAAGTACGACTGAGCATACCAGTAGCATACTTGTCGGCTTCATGAAAGGTCGTGTTGAGTGCGTTTGCACTAGCCCCAACGTCCTTCGTTGATGTGTGTGCCACTCGCAACGCTAGCTCCGCCAACGGCTGTGATGAAGTAAACGCCGCAACGTTGGAGCTCTTCGGAGCCAAATCACTCTTTCCTTCTCGAGAACCTCGTCGTAATGGCGGTGCGTTGTGCGGCGCGATAAGGTTGTGCAATGCGCCGTACAGCAGGTCCGCGTCATCCGTAAGGCCAGCTGAAGGCACGCGGAATTGCCGCCCTCGCACAGGCGGAGAAGCATCCGTTGTGTCTCGGTTGAACGGCGCTGATAGTATCGGAAGCCACACATTCAATGTCCTTTCGTGGGGAATAGCAGGGTGTGTGCCGAGCCCAGCATCACTCTGCGTCGATGCAGCGCTGCTCTTGTGTGCGCTTTCACGCATTTCCTCCTTTACCTCAAGCCCGCTGCTTTCTTGCAGGCATTGTGACTCTATTCTGCTGTCAGCACCTGCAGGCGGTAGGGAGCAAGAGTGGCGGACGGTAGATGGGTCGAGAAGTGACGCAGTGCACGTGTACAGGCGCGTAAGAACCGCTACCTCCGCCGTTTGAGCGCGTCGCAGGCGTTCTTCGCACGCTTGTGCAGCGCGCAACGTTGCCTCCATGCTCGGCGATGAGATTTCCTCGTTGCGGGAGGAAGTGCCAGCTTCTGGTACAGACAAGGTCTCGTGTCTCGCCCCTGCGGAATTTCGCACGGCCTCTTGGGAGGATTCCACGTGTGTGCGGTGCAGCACGCCAACATGGCTTGTTGGAAATGACTCTAACGCAGTCGGAAGTGGTGGGGACTCGTCACGGCTGCCGCTGCAGAGAAGAGTTTTATTCTTCGGTGATGCCACATTACTGTCCTCCGTGTCCGCTGGGCACCCTTCATTGGAGATAGATCCAGCGAGAACGGAAGAATCGTAAAGCGACGTCATCGCCCATCGCGGAGGTGCATCGCAGTGCCTCGCCTTCATACCGTGCAAGAGGACATGTCCCGTCTGCGTAACTTCAAAGATGAAAACTGAAGCGGAAACAAGTAAGAAAAGAATGCGACACAAGCGAACCACCGTAATGTAATTAGAATAGCTGCTTGGTCATTAATCCGCTGTTGAGTTTTCCGGCGCAAGCTGTGCGCGTTCGTGTGGCAAATAATAGTATCTTTATTGTCTCATCTTCAAGACCATCAGCAGCGAAAGTCAAGAAGAAGAGAAATACAAGAAGAAAATAAATGAAAGCACGAATACGAGACATGTTAGGGGGGCACTCGAAAGCGCGTTGCAACAGCGTTCAACGAGCGAGTTTGAAACGCGCGTATTCGAGTACTTCACTCACGGGAAAACAAGACAAGCGCAGTGACGTGTAAAACAGTAAGAACTGCGCGACTGCAGTGCGTCTCTGCGTCGCCGAAAACAGCAACGTGCGACACAGCTGCCATTCAGTCAGCCAGGCAGGCAATTTTTGCCATACGACACCATTCCTTGTTGTCGATGACGTCTTTCGTGTTTCTCTTTTTTTCTTTTGCGTGTTAAAATGAAGTAAAAGTAAGAAAACAAATCTGAGCGTGACGATGAGCTGTGCGTTTTCTTCAAGAAGAAAATCCACGTGAGGCGACTGGCAACAGGCCGAGAGAACAGGGACTGACGTAACGTCGTTGTCGGCCACACTGCTGCATCAGGCAATAAATACTGAAGTAGAACAACGCGGCACCAACAACAAAACTCACACGTAGCACCTTCTTCCTTCTAACTTGCACAGACAGGGGTTGTGAAGAGACGTCGCTCATCAGTCTTTCGCAGTCTCAGCTGTCCGTGTCGCCAATCACGCTCGCCACATCGCTCCTCGCTCTTCATATCTCCTTAGATCTTGACGGCGTACACGCGCTTGGGGAACTTGTGGGCCTGGCGCAGCTGGTGACGAGTCTTGCGATTCTTCTCGTTGTCCTTCAGCGCGAGGCGGCGGCGGTGGGTCAACTTGGTGCGGAGCACCTTCGGCGTCTTGCCGCGCATCTTGCTGTCGGCGTAGAACTTCTTCAGGTTGCTGCGCTCGTTCTGGTTCAGCACCGTCAGGATGCGCGCAATGCTCTTGCGGATCGGGCGGATGCGGCCCAGGCGAGTCTCGGCACCGCCCGTCTGCTGCACAACGCGCAGCTGCGACAGCTCCTTCTTGTACTCCGTCAGCGTCTTGAGCAGGTCATCCTTGCTCTTTTCGCGGAGGTCCTTGATCTTGATGTGGTGCGACATTATCGACCAGAAGAGATACTTCTAAAGATACAGAAGAAGAAAAATCCCAGTGTGTTGTAGCACAAAAGAGTGGCCAGGTGATCGTAATACGAATAAGGGAGTCGACGAACGCGTTTCGGGGAGGTGAGCACCCAATGCGTGTACACGCGTCACAGAGAAAATAACATGGACGCATGTAATCGTTTTGACGTGCGTTGAGTAAAGAAGATGAGGAAAAAGACAGTTCATTAAGACAGGGAAGAGAAGAGTAGCAGAGGAGGGAAAGTGTCGTAGAAGAAGCGCAGAAACGAAAAGAAAAAAAAGGAACATGTGGTGGCAGCAATGGAAAGGCAAACGCAGAACTTCAACGCGGTGGTATTTGAGATGAGACGAAAACTGCACTTCACCACCTCGTATTGTCAATCTTTGCCGTACGCCGCGAGGATGCTTCGCAGCATAGCGGTGATAAAGATACGGAAAGCACAAAATCAAAAGGTAGGACAGAGCCGAGAGGAAGGAGATGCGAGCGACTGCGCAGGAGCAAATACCACTCCCACACGCCAGCACACACCCCTCACCGCCACACCTCTTCGGTCTTTCCGTTTCCCTGCCGTTTGCACGCCTTTCAAATGAAACGAGAATACGTAGCCCCTCGGCTGGGTCGGCCGAGTTGTTCTCGGCATTCTCTAATAGGAATACTCTTCTGTTGTGTGCTCTCATTTTTGTTTTTGAACAAAGGAAAAAAAAAGAATGACTAAAAATACAAACGACACGCAAATCGTGCAGCGGCGTACGCAGCTGTGTTGTCTACAAAACCCGGCAGAAGCAGAGAGAAGGCGAGGAGGAAAAGAGCAGGTCGACAGAGAAAGACGAGTAGCACGCAGGTGACATTGTTGTGTCCACGTCGTCCATCCTCCCACCGTACTCTCCATATCTCCTTAGATCTTGACGGCGTACACGCGCTTGGGGAACTTGTGGGCCTGGCGCAGCTGGTGACGAGTCTTGCGATTCTTCTCGTTGTCCTTCAGCGCGAGGCGGCGGCGGTGGGTCAACTTGGTGCGGAGCACCTTCGGCGTCTTGCCGCGCATCTTGCTGTCGGCGTAGAACTTCTTCAGGTTGCTGCGCTCGTTCTGGTTCAGCACCGTCAGGATGCGCGCAATGCTCTTGCGGATCGGGCGGATGCGGCCCAGGCGAGTCTCGGCACCGCCCGTCTGCTGCACAACGCGCAGCTGCGACAGCTCCTTCTTGTACTCCGTCAGCGTCTTGAGCAGGTCATCCTTGCTCTTTTCGCGGAGGTCCTTGATCTTGATGTGGTGCGACATTATCGAGCGGAAGAAAACACTTGCACGAAGTGGTATGCCTACGCGAATGGGAATTGTAAAAAAAAAAAAAAATAGCAGCGGTTTGGGAATATTGAATGAACAGGGATAAAAAGCAAAAGAAATATTGAAGTGAAGGTAGCAGTAAAGAACAGAAAGGAGTGGAATGTTGGGAGTTGAGAAACAACCATAACTGTTTCCTTAGGGGAGAGAAGAAACGTCATGTTTTGAGGCGCAATTGCCACTGCTTGGGGCGAGACCGTAAGGTGGGGAGCTTAGTGAAATGCCATCTGTGAGTGTGCAGAGTGAAAAAAAAGGCCTCTGATACTTGAGACTATTTAATACGTTACTTTCGACATGGCGAAGCAAGTCAGTTGCTGCCCGATTTTTTTTGTTGTGTGTGTATGAAAACTTTTCCTGTTCCCTCATTGAGAGTCTGTAATAAACATCGTAAACGAACATACTCGAATCGCTTCCACCGATTCAGTGAAACAATGCCGTTGCATTGATTTTATTGTTTCTTCATTTTCCCTCCTTCGTCGTTACCTTCAACATGGTTAGGAAGGTTCTGCAACGGTATGCGAAAGAGAGAGAGAGAGGAGGGGGGGACGATAACATCGTCCAACTCAATTGTTCCTCGCACTATATGTACATCGTACGTCATCGAGCACAACTTGACGCAGCCATTGTCCTTGGCAAAGCGCCGATCGGTCATCAACACCGAGGAAACATCGGCCAGAAAACCAAGCAGGAAAGGAAAAGGAAAGGGCGAGCATCTCGAATCAGTAAATTACAAGAAAAAAAAGATCTGCAGGTGCGCACGCGCAGAACGCACTGGCTCCACCACCCCATGGAGGCATCGATATGCACACGTTTACAGCTTTGTAAGGCCGATCGCCACCGTGACGGGTACAACAACATTCACCTGAGCCGCATACACCTTATCCGCGTTCGCAGGCACCAGCGACGCTGCGGCCATCGCCGTGACCGCAGTCCCGCCATGGATGTGACCGGCGGTGGTGTAGGAGAGGTTGGCGAACTGCGCGCGCGAGCGGTGGTACACGGTCTTGGCGAGCGGCTGTACCTGAGCGATGTGTGCCTCAGTCGCCGCACGCAGCGCCGCCACCCGGCGATCACGCTCAGCCTCCTGCGCGGTGCAGAACTCCTCCAGCGCGGCGCGCTGCTCCTCCGACAGCTTCTTCCACGAAGCAGGTCGGCGCGGCTTTTGTGGAGTCGCACCGTCCGCCGCACCCGCAGCGTCTCTCTCCTCCTCTTCCTCTTCTTCCTCATCCAGTGTATTTTCCTCGTCTTCGTTGAAGTCGTCCTCGTCGTCTTCGCCGTTGTCAAACGGGTCCTCGGCCTCCTCCTCCTCTTCTCCCTCGCCCTCCTCATCCTCCTCGTCCTCCTCTGCCGCTGCTTTACGTCGCGCGGCGCGGCGCTCCTCGGCTGCTCGCTGGCGCGCCGCCCGCTCCTCGGCCAGTTTAGCGCGCCGCGCCTTCGCCGCCGCGGCGAGCTGGGCTGACTCCTCCGCCTTCATCTTGGCGGCGGCGGCCTTCGTGTAGACTCGCGTGCCTTCCCGCAGCGTCCGCTGCACCTGCGTCACTTCCTGTTGCACCTTCTGGAAGTTGTACGCCGTGTGCAGGCACACCTCCTTCACAAGGCGACGGGTGCGGAGGCCGTACACCTCGCCCTGCGCTGCGCCGATGAACAGCAGCGACGGTCCAGCCGGGCCGTCACCGTCGCCGCCAGCGGAGGGCGAGGAGGACGGCGTGGCGTGGGAGAAGGGAGTCTGCGGCAGCTCGACGGTCCCTAAGGCGGCGTGAAACGGTACCACACGCCGCTCCGGGGCCTTGATGGCTGACTTGAACGCGGTGGCGCTGGCTTGCTGACGCAGGAACTGCTCCTTCGCATCCAGCTTGTTCATCGAACCCTTTTCGATGTCCCCCACGCGCTCCTCGGCCTCGGTGACTGCGTCAGTGGCGTCCTTCGTGACCGACTCAACGTGCTGCCCGTTGCGGTGGCTTTCGTCTTCGTCTTCTGCGCCCCTCGCTGGAGGCGACGACGGCTTGTGGCGCTCATGGTGCCCTTCGCCGTCTATCGTACTGCTGACTTCCTGCTTCGGCGCCGGCTCTTCAAACGAAATGCCTAAGCTGCGTCGTTGGGTGCCAATAACATTCTCCAGCTCTTGCAGCTGCTGCTGGTGACGCTCGAGCAGCTCTGCCGCAGCGTTCGCCTCCTGTAGGTCCGGCAGCAGCCACACCTTCACCGTGCCGTCCGCCGCGCTGGAGACGACGCAGGTGGCCGCGCCGCCGTCGTCGCCGTTGTCGTGCACGAGCACGTCCTTCACGCCGGCCCCGTCAGCGGAGCGCTTCGGGCGCACAACGGGGACGGAGGCTGGCACAGGCACAAAGGACAGCGCACGGATGGGGCCGGTGTGCCCCCGCATCTCACAGACCGACCGGCCAAACTCCATATCCCAGACGTAGATGGTGCCGTCGGTGCCACCTGTTAAGACCGCGTTGCTGCCCTCGGTGTCTACGGCGATTGCGGTCACCGGCCCAACGTCGTGCGCGCGCCAGGTGGAGCGCCGCTCGCTCTCCATCAGCGTCAGCGACCCGTCGTCGCCGCCCAGCAAGAGACGATTGCCTTCTTCCGGCACCATCACAGAGACGCCGAAAGGAAAGGTGGTGGTCTTGACCAGGCTGGCCCGCACACGCGCCCCACCAGCATGCACACTCTCTGGGGGAGCGTCGCCCAGCGTCCACTGCTTCATGGTGCCGTCGAGAGAGCAGGTATGCAACTCCGTTGCGGAAGTGGCGACGATCCCTGTGACCGGCCGGCGGTGCGCGTAGAAGACGACGTTGGGAATGCCCAGCTCGGCATCCTGCATCGCGTCGTAGCGCTCCACGGTGCCGTCGTCACGGCCAACAAAGAGGGGGACGAAACCGCCGTCCTGCTCCGCCTCCTCGGTGTAGGCTGCCATGCAGCTGATGGGCACCTCCGAGGGCATTCTTGCTTTTCTCCGGCGAGGAAAGAGTACGAAGCGCTCTTCAGCTGTGAGATTGACTATTACTGTGCTTTCTCTTTATCGCCAAGCGTGTTACTGAGCCTTCAATGGGTGAAGAAAGTGGTAGATGATGTGATGTGTCCTGCGTGCCGATGATGTGCCTAGCGCTTCACATCTGTCGAGATGTAGAAAAAAGGAAAAAAAAGAACGTAGAGGAGAGTGCGTTGTGGAATCAACGTACCCTTTCGCTGTTTGATGATGTGTTGCCCTCTAAGATGGTGGACTGAAAAGAGCACATCAGCGGTGAAAGGAAAAGAAGAAAAACAAGAGTTGGAAGGAGACGGAAGAGATTTTATTTGGCAATGACAAAGACACAACACCTTCTGGGCCATTACCATTACTATTATTGGCCGTTACACAACAAAAAGAATCGCCGCCGTTTCGTGAGGCGGAAAGCAGCCTTGGTCACGCGCAGTACAGCCAGTGGTGGTTGGAGACAGCATTTGTAGTCGCACAATGCACCCACAGCAAGGAAAACAAAAACCTTTTAAGTGCATTTACACCCTCGCTGGTGCACAGTAAACTATCAAATACGGTAAACGGAGGTACGTTTCACAACCCAAAGCTTTTTCTCTTGTCTTCCTTTGTGGCAGCCAAGCGGAGCTGCGTCAGAGTGCATCTGGAGAGCACATCGAAAGAGAGGGCACAAGGGCGCCATTTGTGAACGTAGACGGAGGAGCGGGTCACGGAGGTAAGGAAACAGAAACAGAAAAAAATGAAGGGCCTCTTTTGCTCTTCCTCTCGCACAACCAGAAAAAAAAACGCGAAGGAGGAAGAAGAAGGCACCGATAAAGGCACGCTATCACCTAAAGCCAGCATTGCATGCTGTTGCTGCTTTTATGGGCTTGCCTGCACTCCACTGCGTATGTGTCTAATCTAAAGGGGGGGGAAGCAAATTCACCAACTGCGGAGCTGCCTCAACGCAGGGCATGCACGTAGGCGATCACCCACGCCTCCGCTCAACAAAACTTGCACGCCAAAACATCAGGAGAAAGCAGAACGGCTTCCTGTCTTCCTTCACTGAATGCCGAGCGGTTCAATCCTTGTGCTCGACCTTACGGCTAACGCGGAACGCTGGAGAGCCGCCCTCCTCCGCCTTCACCTGCGGGTTCACGCGCAGTGGGCGAGACAGCAACTCTAAGCGATTCATGTGCCGCTCCCACTCCTCCCTGGACAGCCGGTGCGGCTTCAGCGTCATCTCCGTAAACTTGCGCGGGTCGGCGTAGTAGTCGTACTGTGACACGAGCAGTCGACGGTTGTCGTCGTGCGGCACGGACGCGGAAGGCTGGCGCCAGTTCTTCTCCAGCCGGGAGAGGTAGTCCACCACGGGGTCGAGGTGGGCGGACTCGCTGCGGCCGCGCGACGACGGCGACGATCCCCGCGCAGAGGGCGAGGCGGATGCACCCACCTGCCCCGCCAAATCCGGCGGCAGGCGGTGATACTGATACACCGTCTCCCTCTTCACCTCCTTCGCGTCCTTATCAGTGCCAAAGATGCGGCGCATCTCCGCCTCTCGCGCGCGGCGCACGATGAGAGGGACGTTGTAGACGTGCTCGACGTGTCGCTCCATCTCTTTTGGTGTCATCGTGCGCGGTGGTAGCTCGAGGTCGGGGTGGAGCGCCTGCTGCAGCGCCGCGCGGTGTTGCTGCCGGCGGAGAAGTTCCCCTTGTACGCTGTTGCGCAGGTAGTTTTCTAGCTGTGCCTTGGAGCGACGGGTGGACGGCGTTTTCGGGTACACCTTCTCCGTTGCGACCGCCTCCGCTCGTTTCTTACGCTCCACGCCGCCGTAGTAGAGACGGTTGACGGAGTTGTTGACCATCTGCGGGGAGGCGTAGTAGTCCACGTAGGCGGCCGCCCTCTCATTCCCTGGATCGGGGTTCGGCATATTTTCTCTTTTGTGTATGTCAACTCTATCGTGAACGAATTAAGATGTGTGCAGACGAGGTATGGTAGGTCTACAGGGTGTGTCTAAATCGCCGATTGCAGCTGGAAAGGCGGAAGAAGGTATAAAGTTATGTTTTGAGTAAATGTGCAGCGTTGACGACGCGACGGAGTAAACAATAATACTAGTAATAACAGTTACTCTGCTTTCTCTGGATCCTATACGAATAGAACAAAAACGAAGTGTTGGAAGGTGTAGCAGCTGGCTGTTGAGACGGGAAGCGCATAGATGGCGGCAACGATAGTCGTACTCGCACGCCTCCAGTATGTGGACGCACCGCAACTGCAGTGCATCATCATTAGTGCACGGTGCGGCAAAGCGAAGGTTGAAGACACGAGGAAGGTAGAGGAGCATGCGAGAACACGGCCGCAACTGTATTGCATAGTATTCGGAAAAAAACTGCTCAGTACAGAACAGCACGAGAGACGAAGAAGACTGCCATTTAAACCTCGAATATACAGAACCGTAACTCCAAGTAGGGTCTACATGAAAAGAAGCAGATAACGCCCACTGAACAGACCAGCAACTCTCCACAGAATCCAAGAGCTCAGCCGTCCGCACTGGAGCTCTCGACTCCTCAAAGGATGTGGATGCGAATAAAGACTCACACCACTTCTCGTCCCTTGTGCTCTTCCTTGAAATACCGACGCACCAGTGCTAGTCTGCCCAGATATACCCGCAGCTGTTTTTTCCCCATTTTTGTGCACTTCATAGTTAGGTGAACGACAAACTGAAAGGAAAGAAAAAGAAACCAAATAAACACAAAAGCACACCTTGCGCACACGTACGCCTCGTGTGACCCTCGACTCCACAACGCCCTTGTGAATGTGAAAACAGAGAAAAAAAACAAAATATGTCGCACTCGTGCAAAGCGAAGGAAGCGTCAAGCACGTTAGCGGCGTGCACACACCAGCACCGAAAAATCAAAGTGGGAGAGAAATACCAAAGTACAACTCTTCATGCGCCCCACGACAAGACATGTTGCACTTCACCGACTTAAGAAAAAAAAAATTGCATCTTAATGCTTCAAAAGGCGTCCTCAAACAAAGCGATAACAGAGAGGGACACTTGTAAGATTCCAGATCTTTGGAGCTCCGTCCCTTTTCCCTTCGCTTCCAGCAGCCTGGAGAAGGAAGGATTAACTGTCCATCTGCACAGTTAGCGACCGCAGAAAATTCACCATTACCGTTGCTCGAGCAATACCCCATAATTCAAACAAGCGTGAAAAGCCCAGCTGTAGAGGAGAAATGCTCTCCAAGAGCGCCTTTAGCGAGACAGGATCTTGTTCGCCGATTTCGAACTTCGGCGGCGCCTCCAGCGACCCAAGCGTCACGGCGTTCAGCATCCCGCCAGCAGACAGTGAAAGAGACGGCGTCAGAGGGACGAGCATCGGCAGCATGCGGGTGGCCTGCGCTGGGGAGCTGATGTGCAGACGTGTGTACATGGCACGGGGGATGGCCGTGCTGCCAAAGACCCGACGTCCAAACATGTTGTTGTTGTTTTTGGAGAGGAGAAGATGGCAGTTACTTAGTTTGGTGAGCTAAAGAGAAGAAAAGAAACGGGACCTCCTTTTCTCTCTCCTGGCCTTTCCGTGTTCCCCTCTTTCAAGTGTTGGCGATAAGAAGGCTAAAAAACACGGAGACACGCAGTGATATCGCGGTGCCAATATGTGAAGAAAAAGAAGGAGGAAGGTTCTCTAACTCTAGTAAGAGAAAACAACACTTGTTGTGTTAGAGCACGTGTAAGGGATGATGTATCGTTGATTGCAGGCGAAAATAGTACCAGGAAGAAAACAAAAAAAACGTTGAGAGAGTTATCGTTGTGGAAATGATACTAACGATTCCGTGCATCGCGAAAAAAGAAATGTCACAACTTAGATTTTAGTAAAGTTCTGACGCATATACCGCCGAGAAACCTGTGTGGTAGCGCCGCCTTTCAAGGCAGCTTGCGCTCTTCGGCAGGTATGTTAGAGTCCTCCTTGTTTTCTACACGGTGCTTGAAAAACCGTGCTTGGGTCCTCGCGAACAATCCCGCTTTTCACCCTCCCCGGAAAAAGGCGGACCGCTTTCCTTTAATTGGGCCCTTCTTTCTTCTACAGTTTTCCACTGTCGTCAATGCTAGCTGCTGCCGTTGTGGCATCTATGCTTCGCCCTGTGCGAAAGGCTGCTTTCTATGGTTAATCAACACGTGCGTCTTCTTCTATTGAAAAGTAGTCACCCACCGAACACTCTCTACGACGCAGCGGATTGGGGATCCATGAAGTGGTCCTCCAGAATATCTTGCAGGCTCGTTAAATTCACCTTCTCGGCAAGCTGGCCTGCAAGCTGCTCTTCGAGTTTCTCCATCTCAATCTGCAGTTCCTCCTGCATGAGTCGATGCAGCCCGCTCAGCTTCTCGTTCACGGCGGCCATGTCCTCCTTCCGCGCGAGAAGGCTGACCATGGAGGACCAAATGTTTTCCAATCGCTCCTCAAGCAACGACTTGCTGTAAAACTCCGCATGGACACGCTGCAGCACATCGTCCTTCCATTTTCTGGCCGTTTCCCTTTCTGCTGTCTCGTTGAGCTGCGCAGACGGTGAATTCCGTCCTCCAGCGAGCGGTGAGGGAGCCGAGGAAGGAAGAGGAGGCACGGTGGAGCTGGCGGCTGCGTTGCTCTCTTTCACGTCGTCCAGTGCATCTCGAAGCTCCCTCACGATGGCCGCGTGATCTTCCTGTTGTGTCGCTAAGTCGTCTCGGACCTCGCGACGCAGCTCCGCGTGTGCCATGTGCACGCTTTCAACTCGGCGCGCCACGTCGTCCAGCTCACGTCGCTGCGCCGAAAGCGTTCCGTCCAGCCGATGCTCCAAGTTGCGCTGGACGCTGTCAATGTGTTTTCGCAATTCGGCGGTACTGATTTCGTCATCACCTCTTGTTGGCTTCTCTGCGGGCATCGAGACTTGTCCCAAATTTGACGAAGCTGTGCGAGCGGCATCCTCCGCTAACGCTCGCATCTCCCCGCGATACTTCTTGATTTGAGCTGCGACATAGGCTGTTACCCACGCCATCACCTCGTCACGCAGGGTGTCTACCTTCACCTGCCACCCCCGTCGAGCTGCCTCGTCTTGCTCAGTCACCGCATTCAGCACTTCATCGGCAAGCGTGCCAATGCGCTGCTGTTGCGCATCCAATCGACGATGGCAGGCGCGCAGTTCCTCCGTGCACCGTTCAAGCGCCACTTCGGATTCCTGAGGCGGTGACAGCGTTGTTGCTGCTGTTGTTGCTGTTGCTGATTCCGGTGTCGCGACGGGTGCATCGTGGGGAGTCGACCCGTGAGCAGCCGCGCCGGTCTCCACCGCGCTGAGGCGTTCTGAGAGAGCGCGCACCTCGTTGTCCTGGTCTGAGAAACGCCGTCGCAGCTCATTGTAGACAATCTCGGACTCTTTTCTTTCTCGCGCAGCTGCTTCCGTTGCCGCTTTCGTGCATCGAGCCGTCCCATCGCAGCACCTGCTAATCTCGGCTGTGCAGTCGTGGTGCAGTGTGTCGAGCTCTGCCCGAACGGATCCCATCTGCTGTGCGAGATTGTGGTTCATCTCGGCGGACGTCTGCTCCACAAGCGAGAACAACTTGTTCACCTCTGCTTGCAAGTGATCTGCCTTGTTTGTCACGGCGTTGAATGCGGTATTCGGCGTAGCGGCGTTTGCGTTTGCCTGTGCGAAAGCTGTCATTTCCTCCCGCCATCTGTCCGGCAGTGTGCGCACCTCCGTCATCTGGGCCGCAAGTGTGCCTTTATGCTGCGACAAGGACTCCTCAGTGCGCAGAAGGCTCTCGAGCGCGGTTGTCAGATCGGTTCCTAACTTTGTCACAACACGTTCCTGATCGTACAAGCGTGTCTCGAGCTGGTGCATAGTACGCGTAACACTGTTGCGATGCTGCTCGAACTCCATCACATGTTCCTTTAACTCAAGCAGGCGGTGTTTGAAGTCATCGACGCTGCTTTCCGCAAAAACGAGACGGCGTAGCAGGTCAGAAGAAACACCGCCAGGACCACCATCGGAGAGACCGCCTGCGTCCTCTGTGCGCCACCGCTCCGTGCGCGCGGCTGCAGACTGCACCTCCAGCTCAAGACCGGCCACCCGACGCTTTACCGCTTCGATCTCTGCCAAGGCGGGAGTGATCTCGCGCAGCGCACCGTGCGCCTGGAGCTGCTGACTCACTTCATCTCTGACGCTTTGTCGCACCTGGTCCAAGTGCTGGGACGCAATCGACTGGGCATATCTGGCGCCGCCATCAACCTTAGCCGTCAACTCGTTGAGCTGATGAGACAAGCGCTCGCATCGCTGCTGCAGTGTTGAAGTTGTAGAGAACTTTGTTTCTACTTCATTCGTTATGTGCAATCGCCAAGCTTCCCACGATGGGGGGAGACGTACCTCACCGTTGGTAGTCTCCGTCGTCGTGGTGGTGACGGCAGCAGTTGCATGGGAAGCAGAGGTTGCTGGTGCGGCTGATGCTTTCGCCTCTGAGGTGCTTAAAATGCTTTTTGCTAGGTCAGTCTGGCAGACTCCGACAGCTACCGAAAGGTTGTGCACAATGTCGCACAAAGAAGTTACCTGCCTCTCTTGCTTTTCACGCTGTTGGGTGCCGTAGCTCACCACCGTTCCCAGCCGCCCGAGCTCGTTGTGTAGCCAGTCATTATCCTCGCCGTGCTCCGCTTGTACTGTTCTCACACTCTTCCCCAGCTGTTGGATCTGGCTGTGGAGAGCAGCCTTCGTCTCCTCGTAGGAAGCTATCAATGCGTCTAGTGCATTCTGAGTCTCTCGCTGGATTTTTTGAAACTCCCGTCGCGGTACATAATCGGATGCGTGCTGCTCCGCTTGGGCCTCCAGGTCAGTGATACGCCCCGACAGTTCTTTTGTAAGTTTCAAAGCGCGCACTGTAGCGGAGTCCGTTTCGTTGCTCATCAGCTGATCTTGCAGGAGCTTTTGTTGCTCTTTTACTCTCAGCAGCTCTTCCGCTAGTTCATTGCAACGTAGGATAACCACGTGTTGTTCTCCTTTGACAAGGTCTCGCATCTCCATATACGAAGACTTCGCGTCGCCGCGCATCCTCTCCACGTTTGCCTTCATTGCACTTTCAAGTCGATTCATATCGGCCTCTACTCCAACTCGCTGCGCGGTGCAGAGCGTTTCGCCTTTTTCGACCATTTGGAAGCAAGCAGCAAGTCGCTCTTTGTTCACTTGTCGATCTTTTTCCACCATATCTGCGAGATCGCCGCACAGACTTCGAAGCTCTTTGCTTTCCTGTTTTTGAGCTTCAAGTATTTCTTGGTGAACCTCTGCGACTTTTTCTGCGGCTACCATACGCACGTCAAAGTCGCTAAGACGTTCGTTGAGAGTCTTTTCCATCTCAGAAGCAGCCGCAGCGATACTTGACGACAGCAGGTTTTCCGCGGAGCGTTGAGCATCTCGGGATGACCTCATACGCTCCCGAAGCTCTTTGTCACAGTTCTCCACCTTGCCTGACAAGACGCTAACTTTGTCAGCGAGTTCAGCATTGCCAGGACCGATTGTAAGGGCAGCTTCCATTTGAGAAGCTGTACTGGCGCTTGCGGTGAGTTGCTGGACCTTTTCATCGAGCTTTTCCTGTTTTTTGCGAAGATAATGGATCTGCTCCGAGTGGCGTTTGTGTCTTTCGTCTTGCGTTGTGTGTGTTGCACGATTGAGAGAAAGTGTGTTACGAGTGTTGTCCATCTCGAGATCGGCCTGCTTCTGGATAACTCGTCGAAGAAGCAAGTTTACCTCCTTTTGCTCTTGACGCATAGATTCCACCACAGTGCGCGAGGCTTGAACCTCGTCGTTAAGCTGTCGCATAAATTCTCGCACTACGAAAGGAATGTTAACCCACTCCTCTCCGTCGCTCAAGAGGAGTGAGCGGCCCTCATAGCCCATCATGGCTCCGTGTTGAGTTGGAACGTAGAAGAAGAAAAAAAAAACCGATAAACCTAGTAGTAGTACTTTTGTTTTGTAGTAATACACACAATTGGGGTAAAGAACTGCGTCGTACGAGAAGATAGAAAGCAAAACAGCCAAAGATAAACTGAAAAGAGTGTGTCCTTAAGAGTTGTGTAGTGTTCGTTAAAGCAGGAAAAAGGAGAGTTAGGTTGCGTCGAAAACTGCTTCGGTGTATAACAAATGTAGGGTTGCAATTTGCGGCGAAACTGTCTCGTTCAGTTTATTCCTCGCTCTCTGTGGGGAGATAAAAAATGAGGGTTGTGTGGAACGAAAATTCAAAGTGTTTGAGTGAAATAAGGAGTGGGGTCTGACAAAAACAGTAAAAACGAGATTAAATGACAAAAAGATGGAAGTGGGAAAACAGGAAGACTCAGAGCAAATGAAGTTTATTAACATTTCTGCACTCATTTTCTGTGTCGATCCTTTTGACGTGAAAAAAAGACATTTTTCCAAATAGGTAAGCTGAACGATGCTGAAAGCAACTGATTCAAAACAATGTTTGCACAACTCGCTTTTGCAGCATACAACGCTCTCGTTCTCTCTTTCTTCCTTCTCCTCCTACCATGCATAATAGAGAAATGATTTTGTTGTGATCCTCTTCTTTAGTGACGGCAAAAAAGAAAAACAAGAACGCTACTCAGCAGCCATTTGCAAAAAAGTATATGTTAAAAAAAAAAAGAATGAGAACGTCTGCTCACATAGTCTCCACTACTAAAAAAAGTTGAGGTAAAGACGCAAATCATCGTAGTACGATAAACAGCCCATTACAAATAACGGCGAAAAAAAAGCAGATGATACAACCTTCGTGTAATCGTTAATCTGTCCAGATTCTACTTCTCAATACTATACGGTGTATCCGCTTTCGGTAAGCATCTTCATGTTGTACTGCCGAAAATACTTCATGTAATTCCAAAACTCCTGGGGGTTGATTGCGTAGTATACTTGATGATCTCGCACATCAGCAAAGTGTACGTTTCGGAGCGGCGGCCGAATCCGTGCCATGTCAAGCATGAACTTGAATTTGTAGTACCAGTCTTGCTTGCGCAGTAGCCCCGGGACGTAGACGAGGCTGTGGACACCGTTATAATTTCTTACCTTGTCCTGAGCTCGGTCCAACGGTCTAAAAGGAGAGCCATTCCGTCCAAGAATTGCTGTAACACTCAGAACCAAGTCTTTGTTTTCCAATACAGTGCGGAGCGCCACGTAGCCTCCATTACCTTTTCCGAAAAGATGCACCTTTCCGTGCTCCACACAGAAGTTGTCTGCAACCCAGTCGCAGAAACGTGCCACAATTCCTTCCACGGGAACTTGCAAGTTGTGGCGGAGATTTACTACAGGTGAGATGATGACCCACTGCTGCTCTATCATGTGCTCACGGTGAACTGAGCGCTCAAAAAAGTTGGCACAGACATCCTCAAAGTCACGCGGAATACCTCGATGATCTGGGAGAACAACCATGTATGGATATTCCACGTCGGGTTTCCAGCCTGGTGGCGCAATCATACTATACGCTATGGGCGCAGGATCTTCATCGACGTCAAACGCGTTGTGATCCACGCAATCAGCTTGCCCCTCAATCAGTTTGAGGCTTGTGGACATGGGGTACAACACGCGCAGTTCAAACTCATTTGGCAAAATATAATGTTTGGGAAGACGGCGAAAAGACGTTTCGTTTGGACGATACTCCATTTCTGGCTGTGGAACCCGCACAATATGTCGTCGCTTACGGAAACTCACCTGGTCCACTTTCTTATCTTTTGTACGGGATCCAATAAAAGGGCCGTCTTGCGAGTACATGTACTGGAGTTTATGTAGTTCAATTAATTCGCTTTCTTTTTTGTTCATCACACTTACGTCGTCCGAATCGACACCGGATGATTTCAGAGAATCTTCGCACTCTGGCGCGCGCACTGCTTCGCTAATGACCTCCGCTGCTGCAACAGTATCATCTTCATTCGTTTGTTTTCCCACAACGTCAAATGATGCGGAGTGTGTCACATGTGCTCGACTCACTGCCAACAATCCCAATGGGAGTGTGACTCGTCCTAATCTGCGGAGCATCGAGAATCGTATGCAGATTTCGTATCACGAGTGCATTTGCCACTACTTCGTTTTCGAGTGTTGTTCCATTAAAGAAGTGCAATTGTTTAAAAATAAAAGACAGGAAAAAGAGAGAAGAAACGTATGTTTTACGTTGATATTTACATTGTTTCTCTCCGATCTTCTTGAGTTAGTTACGAAACCATATATGTTCTTCCGGTCATTTGGATTCACGCATTTGACAATCTCTTCTGCGACAAAAACATGTTTCCCCCTTTTTTGAACAGTACTCTGCTTTCACGGTAGCGGAAAACAAAAATACTGATTTACCTTGTGTTAAACTAAAAAAGCGTACTTTTCGCTATCAAGACTCAATCAAACAGTTTGGCAGTAATAAAGTTGCAAAGAGAGCAATCAATAAAAAAAAGCCGCTGGAAAAAGGTAAAATAACGGCAGCAAATCGGTTAAGAAATAATAATGATAGTGGTTCACGCTGTTTAAATAATTTTCGCTCTCAATCACAAATAAACACTAGGCATTGCATATACAGGGAACAGGCTGGAAATAATAAACCCTCAAATTATTGCTTCCTCCAGTCCAGGTGATACAAGTCATTGCGTACGCCTTTCATAATCGGAATGCGGTTGCGCGTGTCTGCGATGACGCCAAGGTCTACCTTGCAGTCAAGAAAGCCTTCCTTTTCATCCAGTTCGCCAATGACGTTTCCCATCGGGTCAATCACCATTGAGTGTCCCCAAGCGACGTATTCAGCCGATGTGTCTCGCGCAGGAGAGCATAAAAACACAAACTGCTGGTTGTCCACTGCACGCGCTCGTCCATTTAATTCCCAATGCGTCGGTCCTGTTACCATGTTAAATGCCCCGGGGTATACAATGAACGACGTACCCTGAGTGGCCAGATTCCATGCCAGAAGCGGGTATCGGATGTCAAAACAGATTCCCACCCCAAATTTGGTGTGCTCATCCATCGTCACTGCGGTGGCGTCATCGCCTGCAGAAAGAACTTCGCTTTCATCGAATCGAACAGTCTTCGTGTTAATGCGGAAGAGATGAACTTTGCGATGCACGTGCTTCAAAGCGCCATCCGGGCCAAAAGTCATGCTGGAATTGAACAGTTTTCCATCCGCCGCTTTTTCAGGAATGCTGCCTGCGATGACCCAAATGTTGTTGCTTTTAGCGCAATTCGACACCGCATCGTACGTTGGGTTTCCGGGAGCGAGGGACTCGGAGTATTCGTCAAAATATTTCGTTCCGTAAGGACAGTTGAAGCATTCTGGTAAAACAGCAAGTTTGCTCCCACGCTTGGCAGCCTCAGTGATCATCCTTATGGCTTTCGTAATATTAGCCGCTTTTTCACGCGCGACGGCCATTTGGCAGAGAGTGACATTAAGAACCGATGTCATTTTTTTGTGTGTATATTTTGAAATTTATTTACAGCTTTCAACACCTTCCAAACGAAACTACGTAAAGAGAAAGGAGAAGGGAAGGGGGAGAGCAACAAATACTGATTACCAAGTTGTGTGAAGAAAGAGTTGCAATTCCTACCACGAGAAGCTTTCCAGCGAAAAGCTTTGGGACGCTGCAACTCAACAAACTACCCTATTTCTACATTCTTTGATCCCGCACGAACACAGTAGCACATCCCCCTTCACCCGCTACGGTAACAATACGCGGGCGTGCTTCGTGGCGGTTTCCCTGCTCCGGTTTTGCGCGCCGCGCGGCGTTGCCGCTTCTGGGTTCCCCG